CCAAACAATATTGATGGCTATAAATGTATTTCCTTATATGGCAACCCTTACCCTCACCTTCAGCGATTGAATTCAAGAATTCCCTATAATATTCGCCGTGCCGCGACGCGCGATACAGGCAGACTGGTACTCACCTGCTGCGCCCTTCCAACCAACGCGCCCTCCTCCTGCGTCGCCACCGCCGACGGTGGCCCTGTCTTGCAGACGTGCACGCGTTAGTGAGGCTATGTTGACGGCGAGGAGAGCGTGGCCGGCCGTACGCGCTGGACTCGTCTCGTTGGCTGTGGGGAAGATGGTACTGTCGAACGAATGACACGGCATATTTGCACGCCGCGGTGGTGAACGTGCGCGCGTTCGTGAGGCATGTTGACGGCGAGGAGAACGTGGCCAGCTGTACGCGATGGACTCGTCTCGTTGGGTGCGGGGAAGGTGGTAGCAGCAGACAGGAAGACGAGGGGAGGACGACGCGAGCACACTCCCCGATCGGGGAGTCAGAGGCGCCGGGCACATGAGGGGAAAGGGCACCTCATGGAGGCTTAAAAACGGTACCTGAAGACATGAAATTTCGCACGTGGGTCGGTGAGATGAATAGCTAGGGGGCCCCAGCAACGAGGAGTGAGCGGATTGCGATGCACGAGAGGAAAAAGCAAAATGTTGCGAGGACGATAACGGGCGCTTACCGACTGAGTTGAAAGGGCATCGCGTAGAAACACAAATAAATTACGGAATAATGAGAATTTAATCGCATGGGTGCTTGAGATATAGAGCAAGGGGGCCCCAACAAAAATGAGATGATAGAAGCAACTGACGGCCTCAGAAGGACCAATGTTGACCAAACCACCACCGTGAGGAAACCCGCCCGATTGGGAAGCCTACAGCGCCCGTTCCGCTCAACTGGGCATTGGGGCCCCTTTGGGGCCTCCGAGATTCGAAGCGTGGCTTTCAGATGAGGGTATTTTGAAGACCATAGCATAAGAATTGGATGTGCTATAGAGGTCCCTCTGAGCATTGCCGTTGGGGGTCAACGGCACCCGGTATATAGATAGTTTACCTCGATCATGATTCACTCACACTCACCCCGCTCCAGGACGGGCTCAGCTATCTGTTTCTCATCTGTTCACTGATCACAAGCCTGGAGACTATCTTGTGATCTTGGCAGTCATCGAGCGCTCTTTCTAAAAGCAAACGAATGGCTAACGTTCATATCTCGTCGATCCTCGTCATTGTCACCCTAAGCCACTCACGACATCTCAAACCGATGAAATAACGGTGCACACGACCATCTGATACACCGGTTACATTCCGGTTCATGGACAAGCAAAAGTACTTAGTCAAGGATTAACAACGGTCGGAGTAGTGTTTTAAGGTTAGGGTTCAAAGATGATAGTTATAGAGTTATATAACGGAAAGGATGTCAAGGCGGGCTCACTGGAAGGGATGATGCTTGAGATGATGCCAGTAATCCTAGTGTAAGGTAGCTGAAGGAATGATGTTCCCTCCTAGCTCATCATTGCTAGCAGATGGCGAACTCGGTCTTCAGGTCACTGCGCCAATATCCTATCTTGCTTGACAATACATGCACAAGGACAAGAGGAATTGCCACATCTAAAAACAGTGCCGCTGTCATTGCTAACGTCTTTCGAGAGCGAGAGCGTAAGGTGCCAGTTATGTTCGTCGATGTCGGTGGAACGTTGATGTTGCTGTGGATCTTGCCGCGGAAGATATTTTTGGGGGAAGGATCCGCTGGCTGGCGCGCGAGAAGGGCGTAGGGCTCAACGAGGCGGCCAAGCTGCAAGACTCAAAGTGTTTTCGGATGCAACCGGTATACCGGGCGATGGACATGATCCAGTACACGTTGAGGAAGATTCACTACGTCGCGTTCAGGTAACGTCGTGGTCCATTGCTGGGGTCTTGGTCGACTGTGAAGCACGGTTGGCATCATGCTGTCCTTCTTCAAATGTGCTGAAGCCAGGTCGAATGCTCCAGCAAGGGACCCACTCGGATGACAGTGTAGACTCCACGTCCTGAGTTGGCAATGCATTGTCTGCAATGCTAGGTTTGGACCCAGTACAATGTGTGCGGCTACGACAGGTTAGAGAGGAGTGATCGCATTGTACTCGCCACAGACTACCACTGTGGACTCTGACGCGCGAGCTCGATGAGTGCGCTTGGGTTGGAGTCAGCTGCAAATGTGCGGAGGATGAGCAGAGAGGACCATACCGTGTCGGTCGTCCTGTCAGACCTTTCTCCATGTATGCGGAACCTCGATTTGACTATGCGACGTAAGCAAGGATCAGCAAACAACGACGTCGCCAAAGGAGTAACTGCGAATTTCCACTCACCTCCATCGTCCCGGCTATATCGAGATGTGCCCATCGCACTGTGTCCGCGGACTCTGCCCCTTCAACGAACGCCTTGAGGAAGAGCGCCGCGGTACAGCTTCCCGCTGCTCGACCGCCGCTCTAACCGTGATAGCCGTCAGTGAGAGCTGATTGATCGATGTGCTGTAAACGTACATTACACAGGTCGGCGTTCGACGACTTGATCTGCTGTCCATACTCGTCATCCAGCGGCATCCTCCAGAACCGGTCATGTTCCACCGCGCCCGCCTTGTCCAATGCGTGCCACAGTTCGTCCGAGTTCTACAAGGAGGATGACCGGTCAGCATCACGTAGAATTGCGCGATGAGCAGACAGTCGGATACGCACGGTGAACACCCCAGTGAAAATGCCGCCGAGCGCGACGTTCATCGCCCTGCACCATTCCAGTGATCAGTCACACACGGGAGCGATCAAGTTTATCAACGTACCCCGTCAGAGTGGCAACGTCCACAATGCTGTGTGGCTTGAACATCGTAGAACCATAGTACAACGCATCTGCTTTCGATGAGCATCAAGTCTATGCAGATGAGGACAATGCACTCACCAGCGAGCACAAGCCGACCCTCTGCGTCCGTGTTGTCGATCTCGACCGATTTTCCATTCATCGCGTAGACACTACAGGGTGCGTCAGCGCGATTAGCTAACGCAGGAGGTGCCGCCGAGTGCAGCGTGGACGGGCGCACATATCACCGGGCTTGTTCGCGGACGGTCCTGGGAGATTCTCAGTCAGAGGCGAGAGGACGACGAGGTTAATCCTGGAGGAATCAGGTCATGAGACCAGGGGACGCGTAGAGGGGAAGATGCCCACGGGAATTGTAGTCGCGCAACAGCGAGCGCTGCGGCGCATACAGCCGCCGCGCCGCCTGATAGACGATGTATCAATACGATGCCGACGACCAACGAGCAATGCATGAAAGCGCACCCATGTCCCCGCGCATGAGTTTCATGCCCTACAAACGCGTTCATCATTAGTGGCAGAGAAACATAATGCAGTCCCGCAGCGCTCACCGCAGCTGGCTTCAGGGAAATTCCACCCGAGTCAAAAGTGACGCCCTTGCCGACGAACATTAGCGGATGTATGTCCTTGGCAGCTCCTGTGTAGTGGCTGTATGCGCGCGTGATGTTAGCGCAAAGATCAAGACGTTGCAATGGAATTTGCACATCTCGAGGAACTTGGCCGGCTCAGAGGAACCCTTTGACACAGACAGGAAGGAACGCTACGACGATATCAGATTGTCTCTTAAAAGTGTGTTGCATCGACCTACCATGCCCCTTTCAGCAGCCCATGCTAACGTCGGTAGGAACAATGTGAGACAAATTTAGAAGAGCAGATGGACTAGAGCTTCTACTACACTCCTGGGAGCGGCGCTCGGCATCGTCCACAGAGAACGGGAGGAACACGCACCTTCATCACGCATCGTGATCTCAACGTTGGGAAGACCGGCGAATTCAGACTTGATGCGTTCGGTAAAGAGCTGGGAGGCCGGTGAGCAACGTGTCGGATGGAGGTTGACTTAGGACCTACCGTAGGCGTCATCATGTTCCCCGGTAGTTCGGACAGCTAGTGCAGTGTAAGTCGATGAACCTGCACGCAATCAAGGGTGATATACTGTGCGCGCAAGATTTTGAGCCTGCGCATATACGACGCCGCGATTCCACTCTTCGGAAGGCGAGATGGGCTGGAAAGTCAGCCTTTCGGGAATGGGGTCTTTTAGAGAAGGAGCAAAGCGGGAAGGCGGCTCGGTCTTCAATGAAAAGTCGTACAGTGCCAGATTTGCAGCAACCGCTATGGAAGAAACCGAGATGTTCATAACGATATGCAAGTATGCGAAGCATTACTCACCAGCGGCATGGGGATCAGCGGCGGCGTCGACAAGCACATCTTGCTCGTCAACACCGTCACCGAGCGCTTTGACCTGCTTGACCGCACTGCCGACCGCTTTGCGCACGAGTTCTCGCTTCTCGCTCTCTGGCTTGGCAACAAAGTTTTCCCCAAGCGAGATGAGGGCCGTGATGTTGCTCGCATCCGCGCCAGGCGTGGCGTAGAAGATCCGCGTCGTGCCCGCCTTTGCTGGTCTTTTCGAGGCGGGCGCCGAGTCCCAGAGTCGAGCGACGTCGAGGTTAGGGACGGCGTGCACTGCCGTGGGAGCACTCGGGTCTATCGGAAGGAGAAAAATAGACTGTCGGGGAGAGGCGACATGGAACAGAGACGGGCGCGAGGGAGGACGGAGGAGGCGGAGGGCGGGTCGTGCGAGCATCGTCGCAGTGAGACGCAGACTGGCAGCACGTCAACGCACGCCCGATTGGCGCCGTCGGCACCCGCTCCCCTCGTGAGGCCACGCAATCTCTCCCCCGTACATGTTGTATGCGCTCCTCATCGTGTGCAGCAGTCTCCTCGTCGAGCATCCTTCCCCGGCTAGACATACTCCGGCGACGACGCGGGTTTTCTTTGACCGCATACAGCGCCGTGCAGGCCACTCGACATACGGCAATGGGACAATACTATTACAGGCAAGTATATCATACACCTACGGGCTCCTCGTCTCCTGCGGACCCAACACCTCCCTTTTTTTGTCACGGGAGGACAGCACCTCCTGATGCGTGCCACCCGCAAACACATCAACTGTATTAACCCTGGCGCACGACCCGCACGATCGAGCGCGAAAGCCGTCGCTATATGCTGAGCATCACAGCGGTTCTGCCGCAGAAATATACAGCACTGTACGCGAGAACGTAAGCGTCTGTGCATCAGTCTCGAGAGACAACCCTCACCATTGTTTCCCCGGATAAAAGCATCGCCGTAGCGGTTCGTAACCTGGCCGTTGACGTTCTCCTCCGTCTGCTCCAACGCGATGTTCATGTATCCATCCAAACACGAGAGCACACCTGCTTGCCGCTATCAGCCTTGGCGCTTCGACGCTCATTTACACAGCAAGTGCGATAGTCGGAACGCACCTCGATAGTCCACACCCGATGTTAGCCGTACCACGACGCGCTTGCCCACCACGCCCTTCAGAAAGTCCGTAGGGGAGCCTGTCGTCGTCGGTGGCGGCGGTGGCGGCGGCGATGCCTCGGTGGGCGGCGCAGCAGGTTGGGGAGGGGAGGCGTCGTCGTCCATGGCGTGCACACGGGTAGCCTGTGGCGTCGAGTTTGCGAAACGACGCGCGGGTCACAGCTACGGTCACAAGGCATGTCACGGTGTGTTACTTTCACCCGAGCACGATGCCGACCAGCGGCAGGGATTCTCGGTACCCCTACGGATCGACGGTGCGATCTGCGCGCATGAGACTCGCTGCTGACTCTGACGTCTGGCCTGCGCTTTCTCCTTTATATCAAGTCCGACACCTTCCGCTACGCTTCATTTTGACGACCCACATACTCACCCCCTGTTTGTGATACCATTCCATTTCTATGCAGCGGTCGCAACTGTGATAGTCTTCGTCTGCGCCACTAGATATTTCAATACCATCGATCTACCCTTATCATGCCCACCCACGACAAAAAGCAAGACAATGCCCAGACCAATGAACCGCCCCACCCCCACTACGACCCGCGTCTTGGCGATGAGGAGTCCGAGGAAACACGCACCGAGCAGCCACAGAGACACGTTCGCATCCAAGTCCCGACATGGACCTCGCACCCTGTTCACGACGAGAAGGTGCACCAGTTTCGCGAGAAGCGCCGCGCCTTCTCCGAGCAGCTACGCTCCGTTGGCGCATTCGTCGTCAAGAATTTCCCACTCGACCTTCAGTGGATCCCGAACAACTGGACGTGGTCAAAATGGAAACCCGTCATACGCAGCGCAATTCTCGGCTGGCTCTCCATCTTGTTCATGGTTATTACACGACTGGAGGAGGTAACAGGACAGGTGCGTCTTTCCAGCTGTGCACTCCTGTCACCGTGGCCATTCGTCCATTGCTCTTCGTGATCGCGTTCGCACCTGCGTTCTCATTCCGATGCGCTGGCAGCTAACTGTTCTACCTTCAGGCAACGTTCCTTATCCTAATCTGTGGGTGTCGCTTAATCTGCCGACCCGAGTATTTCATTGACTTGGCATCACAGCTGCCTTCCTTGACCCTCCCCGTGATCCATTCATCGCAGTCCTCGAACGCGAACTTGTTTTCTCTGCGTTCGTCACAATGGCTTGGGCGTACGTACCATCGCTTTCCCCTCATTACCGACGCTGATGCCATGCATTAGATGGAGCTGCCTCGGCATCTTCCTCGCCAACCTCGCGCGGACGAACACCGACCACAATGCACCCCTCACCTCCATCCTGACCGGACAGTACATCCAGGCTGCGCCGACGGTGATCATCGCTGTCTTCATCTTCTTCGGTGTAGCATTCTTTCTCTTCGTTAAGGCGAGGCAGGGCCCTGGCCCGTTCCTCTTCCCCTCTGTCTTCGGCTCTATCTGCATTGACATTTCGCTCGTCACCGCTGTCCTCTTTCCCTATCCCTACTACGATATTGGTCGGGCGATTGTGCTCCCGCTGGTGTTTCACTCCGGCTTGTGCATTGTCTGCGCCGCATTCATCTTTCCCTCCACGATCACCGCGCAGTACGCCGGTGCCATATCGCGCCTCATGGATCCACTTGAGATTGCGCTCAACGAGCACCGCACGGCGCTCAAGACGAGTCCCAGCCATCCCCAGTTCATCGAGACGGTGAAGAAGATCACCGACCTTGTCGGCAAGGCGGAGGGAGGTCTCGTGCCCGCCGCCGCCGCCCTTCGTCTGGTCAAACACGACATTTTGTGGGGACGTTTCGCGCCGACAGACGTGGGCGGCCTCCAGGAGTTCATAAGGCGACTCGTTACGCGCGCGAATGGGCTGGGGACATTCTTCACGCTGATCGAACCAACGCGAGAGCGCTTCCCCGTCACTCCGCTTCCGTCAAAGCCAAGCACACCCTCCGGTTCGCGAGTTGTGTCACCATCCAACTCAAGGCCTGAGACCCCATTCGCGTCGCGGCCCGCGAGCCCAACGAGGGGAAACTCCACGCCGCCAAGGGGAAACATCGCGCCGACGAGCTCGTTCCCCCGGTTTGACTCTGTGGTCTCGACTAATACCCAAACAACCTCCCGAGCGCCCTCTCCCGAACGGGAGGAGCGCGGGCGCGTCCGCCACCGCCACCGCCACCGGAAGCATCTTTCGAGCGTCTCCTCCTTACGTTTGTCGATCAGCCAGCACCTGGGCCACCTGGGTAATCGGCTCAAGCGACACGAGGAGGACACGCAGAGCGAGCGGCTGCACTTTTCCCTTTTGCACCTCGCACACAACCTCTCTTTGCCGCCAGCATCATCGAGCGAGACCGCCGTCGCGGTGTTTGAATCTCAGCGTTACCTCACGCTCGAGGCAACGCGCCTGTCACACCCGGACTCGCCGGAGTTTACGGAGCATTTCGTCGTATTGTTGAATGAGAGCTGCGACGAGCTGCTAGGGGTGTGCGCAGAAACGATCAGGAGCGTGAAGGGGTGGATCATGCGTGTGCGGCAAGGCAGCTTCGCAATGCCGCGGACGATCGAGCAGATGCGCGCCGAGCACCTCGCCCATTTGACTCAGACTAAGGAGAATATCAAGCTGGCGTTGGAGCGGTTCCGTAATGATTACAGGTAAGCGAGAGTAGAGGCATATCGTCCCGCGCGATGGCTCACATATTCGCAGGCACCGTGTATTGGATCCGTACCGTTCCGCGTTTGATCCAAGTCACGTTCGCTCGCCCGGGGGATCGACCGAGCCGCCGCCACATCGCTACCTCTTCCATTGCTACGTTTACCAATATCACTTGATCCGATTCGCATCCATTATTATTGAAATTGTAAGCGTCCGTAGCTTGAATTTGACTTTGGATGAGGCATTGACGGCACTGCTCTGCTAGCTTGATGAGATGATCCGCCTGGAAGAAAACTACAAAAAATCGAGGTTATGGATGCCGATGCTGCCCTTTAAGAAGCTGATTGATTTGAACGCTTACGATACGACAGCGCTCGAGCAGAACGACGACGAAGATCCCGGTACGTCAAATCATTCTCATGTCGATCGAAACGTGTTCCAAGCGCTCTTCGATGATCAGAACGCATACCTGGCATCGAGCCAGAATGGGAGGAAGACCTCGGCATGGCGTCGCGCAGAAACCCTGACGCGTTGCCTCCTCGCAACCTGTTCGAACAGGTGATGTCGTGGATTCACGACCTCATCCAGGCGTTAGCTGGCGGCAACTCGTTATTTGCCCTAAAAGCGGGTCTTTTGACGAGTAAGGACTATATTCCAACTGCGATGGCTTTGGCTGACCGTGATTGTCGTCCGTAGTTATACTGTGTATTCCTAGTTTCCTAAGGCGATCCGCGGCTTTTGCTTATGGTAAGTGTATCGAACGCCCGTGAGATATCAGGAGGTGACGTATATTGACCGCTTGTTTCACAGATGAGCGATTTGTATGGGGCATGTACGTAATTTTTGTGATTCACCTTAAGTGCATTGGGAGATTGACAGACTCCTAGTTTCATGGGGCAGCTCACACTGGCGCGCTTCCGCGGAGACACAACCTTCGGGCTTGTCGCGCGTCTCGTCAGTACGTTCCTGGGCAGCGTCGTCGGACTGGTCCTATGGTTTGTGTCACTACGTTATCATCTGGTGCATTGCTCATGGAATGTTCGCCGCTGCAGGTACATTTCCGCCGGCAAGGGCCATGGCAATCCGTACGGCTTCGCGGCAACGTTTGGAGTCTGTTTCCCCGCATTCTACTTCGGACGCCTGTACTGGCCAGGACCGCCAATGGTCAACGCCATCTTCTTCGTCACTGTCGCCCTCGTACGTCGTCATTCCCTTCATCTTGCTCGAGTATCAGTATAACTCCATTCCTCGCAGGTCCTGGGATTCTCCTGGCAAAATACTCACTATCCGCTTATATTCCATTTCTATGGATGGTCTCTGGCATGGGTATGTACTCTATCATTCCGTGACAAATGATGGGTCATTTTAACCAGAACCCAAGCGACGGTTCGTGCTAGTCACAGCGGGCGTCACAGCTGCATTGTAAGTAATGCTTCTCATCGTCAGAAAGCAGTGGTCATAATCATAAGCACGTCCAGCCTGTTCTCTTTCCTTCCGCCCTCTACAACGCTTCGCCGCTACCAGCGCACCATGCTCTCCAGAACGGTTGCCGAGCTGGGTGCAGTCTACTGTTCCATTGTCTCCTTCGCAAACACTCGTGGACGGCACGAAGTAAACAGAGACGAGATCGTCCGCGCTCTCGTGGCCATTCGGATGAAACTGAAGCGGTCGATCGTGCTGAGGAACAATATCATTTACGAGGTACGCCTTACTTACCGTTTTTTTCTACCACAGAAAATGCTAATGAATCATCAGTTCTCGCTCAGAGGAAGGTGGCCATCAAAGCGATATCAGCGGATTCTGGAACTACAGATGTGAGTGAAAAGCGTCAGCTTATTCCACTGTCATTGATTCTACGACTTCATTCAGTCAAACTGCATTCCTCCTTGGTCAATTGATGTCCGTAGTCGAACATCTGGACCACGCGTGGTCTCGTGCATTTCTGCGCAGAACTCGGCTGCTTGACGCGGATTTCCAGGGTGATGTCTTGGCCGTCATTAGTATGTGTACTCACTCATCCATCACATCCGGCTGACATGATCCTCGCGAAATAGGCATGGTTTCGACGGCGTTACGAACAGGTAATCCGTTACCCCAAATCACGCCCTGCCCCCTTGTCGACCGCTTCATGGCCTATACGCACGGTCTGAACGTTATTCGGCAAGAGGCTGACGATGACTATGGCCTGCCACGAACAATGACCATCGATACTTTGGAAAATGAACAATATCTGTGAGCGTCTTATCCGAGATTCGACATGCCGCCACTAACGCCCCTGTTCTACACAGAACATTTGCGGTCGGTGTGACCACAGCGTTTGGTATCATTCTTCGTTTGGACAAGTTAATGGTGGCAACAAAGGAACTCGTCGGAGAGCAGTATCATATTCATGGTATTGGTGCTCCTGATCCGAGGGTTTATAGTACCGACCGTCCTGCCAAGGATGCGTGAACTTCTATATTCGGTTATTCTTTCTTCTCTTTGCCTTCCTTTGCATCATTGTGCCATCGGGACGGTTTCCGAAATCATACCTACAAATCAGTGGATCTATTCGCATTACATACTATAATACACTGCTCTGGATCTATCGACGTCGCGAGGTACATTGTGTATTTTGATCTTCATGTAAGGTCCACGAGCCTTACTATACTAGATGATGGTCGCTGCGCTGTGCGCCCGGCGCCGAAGTTATAAATAGAAACAATTGCTGGCCAACTGCACTAGAAACCGAACAGGGTCTTGCCCTCTTCAAAGCCCATTCGATGCTTCACGGGACAGGGGGAAGAACCTAATACATGGGCAATCATTAGAGCACGAGAATATGCTGTTCCTGCTGGATGCTTTTCTTTCCATCGAAAGCACGTACAGTGGGTTGGCGAGTTCACCAATCCGGCCTCACACGACCTGAGGCCTACTGAGGCCATCTTTTCCTGGTCATTGTTTGCGACATATGAATAAACGCAGAAGCGCACCAGAATATCCATGCCCAATGTTTCATTCCGCGTCTTGCTGACCGTCAGTACACGGCAGCATCTGAAGCACATGCGCACGAATTCAAGAGGATGATCTTCAAAGTGACTTTTCCGGTCCAGGAAAGCTCGACGTGGCGAATCTTGCTTCCTTCTCCATCGTGCGCATGGCTTCACACCCTGCAGGCTTCTTCGAATGCCCCTTCGTCAGATCCGAACGTGCTTTCTCGTCATGAGCAGGCTTGCAGATCAGGAATTGCAGGATCTGTAGCTTCATGATATTTTCATCATCTGCAGGGATGCCACGGGGCTCTGCGCAGAGCGCGACGCGGCATACAAAGTGTTGGAATATCAAGCCTAGCTATGTTAAGTATGGCTTATCAGCTGGTATTTCCTTTTACGTACTTATCGGGCATTAGCGCCCGTAAGACTTTTCACCGGCTTCGCTCGTTCTGCGGGCTTCAGTCCTTCTATCATCAAGGATCTGAAGCCCTTTGACTCTAGCGTGTGTCCTCCCGTCCACTCCTTTTCCATCCGTTTACACAAAGTTGGTCATTCCCTGGCTGGGGAGGTAGTCTGGTTCGCGCACATGACCATTTCCAGCTGGGCGGACTTGAGTATGGACGCCCAGCGTGCCGTGTCCGGACATCGATCAGTGCACCATCATAAACAGCCCTTCTGTGTGGTCGTCGATGTAGACTTACCGAGTGGACCTGTGCGCCGCTCGAAATGCGGATGAGCGCGACGCGCCCATGACCTGAGAACGTCGGTGCAGAGTGTGCTCAGCGCTGTGTCTCATCGCGCACTTCTCGACGCGCCGTGCAGACGGCGGGCGTGCGGGATGGAGGGGGAGACGAGGTCGTGCGGGGAGGAGGTGTTGAGTAGCGCTGTCCAGGCGGAAAGGACGTCGTAGCGCAGTGCGGCGGGCTGGTTGTTGTGTCAGTGGAATTGACGTATGTCGTGATGGTGAGTGGTTGAAGACACTGCCGAGCGTTCATGAGGGCCTCGTTTCGTTTAGGACCTTATTCGAGTATCATTTGATGCAGTCGCGCATATCATGGAGCGGCGGTTCCCAGCGAAATGTGGTGCCTCGGTCGTCCATTGTCCCCATCACACATAGGTATTCCAGCTGTTCACTGATCTCGGCAGATCCATAGGCCGCAAGTACGAGTGGTCGGCAGAGGATATGTGCGAGCGTGGAAGACGTGGCCACGGGCTCGTAGCGCGCAGCGGACAGGACCTGTGCGCCCTCGGGGAAGACGTCGCTCAGGTGGTGGTCGACGATGAGCGTCCTCATGGTGGCGTCATCGGTGATCGGCGGGCGTGCGCAGATGCCCTGGTCAGCGAGGATGGTGTAGCATGGACCGTGGTGGGCGATAGCGGTGCGCTTGGATACAGCGTGCACGTTGGAGCCTTTGGCGACAATGTGTACGGAGAGGAGGGGCGGCACGAGGCCGAGGTTGAGGAAAGTAAGGTGGAGGATGAGCCCGGAGCAGAGACCATCTGCATCCTTGTCTGGGATTAGGGCGTGCGCGCTGTAAGTCCAGGTCAATCAGAGAATTTCTCGTGTTTGGCAAGGGAGAAGGAATGTTGTGCCATTCAGTGAGAAATGCGCGGGCGGCCGTGATAGCTTCTTGACTTGCTGGTCGTTCGTAGCTGAGACTGACACATCAGAGTCATCTGAAAATGAGCTTGCTGCTCCGCCTTGGTCTCCGTGCGTTGTCTCTTTCTCATTTGTCGTGGGGGCATGAGTGGGGATGAGAGACGCCGGATATGTTCTGCAGCAATTGCAATATAACGAAAGCTGTGTGCTGAGGAATTTACGCTGAGCATGCGCACGATGGAGAAGGCTAACCATTGTCGGTTGAGTGCTTGCTTGAGCCGCTGCCTCGCGCCTTAACTTACCTTTAGGTTTCCACTAGCGATGAACAATTCACCGCACCTTCAGTAAGTTCTGCGTGAATATTTTTCAATATAATGACCATACTCAGGGATGAGGCGGGCCAGTGGCCACAGGGGCACGTGTTCGTGTGGGCGTGTGTGCCACAAAGAGTGGCGTTCAGATCCATCGCCCGATTTGCCTCCGCGTAAACGGAAGCGCGCACTTTGGGCCACAGACCACCCTGTTCTGTGCCGTGTATAAGAGCGACTTGTCTCCATGCGCTTTTCTCATCTCTCCTTCGGCTGAGACTCCCTATAGAGCTCTGGGAGCTCTGTCTGGTCTGCTGTTTGGGCTTGCTCGTCGTGCTTTGTGATTTCCTCGCCGATACTCATCGTGGCCACATCCAAACGGTCCGCACGAATACACACTCGCGTCTCTGCATACACGGTCCCTTTGGTCCGCTTTATCGCTCTTCACCGCTTCAGTGCCAACAGTCATGCAAACACGCTCGCGCTCGAGTTCGAACACCACTTCGTCCAACTCGATCGGCCGCGCCGTTGGTGGCAGGCTGCACAATCTACTCTCTCCAAAGTCAAAGTCCTTGCCCACTGTCTCGATCTCCAAGCCCATAAAGCTGCAACGCAAGCGAGCTTCGCGCGAGATGACACCTGATGAGGACCTCAACAACGCGAGGGACGTTGCTGCCGTGCGCCCGCGGTTGACCTCAGAGTCGACAGAGTCTGTCGATACTGTGCGAGAATTGGCTCAAGAAGAGGGGAAGAAGAAGACCCGGACGAGGACGCGCAAGTCGTCCATGTCGGCTGGCTCGCCGCCGCTCGAAATTGTGGCACCGAAAAGCATTCAAGGGAGGGGTGCTACTCGTAACACAACCGCCACCAAAGTCGCCAATGGCATGTGCTCTGAGAATCCTCCCCGGCGCCGCTCGAAGCGTCTGGCGCGGACAAAGTCCTTTCACGACCTGTCTGACATCTCGGATAGCGACGACTGTGAATTCAGCTTTGCCGAGCCTTCTGTGTCTGTGGTCGAAGCTGGTGGCGACAGCGACGATGAGGGTGAACAGAGGTCACCGAACTTGGACCCGTTCTTGGATCCGGACGCGGAAGATGCTACTCTTAGAGAATCTGTGGACATGTCTCTGGCGAAAGAACTGGATGATAGTCACGAAGCAGCATCTCTATTCGAGGAAGAGCCTCCGAGTACCAAGTCTGCGTGGAGTATTTTCACTGACGACTGGGACAAGGTGAACTTGGAGTTGCCTACGAGCAGTCTACCAAGCACGTTGCGCGCGGCTGCTGTTTCTACAAGGCAGGACGGCTATAATTCCATGAGGGCTCGTCTGCGGCGCTATGACATGACTATCGCGCCCAAATGCAAGCACATCGAGATGTGGGACATCTCGCTCGAGTAAGTGTCTTCCTCTCGGGCTCAAACCTTAACTCACGCGATCGCAACATAGCCGCACGTACGCGTGGCCGGGGATGATCGTCATACAGGACACACAGCCCTGCGGGCAGAGGACGATACCGCGCATGCCTGTCAAGGACGTCGAGATTGACTGGCGCACGGTCGAAGGCCGATATACGCTCGCGCTTGAGGACGCAGACGTTCCGCCCGAATATGCGTGTCGTACGGAGGGCGCGGCGCTCCCCGAGAAAGACATCGTCTCCGCGATGGACCCCACCCAGGGTATCTGCACGGAGCCAGGATGGAGCTACGTCGGCCCCGAGTTTCCGGGTGCGGGAGTGGGCGGGGCGTGGGTGATGAAGTTTTGGGTGCCTGTGCCGATGAGCTTGTTTGAGTGGAGGGAGTGTTGGCAGTTTCAGGTGAGGGCGAAGGTGAGGTTTGGGAATTGGGAGAGGATGGAGTGGGTTGGGCATTCTGGGCCGGTTAATGTGATGGTTGAGCATTTGAGGAGGGAGAGGGAGATGGGCAAGAGGCCTGCTTCGAGGAAGTGAATGTGCCATGTAATCTAATGAGGAACTTGTCTGTATGTTTTAACGAAGTTGGAAAACTGTTCATTCACTTTTCTATCGACGTTTGTGTGGTGGCGAGCCACTAGAAGTAGTGGCCACAGTGACGTGACGGACGCGACAGTCACGCATCATGTGCACGCGTTTAACGCGAACACGGAACTCTCACGGCCGTGCTCCTGCCTCGCTACATACGCCATCCGCTTTCTCTCGAACAGCATCCTGCTCACGACATGGAGGACGACATCTTTGCTGGAGTGGGCTACTATATCACTCTCACCCTGCCGACGGACACGCGCGACCAGCTCGCACAAGTGCTCGACGAAGGAGGCGCGGTGGCCGTCGCACTCGACGACCCGTCCCTAACGCACTTCATCACGACGTCCCTCCCCGACCGCGACTCGCTGGAAGTCCTCCCCGACGGCAGCAAAGCACGTCTCGTCACGCCGACGTGGGTCGAGCGGTCGCGCATCTTGGGTGGCATCCAACCGCCCGAGTACTACACACCCGACCCTGCGCATCTCTTCTCTGGAGTGACAGCCTCTGCGGTCGACCTCTCCCAATCTGACCTCGAGCTTCTCTCGGCTGCGATCACAGCCCTAGGCGGACAGTGGCGCGTGACCCTCACCCGCGACGTCACACACCTCTTCGCTCTCGCGCCTGGCAGCCAGATGTACGAGACCGCGATGCACTTCCGCGACAAGACCGGCATGGTCGTCATTCTTCCTCACTGGTTTGATGATTCGGTGAGATTGGGCATCAAGGGCCTCCCGACGGCCGAGTATGAGTGGCCAGAGCCTGCGGTGCTCAAGCTCCACGCGGGCGAAGACGGGAAGGATACGCTCAAGTCGCATAGGATACCGAAGGGGAAAAAGGCGTTCTTTGAAACGGCTGTCGCAGACGGCGCTGACCTACCTGCCAGACGCGCACGGTCTCGCAATATATGGAAAGGCATGAAGGTGCTGCTGAGTGCGTCGCTTGGGTTCAATGAAAGGCAGCGGGCAGCGCACGAGGCGGATATCCGGCGTGAGGGCGGGAACGTCGCTCAGCTCGAACTGCTGGAGTCGGGGTCGTCTGCGGAGATTGCGGAGGAGGAGGCGGAGAAGGTGGGCGAGGCGGATGTTCTGGTGACAAAGTATAGGTCGGGGCCGGCTTATGTCAAGGTGCGTGTAGTTGCATTTTTTGTCCATTCGCATGGCCTACGATGGGCCGTCTACGGAGTGTGGATACCGAATACACCGTCTTCTTCTTTTCACACGTTGCTGCGTGGTTTGCGCCTCTTCGCCCGTTTGTCGCATGTTGATGTGCAGCGACATAGTCGATATGTTGTACTGTGATGCATAGGCTAATCGCAACTTAAATCTTAGGCATTCAAAACGAACAAGACCATCGGCACCTTATCCTGGCTATGGTACTGTAGAGCTTCAGGCCACCTTTCTCGGCCGACCGATCAGCTCTTGCACTACCCAATACCCCGAAAACCCATCGAAGGTTTCTCATCTCATGTAAGTCGCGTGTGGTCTTCGTGATGCCGGTTCGTGCTCCTTCCGTTTCGTCGTTGACACGCCCTCGTGCAGATCATCACTATCACTAACTACACTGGACGACACCGCGATTATCTCAAGAAGCTGATCATGACAATGGGCGCGCAGTTCACGCCAAGCATGTCGCCAAAGAACACGGTCGTCATCGCGGCTTTGTACGTCCTCCGTGTCATCCTCCTTTGTCTGTCACTGACCTCTGCAACCCAGCATCTCAGGCACAAAGACCGAGAAAGCCCAGTCGTGGTCGATTCCCGTCGTGAATCACACTTGGCTTGAAGACTGTTTCGCCCATTGGCGCGGGCTCACACCCGCACAGACGCGATACATCACGTTCCCGCCTGGCATCGACTACAGTCAGACCCTCGCGGAGCCGCGTGCGGCCGGGAAGGTGACGTACGACCCGGTCGAGCTGGAGGCGCTCGCGGTTGAAGGCGTTGGTGAGGAGGCGGAGGGGCTGGCGGAGGGGCTGGAGGGCACGGCGAATAGCGCGCGAGAAGCGAGGGAGGTGGAGGAGGCGGTGATGATGACAGACGAGGTGATTGGGGATGTGAGCATGGGCGGGTACCTCGAGCAGGAGCTGAGGGTTGAGGAGCAGGATGCAATGGACGTCGATGGGGAGCGACCGAAGGAGGATGCGGTATCGGCAAAGAAGAAGCGGGCCGCGGTCCGTGGCACTAATGCACAGGAGGAAGAAAGACAGGTCGTTCCTGTGAAAGGTTTGGAAGCCGAAGACGAGAAGATGGGGTCGCGGCAAGCGGTATCGACGAGGCGTCAGGTCAAATCGGCGAATGCCAGACGTGTGTCCGATGATGAGCGACCGTCTGCGATAGCAGCGCACCAGAAGAGCTCCACAGCCTCCAGGCGGAAGAGTGGGCCTGCGGCTCCAGCGGAAGAAGAGGACGAACAGGACGCATCTGAGGTCAGGAAACCTTCAGTGCGCAGTCGGATGAAGGTGAAAGGTGCTGCGAAGACCGAGAGTACAGGTCGGGAAAAGTCATCCAAAGCTGCGCGGCATGCCGAGGTTGAAGAAGAAGATGAGGATGAGGACGAACCCGACCTCGAACCGCCGAAGAGATCCTCCAAGTCAGCTGCAGTAGCAAAGACCTCACGGACTGCTCCTGCTCTCACCTCCGATGACGTCCTCGCCGAGTCGCCCCCCAAGTCGAAGCGTCGAGTCTCCGTCGTTGTGCCAACGGTGGCCGCGGTATACTCGTCGCAGCCCTCGGCGCCTAATTCACCGCGAAAGTCGACAGCGAGGGCAGGGTCCGAGCATGCCGAGGCGCAAGAGGCACCGAAACAGTCGGCGAGAAAGGTTGTTCGCGAATCGGCGTCTGCAGCCGCGACAAAGAGCCAAAGTGCGCGTGCGGGTAGGTCCAGCGCGCGGACGGCGCAGAAGGATGGACAGGATGACGCTCCTGCGGTGTCCATCGGCAGTCCGAGCCTGCTAGATACGAGCGCAGGCACCCGTATGAGCTCGAGGCGATCTGCGGCGACAAAGGCGAGCCAGCGGTTGAAGAATGAGATCATGCCCGACGTTATGAACTTCCAGAAGGAGATGAAACGGGGCCACGTCAAGCCCGCATGGGAAAGCGAGCAGACGTTAGAAGAAGGAAAGGGAAAGAGCAGGGGGAAGGATGTAGATGCTAGGAGCACGAAGGGAAAGAAGAGGGCTTCGTTTGCACATGAAGATGAACAGGAGGACGATACTGGTCCAGAGAAGAAGAAAGTGCGGTTGAATGCTGGCAGTCAAAGGCAGAAGGGGACAACGCAGCGGCGGACATCGACGAAACAGGAGAAAGGAGGCGACGACTCGGACGTTAGCGAGGATGACGGAGAATTCACACGATGGAAGCCGTTGAGTACAGGGAAGGAGGTCGCGCCTAGGTATGTTCTGCACCTCAGCGTTATAAGTCTTCGTTGCTCAGCTGAACTACGATTTAGCCATACAAGCAATAAGCCTATTTACATTATGACGACTCAGATCGCCGTTTCGGACGAGGTCATCAGGGTAAGTTCAACTTTCTCCTCTGATTGTTTCTCGTTTATTACCCTATGCACAGGCACTAACGAAGCTCGGAGCGAAGATGACGACAAAGCCTGCCGAATGCACGCACCTCGTCGTCAAGAGTCTCGTCCGCACGGAGAAGTTCCTGTGCGCGATGGCGGTCGCACCTTACATCCTGAACGAGAAATGGTTGCTCGCATCCGCGGCGCGCAAACGTTTGTTGCGTGAGTATTGCATTTCTGTGCCTTTGTGTTGTTGTCATATCCTTTTTGAGCAGCGGAGAAAGATTACTTGCTGGTTGACCCGGCCAGCGAAAGCAAGTATGGCTTCAAGTTGTCCGACGCCTTGCTCCGGGCGAAGGAGAATAACGGCAAACTATTTGCGGGAATGAGCTTCTATGCCACGCCGAAGGTACCAGTCGATACGAAGCTCTTGAAAAACGTCGTCATGGCCAGTGGTGGGCAGGTAGGCCTTTGAGAATATTTTATCCGTGCATTTTTTTGGCTGAAATACTGCATAGCTTTTGACGCAGACACCCACCCTTCGAATTTTGAACGGCCACGATGATCGGTACATCATCTCTACGCCGGCAGACATCTCGATATGGCGCCCGCTAGCTGAGAACGGCTATCCTATCTACAGCCACGAGCTGATCCTGAATGCTGCCCTTCACCAAGAAATCGACTGGGAAAGTCCGTCCAGCAGAGTATCCAGCGAGAAGTAGTGTAAGATCTAGTGTAGCTCAGCCTTGTACATTTATCGGAATTTTCAATCGACGTGCTCCATCTGTTCAAGAAAGTAATCTGGTGGAGTTATATTCATGCAAAGCTGCGAATGCCGGTGGAATCCATGCGGCAATAATCATACGTGCAAGATGCGGAAAGGACGGGTACTGGAACGGGCACATGAAAGAATCTGCGGATATGGTATGCTACATTAGTGACATGTAGACTATGTTAGGGTATAAAACAGAGCAATGTACTGTTGACGTGGTAAGCTACGATATTAACTCCTAGGTAATGAAATTATAGGCGTAAGGCCGCGGGAACTGACAGACGATAGCCCGCGATTTTGGGTTTGACGCTTCAATTGTGCCTCCATCTGTTTGCGTTGTTTGAATAAGTCATCGTCTCGGATTTTCATGGAAAATGCAAGCTCAATGAATGAATCAGCAGCCGGTGGTAAGGACGAGATGGGCGGACGAGTCAGAATGGTCAGAAGCGACTGTTGACTCTGGCATTGCAACAGCATACGCCGACAGCAACTCATGATGGCCAGACCGACGCGGAAGAGGAATGGTACTCCTGAACAGCGGCTTCAGCGGAGGAAAGGAGCAAGATGGCTAGAAAACGCACCATCGAACAGGAAGACGTCCCAAATACGATAAACGAACTCCTGTGGGAGAGCTCCTGCGAATACAGATGTGAGCCTAAGGGAGAGCATGCAATTCAGTTGTCGTCTCGAATTCAATAACTAGAGAGGACCCACCAAGGCCGACAGACGGCAGCCGGTGAGATCGCCATGTCAATGTATATTTTCTTGGACAGGATGGCGTCGTTCGACTCCAGAGCTCTGGCGAATAGGGAGGCATCAACTTCCAATTGGATCGGCTGCTGTGAGAAATATGGGCGTAAATGCGAATCCATCATGGACACGAACGTCCAGAAAGCATCCTCTTCTGGAGACTGGACCAGAAGTTTGCTCGCAATGAGTGCAAGACCTGCAATGATGGTTGAGCGGTTATTTAGGTCGAGCCGATTCAACCTACCTCTGTTGTAGTCGATGTCTGGTACCATCGTAAGATACGCTTGCAATAGGTTGACCAAGGACTGCTCTTGGAGAGGTTCCTCTGCAAAGAGCGCCTTCGCATCATTCTGAATATTTTCGATCGACGCTACTCGACTACATTGACCCAGCCGTGCGTAGATGCCGTCAACGCGTTTGGCCTTGCTGTCTGTTAGGTGTGCCCACACCACATAGCGTACAGACGTAGGCACGCCCTCGAGAACTAGTTTTCTGACCTTCTTGGACTTCCTGGACTGAGAGGCTGGGACAGACGTCATGATTGACATCCAACGAAGCTCTCGCTGACGGTGAGCTTGCACTTCCGGACTGTTAGAAACCTTGGGGCTCTTCGGCTCGTGCGTGTTGTGATCGAGGGAGGGTTGTCTTATGGTGATGGCACTAGCATCCGGGAACGACATGGTTGCAGTCTCATCCCTCGGGCTCGGTATTGTGAGAGGTAGCGAGTCTACACTACTTGCCGCCAAGGGTGAATGCGGAATGGCTGGCCTGACCAATTCGAAGTCCATGTCTTTGACAGAGACTGTCCTTTTGTCAAACGACTCAAATGAGAAGGCGCCAGCGACCGGACTGTGGTTAGGCGTGGATCGGTCACCAGTGGGCACGCGTAAGAGAGAAGGAGAGGTCGTCGACCGCGATGATCCCGCACGAGGGTGGGATACGGTCTCCGGAGAATCAGACCCGGTTGATGGGGAAGGAACATTCCATTGTGTATCATGCGAATGTCTAGTATCATCCTTAACTGAGTGGCCTCCCAGCGAAGACATGCTCGGCCTAGATAGTTCGTCTCCTCCAGAAGCCTTAGCACTGGGCAGAATCGACGATTGGCTGCGCCTAATCACTTGAAACGACCCATTAGATGGAGACCGGGGAGACGCTGGCGGGCTAGATGTTGACGGTTCAGACTTCAGGGTTACCTTCGACGGATGACAAACCAACGAACCTCCTCCAGAGCGGGCCTCCCTCTGCAATGGACTGCTGGTGAATGCTCTATCGAATAAGTTCATTCGAGGCTCAGGCGATCCAGGTGCGGAAGATGCAGCCGGGGGAAGCTGTCGGGGTCCAGGTCTCGGACTACTAGAGGCAGAGGTCACAGACATCGGAGACGCTGAAGCAACCACAACATTGTTCTGGGATAGCGACAACGGAGACGGTTTCTGCACAGTCCTGACAACCGATGTGGAATGAGACACCGTGGCGCGCTGCGGCGAAGGCAAAGGCATAGGCGAGCGAGCCGCAGCAGGGGTAGAAGTAGCCGACTTCGACCGCATGGTAACAACTCCTGCCGGCGATACGTCGCCTGATGACAGATCCCCCACCGAGCTACATGAACGACTCAGTATGTGTGTTTATGGGAATGAAGACAAACACTGACCTTTTCACTTTCAGCGACAACATATCCACCGTGGTTGAATCGAAACCTGAGAACGATCTGGACCTAGGACGCACTCCAGGAGCCTGCGGGAAGAAGTTCTGACGCGGAATGACCCTCGTCGTGGACTCCGGTCTGCCAGGTTCTCCGTTGGGATCTGTCGGCCTGGGGGACTCAGTCAGAGAACGGTTCAGTAGCACCTGACCATCTGGTGCCGGTGACGGTGCAGGAGACGCAGCCGACGCGCTCTGCGACTTGACAGGCATCGGTCGGTTTGCAGGGATATTGTTCGGCGGCTCAAGACAGAAGAAGATCGGCACGGGCCCGCTCGAGTTTGCCAGATCATGGTCGAATCGCGCGTAGATCGTTATGTGCCGACCACGGCCCGATGCCAACGCCATGTGCAGAGTCTGGGTCGCCGATCCTGCCGGCGGCCCCCCTCTGTGGTGGGACGGGCCTGACGATGGCATGGGCTGACGGCCGTACATAGGCCCAGCGGGGGTCCCGGAGGGCTTGGGCGCGTGCGGGTGCGGCATGAAGAGGCTCCTGCGCGTGAAGGTGGAGGCCTCGTTCAATGGGCGATTCGCAGGCTGCGGGCGAGCATGCGGCTGGAGTGCTAATGGTATTTGGTACAGAGGCGGCGGAGATGTCGGAGTGGAGGGCGATGCTGGAGGAACGGGGGATGAGTACGGTAGGAGAGGCGATGAGGGCGGTATCGGTGAGGGAGGGAACGGTGCACGACTAGTCGGGCTCGTCGGAGAAGTTAGATGGGCGTCATGAGGAGATACAATGCTATTATATGCATTTCCCTCGTCTTCTATCACCGCGTATGCAGATACTCGCTGACGCTCATCGACTTCGACGACAGATGCATTGCTTGCTTGGACAGCAGGGCTGTACGGGCGCAAATCTTGTTCTTCTTGCGGCCGGACGACAAGCATGTTCGTGGCAGGTTGCTGCACGTTCGTGGCTGGAGGTGAGCCCGGCGGTGGGGAGACAAACGATCTCATCGAACGAGGGCTCAGCGGTCCTTCGGGCGAAGCAAACGACGAGTGCAGCAGAGGCGACGGCGCTCGCCCACCCATGAGCTCCAGAGGCGACGGCTTGCCCTTCACGGTACCTTTGGACCGCTCACCTTCGACCATTGATGCCGGCCCTGGATCACCTTCCATTTTTTCGGGACTTGCGCGGACCTCTGTCCGGGAGGCATCCACTTTGGAAACCGTCTCCTGGTTACTGACATCGCGCTTCACACTCTCCAGGGCCGCTTGTTGATTCCCGGGAGCTGCTGCCCGCACCTCCGAAGCGTTTGCGGAACTCTGCAAGTCAGGAGGTATGGGTGGGACCTGATGGTCAGGGACAGCGAGGCGCAACGAGCCCTGCGAGAGCCGCGACATCTTGGATGCCATCGAGAAACGTGAGTAGCGGTAGTTGTCGTAGATGTCCGACCAGTCGGACGTGCTGAGCTCGGACCCGGCAACGGAGCCGTGCATAGAATTGCGCGGGAGGACGTCCGAGTCGCGAGCGGCGCGCGCATACAATGGGACTGGGGGTTGGAAATCGGGATCTGCAAGCGATCGGTGCGCGCCTTCTGAGGTGGAAGAGTCGGCGTCGGAGCCATCGTCTGAACGCGAAGATGAGAATGACTCTCCTGCCATTTGGTGAAATGAAGTTGAACTTGAGGTTCGATCGGGCTTATCCACTTGAGGAGTGGAAGCTCTACTATGCTGACTGTGTACAGACACATTGTCCTCTTCCCTGCTGCCTATAAGCCCTTGCAAAAGAGAAATGCCTACGCCAGTAATACCATCAGATGACACTGCAGAAATCCGTGGATCGTTCTCCACATCAGAGAAAGACAGCTGAGAGCTCTCTGGAGTGTCCGGGATGCCAGCGGCACGTGGCTCATTTTGTTGGTCCAATGATCTCTGCTTTCGGATGTTTAGAGGCGCAACTGAGGAAGGAGGAGCACCAAATGTATGCGTTGACGAAATGCTGTCCTTGCCACCGTGCGTAGAAGACTGAGCCGCCGACGGGCTGCGCATAATCCTGACGGCATCATCCTTTTCTCCTCGAGAGAAACTTGCAGCGGCCGGCGGAGCAGAGTCTAGTGCAGTGGACATTGTCGACGGACTATCGGAGCGCATATGCGATCCGTCATCCTGTAATGGCTGTGCAGAGGGCAGAGGAGACGCAGTTTCAGAGACGGGTGACGTGGTGAGCGTATTTGTGCTTGAGGACTCTGTCATGAAGGAGGACGAGGTAGACAAGGAATACGACATCCTGGGGGTCGATGCTCGTGTGGGCGCAGGAGAGCCTTCGGAAGGCAGGGGAGGTGACATAAAGTCACGCGCAGTGACTGTCAGTGCACTCTGCGATGAAGATGGCCGGCTTTTGGAGAGCAATGTGTTGGAAGAGGAGCGGCGGGTCATAACTGGTTTCTTGAGGCGGCCATGGAAGCGGACGAGGGAGCCGTGGAAGCGCCCGACTACGCCTTCGCAATATCCCTGAGACAAACATCACGCTTGAAGCTCGCGGTTGAGTAGAAAGTGGCACCTACCAGATACATATCCTTCTTGTCCGCCAATTGTACGAGGACAGTGATGTTGTCGTCCTACGATACGTCATGTGCATACAGCTTCTTCCGAGGGTTGTGAGGTACCTGTACGGCTTACCTTCATAAACATGAGATCCTCCGAAGACTCAGCCACGCAGTCCTGGAGAGCAGTGCAAGTGCCTATGCCGCCCTTGGCAGCGAACCGGGTCCACCGACGAAGATCTGTGGCGTCCATCGACGTGCAGTGTAGAGCTCAAGTGAAGGCGACGGCAGCGACAAGCACACAAATCAAAGGACAGCGACGTATAAGAACCAGTAAGGCGAGCGAGCAGTGGCATCGACGGGTAGGCAGTTACGGAGCCGAGTGATGCTGCGACGAAGCCAAAAAGACAGCACACCGACCAGGTATTAGGTAAAAACGTTGATTAGGTAGACCAGCTGGACGCCGCGGACGCGAAGCGAGGAGCCAGGAAAGGAGTGGGACGGCGTAGATAACACCAAGGACGCTGTGCGGGACAGCGAGCAGCAGTATTCTGGTTACGAGTCGGCAAGTAATTATGGCTGGAACGCCGGACATTGGATTATGTAATCAGGTGCCTTTGGGTGATCGACCGACTTTTGCAAGTCCGTCCCTTGTCCCTTGCGCTAGTCACGATGCCGCCTATGTCGTTCAAGGGTTTGGTCACGAAAGTTGGGTTCATGAAGAAAACCGCGACGGTGACGGTGACGCGGATCGAGCCTCATCCCCGTACAGGCAAGGTGAGCCTCTAACTCATTCTCAAGTTGTTGGTGCTCATCAACCTGCTATTCGTCCTGCAGCTGCTGGAAAGGAGCAAGAAGTTCCTCACTCACGATGAGCACGACCGTGCGCATAGTCTATGATCGCATTGAGTGCATACTGATATCACGCTCGCGTCGTCCAGAGCTACGGCACGGAGACATGGTGCTCATCCGGAATTGCCCACCGATCTCTGCGCGCAAACGTTTCATACTGGAGGAGATTATCAAAAGCCCGGAGGGCGAGCGCGAGAAGGCACATGCCAAAATCTCTCAGCGGGAGGACGAAAGCTCTCAGCGTGAGACCGCAGCAAATGCTGCCGCAGAGTCGGGCGCAGCGCCCGAGGCTCCGCTCGCCACTGCTGCTACATGACATCCCTGTAACGACAGTCTCAACCTCAATCACAATCACTGAGAGGAAGATCTCAAGATGATCGCGTGTCAAAGACATCCATCGCATCGCATTCGCAGCTACTCGGGCATAACACTGCGGAAAGCACTCAGGCTGGTGGTGACAGCAAAATGATAGTATAATGGCTACAATACAACTTCGGTGTCATGCGGGGACGGCAGCGGGTGGCCCTTGCGGGTTGAGCTGCTGCTGGAGAGCCGCCTGGGTTTCGACGAGCTGGAGTTGTGTTTCGAATGTTAGAGGTACGAGGAATGTCATCGAACGCAGCCCCCCAGAGTCGCGTCGCGGAGACGTAAGGCCAACAGCGTCGACTCACCTCTAGCTTCTTCTCGTATGATTTCTCGTCAAGATCTTTCAGCTGTGCCTCGATTCGCTTGCTATGGTCGAAGAGCGGGTGAGTATCTACTGCGAGCCGAGTGAGGAGACGGACGTACATCTCTCCGCGGATGAACTCGAGCCGCGTCTCGACATTGCTCTTCGCTTCTGCCTGCTCTTGTTTCACTAGGATGGGACCTATCAGTTTGTACACCGTGTTACTTTCCGTGAGTTGAGCAAACTCCTGCAAGAGAGGATGAGGTTTCGTCGACGAACAGTAGCAATCTACGCGCACTTTCTTCACGAGCTCGTTCTCCGAGAGCTGTGCTTCCAGCCGCTGTCGCGCCTCCACGGCATTCGATGTATCATTCTGTAACTTCTGGTAGTCGGTCGACGCCGTCTGCAGACGTTCCTGCAGTGCGAGAGACATGATGCGAAGCGTTCAGCATGCCTCTCTCAAGACTACAGTAGACTTAATCGAAATTGGGCAACCAAACAGGCCAAAACACGGCTGTGCCCGAGGCCGAGGATGGCGCAGCGGCGGCGCCTATTCGCCCGGTACGCTGGTCGACCATGGACAACTCACCGACCGCGCTGTTCGACTCGTACGAGCAGGACTTTCAGCAGATTGTCTCTAGCATTCGGGATAAGGTCGAAGGAGATGCGAGAGGAGAGCAGCCAGGTAAGTGTTTGCAGGGTACGCTGTTGCTACATCGCTGACTGACATGGGAATATGGTGCAGAGCAGCGCAAGGCCGCTCTGCGGCGGGCAGAGATGGAGCTGGACGAGGCGGATGAGATGGTGCGTTTTCCTATGCCAGTGCGCTTACTTGGGCTCAAACCATGGACGTCCTTCATCCAGGTCTCTCAAATGGAAATAGAGATCCAGGGCATCCCGCAGTCCATCAAGCCGTCCTACCAAGCGCGCATCAAATCCTCCAAGGCGGAGCTGCAGCGGTACAAGAAGCTCGCGAAAGACCTGCATGCGCAGGCATCGCGCGCGGACCTTCTCGGCGGCGGCGCACGGGATGGGATGGGCGCGCCGCTCTCCGACGACCCGTACGGCGCGACGAGCGACCGGACGCGCTTGCTGGCGGGGACGACATTGTTAGAGGATGGCTCAAGGCGGCTGCAGGAGAGCCACAGGATTGCGCTGGAGACGGAGGAGCAAGGGACGGATATATTGAGGAGTCTGCGGGTGCAAAGGGAGCAGATACAGAATTCGAGGGATACGGTGAGCGCTTGTAGTATGTTTTGAGTGAGAGTGCGTTCTGATGGTTTGTGGTGTATTGTAGCTGCAACGTGCTGATACGTCGATTGACCGTGCGTCTGGTACGTTGAAGAAGATGATTAGACGGTGCGCGGTTTCCGCTTTCTCGTGGTTTCCGTTCATCGTTGTCTGATAGATGGATCTGAATGCAGGATGTACCAGCAGCGCGTCGTCATTGGGGCGATCGTCGTTGTGCTCGTCCTGCTCATTCTCGTCATCCTGTGGGCGAAGCTCTGGCACTGATCGTTGTGCCTCCCCTCTTTCGCTCTCTTTCATCTTGTAGGGCGATTATCGATGGGACTGAACACTTTGTGCCTCTCGTTATTATTTATGTAGATCCTTCTATACCTTCATTGACTGTGTACTCTATTGCTGGATTCATTCTCGCTGTTAGACCATTCCGCTGATTGGCTGAAACTGGCGCGGCGCGCTGCGGACCGACGCGCCTCGACGGAGCTTTGCATTTCCCCACAACTGAGGCGCTCTATAAAATGCTCCGACCCCGCATTTTCGCTCCCACTCTGGCTCCCCATCTCTCCTCTCTGCTTCGCTTCCTGGTCGCCATCGACGCTCTGTAGTCTAATCGCTTTTCTGTTCGCGCCTTTGGGTAGCTTTATATACCTGCTAGCCGTCGTCGCACCATACCCTCCGCTCAGACCATCAATTGAGCCACGACCATGGCCTCGTTCCTCGCTGCATTCAAGTGAGCTGGCCTGTAATTTCCTCTAAGGACACAGTGATGACAATGAAATTGCCGTGGCTCCTACATAGTGCTTCGCTTATCCGCAGACCGATGCTCACACAGTGCGCCTCGGCCGCCTTCATGTTCGGCATGGGAGATGTCATCGCACAGCAGGCATTTGAGAGGAAGAGCATGAACCACGATGTGAGCTGCTTGTTCTGGGGTGCTTGCATTCACGGCTCATGAATGCGTAGCTCGCGCGGACGGCACGGACGGCGTTCTATGGAGGTGCGCTGGCCACGCTTGCTCGCTTGCAGTAATCATTAGGTTTGATGAATATTTGGCGCATGCCAGGCTGTCTATTTGGTCCTCTCCTCACCAAGTGGCTGGGGCTACTTAATCGTCTGCAATTCTCCACGCCTCTCAAGTCCGTCGTTTACAAGGTGCGCGCGATCTGCATAGATGCTTAGTGTATGCGTCGCTTACTTAGATTGACAGGTGTGGTTAGATCAGACCACGTTCACACCATGTGCGCCTTGGACACACTCTGCAAAGACGATCGAGTTCACTGACGTACTTACTATTTTGCCCAACCTGTTGTAGTTGTTATTGGATTCTTCTTTAGCTCTATGACGCTCTTGGAGGGCAAACCCATCGCAGCTGCCTTTGAACGTATCAGCGAGGTGAGTTCCCATTAGATGCCTCGCACGCGTCGATTGTTCTGACTCAAGGCCCGCAATACAGTCATACGTACCGACTGTTTTCCGGAATTGGTACGTTTTCTCACTATTGCACTGTATAGACTAGAGAGCTGACGCTAAGTGACGGAAAGGTGTGTATTCGTACCGACACAGGTGATCAACTTCGCGTATGTGCCCGCGCACCTGCGTTTCTTTACAATTGGCGTCGTAGCTTTGTTCTGGAGTACGTGTCTCTTGCACCTTTCCTCAAGATGTGAGCTGACGCTTCTCCCTGTAGATGCGTACCTGAGTGCGGTGAACGCGAGGGACGCACGCGCAGCTGAGCTGGTCGTTGCTAGCGTTAATGACTCGATGAACGCAGCGGAGATGGGCATGCCATCGAAGAGCTTCTAAACGTGAGGGCGGCCGAGGAGGTCTACGTCGTTGCCAACGAGGGCTTCATTGCTTTGCTTCATCAGCATTGTTCAGGGTCTCATTCGTCAGTCCACATACCCACTAGAGCTAGAGCCGGCTGACTTGTATATTAGCGTAGCCGCGCGCCTGGGGCATGTAAGTACTTTGTATAGATTACCGACAATATGTGTTCAGAGAATATATGCAGAATGTAATTAAGGGAGAGCTGGTCATTAGATACGACAGTGAGCATATCTGATAGACTCGTATGGTGTTTCTGGCAAGATCAGCTTATCGGTTCGCTGCGCCTTTGCCGATATCGAGTTACCTCAATTCGTCTTGATGAGATGCGTAACGCGCAACTAATTGTTCTCGACTAGGTAGGGTGATTAGACGCAAAGCTTTCTATGACGAGGGAGCAACGGCTCCAGTGGGGAGGAGACCCACTTTGTGACGACCAGCATCGCGACTCGGGCTCCCCAGTTGAGACGGTGGTGGTTGGCGGGAAAGAGGGGCCTGACGTGCCCGTGTGGCCACTGGCCCGCCTCGTGTTGGAACACGGCCGACGCATCCGTGAGCCTCACTTGTACCGTGATTATATTCAACAATTCAGCGCAAGATGCACCGAGGATACGGTGGATTGTTCATCGCTAGTGGAAACCTTGTGTTAAGGTTAGGACACGAGGGCTGACAGCAGCTCGAGCAAGCACTCAACCGACAATTGAAAGCCTCCTCCCTCGTGCGCATGCTCAGCATAAATTCATCAACAGGCAGCTTTCCTTATATTTCAGCTGCTGCTGAACACATCCGACGTCTTTTAGCGCCATCCAAGCTCCCACGACAAATGAGAAAGCGACCACGCACGGAGAGCAGGGTGGCGGACAAGCACAGCTCGCCTCCCACACTTGCAGGCCCAACTCCAGATGACTCTGATGTGCCAATCTCAACTGCAAACGGATGGCCAGCAAGTCAAGAAGCTGTCACGGCCGCCCGCGCATTTCTCACTGAATGGTACAACATTCCTTCTCCCTTGTCAAACACGAGAAACCCTCTAATTGAACTGGACTTACAGCGCGCATGCACAGCAACCCGTCCTCCTCCTCCCTGACAAGGACGCAGACGGTCTCTGCTCCGGGTTCATCCTCCACCGTACCCTGCTCGCTCTCGGCCTCGCGCCCTCCCTCCTCTCCGTGCACTTCGTCGCCAAAGGCTCCAACGTACACGCTGCCTCCGAGCGCGCCGCCATCGCCCGCCACGGCCCACGCTACATCATCCTCGCCGATCAAGGCAGCCGCGCATGTCCCCCAATCGCCGACGACGCCAGCGTGAGGACGCTCATCGTCGACCACCACCAGAGCGACGCGTTCCCCGATGGCGCACAGGTCCTGTCAGCCGCGCATCACGAGCCCGTGGCCACATCTTCGACGCTCGCATATATCCTCTGCCGACCGCTCGTACTTGCAGTCTCTGGATCTGCTGAGATCATCGAACAGCTAGAATATCTATGCGTCATGGGGACAATAGGCGACCTCGGCACCGCATTTCGCTGGGATCCGCCCTTCCCCGATATGCGGGACTGTATCAAACGATACTCAAAGAAAGTCTCAAACGAGGCCGTCAGCCTCCTGAACGCTCGTCAGTGTCTCCACCCACCCATCATCATGACATACGTCCATTCCGCTAACACACCAACCAGCCCGCCGCACCGCGCGCTACGACGTCCTCTCCGCCTGGACCGCGCTCCTCAACACCTCCTCCCCGCGCGAGCTCGTCTCCCCTTCCAACCTGCACGCCCGCCGTCTGCACGCAGCGCGCAAAGAGGTCCGCGAGGAGACACAGCGCTGCGCACACACCGCACCGACGTTCTCCGGAGACGGGCGCGTCGCCCTCATCCGGATCTCGAGCGGCGCACAGGTCCACCCGGTAAGTCCGCACCTGCGACCACAAATAAACCGTTATTCATGATGGCGCACTGATTGATGTTCGGACACGGCACAGCTGATCGCCACCCGCTGGGCATCCACGCTCAAATCCACCCGGCTGGAAATGGTCATGTGCGCGAACGACGGCTACCTCCCCGGTCAAGGAATGACCAACTTTGCCTGCCGCGTCGCGCGCTGCGCGAAACACGGTGGAAAGCCTGCAGATGATGGGGATATCAACATCATCGAGATGCTGAAGGATTATGCAGATCGCGTGCCGGGTTTACGCGCGAAGATGGGTGAGGACTTCGCGAGAGGACATAAGCAGGTGATGACGCGGTCCCCCTCCCTTCGGAATTCTTTACGATGCATATTCAGCATGCTGATGCTCCCATCGACTACAGGCTAGCGGAGGGATCGTCCGCACGCAGGACTTCGAGCGACTCTGGAGTGTGATGCTCGACGCAGAGCCAGTGGAGCTTGGGGCAGGAAGTGCTACATCAAATCACCACACAAAAGCAAGTCAGTAACACATACTGTTCTACAGGATCACAGAGAAAGAAGAGAAAGACGGGTACCGATCAAGAACCGGCGCAGACGAACACATTGGAGGGATGGATCAGGAGGAAGCCTTGACGAGCTTTCCAGATCCAGAGGGCGGAACTTGAAGCAATAGAGCCTACAGCAGTACTGTTGTCATGTATGTATTAATGCATATATCCTGAGAGCGTTCTACGAGTATTTCTTCCTGAATATGAGAGTCTGCAGAGGTATTATGATAGACTACCAAGAGATGAGTTAAAATCTCTTCAAGCGCTCACGGCTCCCCACCGGCGCTCGACACGGTCACGTGGGCGTTTCACGTCCCGCCTGTCCTGGCAGCTTCATTCCGGACATCCACTTGTCGAACTCACACGCTATATAGATTCTGTAATCTGAGGTGCTGCTCTCGTTGCAAGCGCAGTGTAAACTTGAAGCTTGATCAGGTGCTCGATGACTCGAAACATTTCATAAACACTAACGGAGACTTTGGAGACCTAGTATACAAGGTTTCACAGCTTCTTTGCTAGTACAATGGTTACAAACAGCGAGCAGAGAGAGATACAAGTGATGCGATTTCTTGTCATATTCTCACCAGCAAAAAAAACAACGAAGCATAGAGTCCTTGGAACCATCTCACATCAAACGATGACCTTACATGTATCAGACAGGCGTGATTGCAGCACCAGGCTCCGAACTAGTCTTCGAAGTCTCCGAAGTATCAATGACTTTGGCAGTCTCCTCACCCATGAGTCCAGGTTTCTTGATGGGCGTGCAGATCGGGATCAAATGCGGATGTTTCTGCTCCTGCAGAGTGTATGATGCATGAGACGACACAGACTTACAAGGAGATATCAGAAATTCGCTTACATCGCCGCATTCCCTCTTGACCACCGACAGGAACATTGTCTTTGGGTCCACTGTGACCTCTGGATGTGACAGCGTCAGCTTGCGATCTGCAATCAAGAACACTGAATACGCACTATACCACTCTGTGTCCAGTCCAATGTCCCTGAGCTGCCGCTTCGCGACCTCTGCAATGACCTAACCGCGCGCATATAGTCAGGCATTCTACTCTATAAATGCATCAAGCCACGCACTCGGTAAAGGAACTCATAATGTCGTCCATGCCCATGAAAGAACGAGAACCGGCTCTGCTCGTTCAGCAGCAGCCCAGGCACGCATCGGAAGAAATCGAGCCCGCCCCAGTACCCCTCCTGGAACGTATCAAAATACACGACGTCGAATTTACCAACGCCGCGCAAGACCGCTTCGCCACTCGTGACGGTCATCCGCATGAGGCGCTCGGTGCCCCTGAGCTTCTCGCGCTCTGCGGGGAGGAGGAACTCCTGCCAGCGGCCCTCTAGAATGCGCACGTTCGGTTTGTTGTACCACCCGGTGCGGCGCATGTATTTCAGCAATTGCGGATGCGCCTCGATGATGGTGTGGTGCGAGGGCTCATACGACTGGAAGAAGGTATCGATCTGTGAACATATGCACGGTAAGGAACGGATGGCTACAACAATGAACGGTACACACGATGCCCATGCCGAACCCGATATTGAGGACACGTTTACCCTTCCCTAAGCCGTCGAGCAAAAGGCTCGCAGTCTTCTTCACTGGAGTAAACGGTGGTAAGCAAATGGATATATAGGCGAAGGGGGGGGGGGGGGGGGGGGGGGGGGGCAGAACGCTCACTGATCGGCCGCTCCCATTCCATCATGACGCCGACACCGCCATGATCGAGGAGCACTTTATCATACATGCCTAACTTTGAGGTCTCAACCCATTCTTTGTTGTCAGCGCGCTTCTGATCGATGGTGACCTCCCATTCTTCTTCCTGTACGGGCTTGTATGGCTTACTGAAGCGCTCATATTCTGATCAAAGCCCGTTATCAACGGTAAGTCAGTTCTTTCCGGAATGGGAAACACGTACGTTCCTTAACGGCATGCTCGAATATAACATCGTAGCACTCCTTGTGTCCGTTCTGGAGCGCAAGCTGGCCTGGCATAGTAGCACCAAAATTCCACTTCGCACCGTGTTCGAGAAGCCAGGCAACATTGCGCACGTTCCCCGCCTTCGCCGCCTTATGCAAGACGGCCTCGTTGCCGAACGGGTCCAATGCGTTGAGCGACGCGCCTGCATCTAGCAGCTTTTGGAGCGTCTCAACGGGCGCGTTCGCACTCTCCAGGAGGTCCATGCTGGCTGAATCGAGGACGCGCATGTTCTCATTGCTACACTATCTGTGAGAATAAATCGGTATGTGGGCTGCAGATTGCCTACCTGTCCATGAAGAACACGGGCATTCCGCGAGTAGATTCTCGCAATTCGGGATTCATTGTGATTTTAGAGCTTGACGGAGGTATGAGATTTGGAGAGCGCAGTGGTTTGCAGACAGGAAAAACGGTATACAGCAGCCTGCGGATGTAGAGCAGAAGGCTGCCTATTATGTGTTTCGGGGCCGCCGGCTGCCGCCACTCAGCTGTGGAGTGGCGTAGTGGTTTCGGACGTAGCTGGTGGCCACTCGGCTGTAGCTCTTACCCAGCAAAGAGCGTTCGAGAGTGCGCTACGCGACCCGGAAAGCGGCCGATGATGATGTCGGGAAGAAAATGACCACAAGCTTAAGCAGCACTTTAAAGTACCTTTCCAGAGGGCGCTTATAAACCGCACGTGATCGTGAAGGCGCCCATCCTCCTAGGGATACGCGAGGGTAGCTACCAGCCTGTGTACACCAGCAATCGAACGTGTAGACCGAAATGCAACGTTGCGATGTTGATGTCGCTGGTATCTGATTAAAAGTGTAAATCGTGAAAGCAAGATTCTCCGCTTCGCGTCCGCCAGTACGCCATCGTTGTTCCATGGCTCATATATTCTTTGCATTTTCGCAAACAGATACAAGAGAATAGCACTTTGAGAAGGAGTGACATGGGCAATTTGTAGGGATTCACGAGCAAATATAAGAACAGCACCGTTTCAGAGGTACATGAGTTCGTACGAGAACAAAGGAAGAATGAGGACAGGAATGGAACCATGATTGGGACATGAGCATTGCAGGAAAGGCAACGGATGATTACGCTGGCGAAGACCAGGCTCACTGTAACTGACGAACAGCAACATCTCAGCTAAGGACGGAGAAATCACTGCTGCTTGCACTCCTCCGGGTTGACGTTGTTGTTCGCGCCTGCGGCCCCACGGCCCTTGGGCGGAGCACGCCTCCTCGCGGGTACGTCCGCATCCGAGTCGGAATCCTGATATCGAGCGCAGATGGGCATAAGCATGCGGAAACGTTCTAAGCAGGAGACAGAGCATACCTCCTCGGCCTCGAAGCGATCCTCATCGTCGTCGTCATCCTCGATGTCCTCAAAATCATCCTCATCCTCATCGAGGTCCTCGTACTCTAGCGCCTTGCCCGTGAAGAAGTCAATCGCACGGGGAATGATCTGCACGGTGTGGTCAGTCTCAATAAGAAGCGCCACAGGAAAAGCGAAGGATGCGTACCTTCTCTTTAATGTCCTCGCCGATCTGATAATCGATCTCGAGTTTCTCCTCGAGCTCGTCAAGCTCCTCTTCATCGACCTCCTCCTCGTTCTCATCCGGCGGCTGTGGCGGGTTGAAGAAGTTGAAGAATGAATCTGTTGGACGTGCCTTGCGAACCAGACGTGTCCGATTTGTATCTAAAAATGAAATGCAAGGCTCAGGGATAGCCAATCACCACGAGCCTAATCGGCACTCACTCTTGTTCCTCTGCTTCTTGATCTCGAACTCTTTTGTCAAATCCTTATCCTCCTTCCACTTAATGTCCGTGCCAATCGCACGGTCATACATGAAGTCACCTGAGTAGCCCACCTCCTCCTGATATAGATACGTCTTCTCGAGCACTTCGTTCTCGAAAAACTCGTTCGGAGTGAATACAAAAGAGAGCTTGAAGCCGGGTTTGGGGTCGGTAGGAGGTAAGTATGACAGGCGGATGTCAGCGAGGTGCTTGAGCGCAACAGCATCCCTATCCGTGATCAACTCTGACAGGGCAACATGGTTCCTGAGTGCAGTGAGCCAGAATTCGGGGATCCCAGACGCAGGGGTGTCTTTTGGCAACGGAGTGTGGTCCGGATCGTCCTTGAGCGACTCCTTTTCGCCGGCCTCGATCTCCTCAGGCGTAGGTTGCGCCTTACCCGTAATGATTGCATGTCGGCGATCGTAAAGCGGGGTCTGAAGCTCGAGATACTGCAGAACCAGCATTATCAGAGATCTCATCCTGCACAGCGCGTCGGACGCGATGTATGCACACCTTCTTCTCGAGCGCGAGACACTCGCGCTTGTACTGGTTCTGCAGCTCAACCTGCTTCACCTGCACCCCCTTGAGCGCCTCGACGCTCTTTTTGACCTCGACGGGCAGGTTCTCGACGTAGCCCGAACTCTTTCCGAGCAGCCCTGCTAGTTTTCCCTGAACCATGCCGAGCATAGCATGCTGCATGGCCGAGTTGGCGTCCTCTTCCTCAGGCTCATTATCTTCGCTGATGTCGGGAACGGTGGGGCGCGAGAGGCCGGCAGCGATGGGCGCGTGCGTCAAAGGCGTATTCTGCGGGGTGGGAGCGGTGATGTCGGAATGTGCAAAGGAAATCTTGTCGGACATGGTTGGCAGAAAGAGAAAGAAAAGAAAGGGGAGGCAAAGGCGAAATGACAAGCAAGAGCAAGGGCGCCTGGCTAGACAAAGCGAAAAAAGCCACGCGGGCGGAGTTTGAAAGAACTCAAGGCGTGGCTTTAGGCGTTCGCGCTAATGCAGGGCGCAGGGCAGCTGGCAAAGCTAACACCTGGTGTTAAACGTAAACTAGAGTGATACACTTCAGTAATCACTACTGTTATCTTTGCTATCGTCCTTCTTCACCGCAATACCAGCCCGTATACGTACAAAGCGGGTCAAGTCATGGTGCATGGGCACTGCGAGCACGCTGGTACCCGATGTGCAGCGATCAGCGGCAGATGGCCACAAGATATTATCGATCAATCAGCTACGATGGAGAGACTGCAACTAGATGAGTAGGACCATATAGTAGTAAATACGCACTTACGCACTCGCGACCAACATCGAAGATTGTTCTGGTGAGAGGCAAATGACGCAAGCTGTGCAATCGCCAGGCATCATACTTGGCCCAAAGACTTGAAGGTGTTTACTAAACCATCAAGGGGTTGCAGATTCAGTGTAATACACCACAGCGAATCACAGTACGCACGTTACTGTAAGAAGCTCTTCCGTTGACGCACTATGCCATCGAGAGCTGCTGAATGGTGCTGTTCGTCTGCATAAGTTCTTCCATTCCCACATTCAGCCGTGCAAAGCGACATGCCGGCACTCTTCCTCTCGTGCGCATGAAGACCACAGAATTGCGAACAGTGTCAGCACTAAGCACGGTCGATGGCGCAGTTGCATACAAGCCCTCGCACACTGTTGTGTCTGAGATCTGATGCATGCACAGTGAGCAAACAATCCCAGAAGGTATGTGCGCTTGTTGATGTGCAGTCATCTTACCTACCGCATGGACCTAAGCCCAGCCATACCTTAATCACGCCCAGCCTATTCGCAGACTGGGGAACCCATGCGCTACCCCCATTCCAATCACTGTAACCCCAAGCATTAGGGAAGGATTGAGCGCTTGGGCCTCGAGAAGCTTCCACTTCACCGACTTCTGCGCTACTGAGCATGTCTGTTTAAAGTCATCGAGTATATGCTAATTCATGATAGTACATTTCGCTTACACTGCCATGTCCACTGCTACACCCGTTCATACACGTACAGATACGCCAGCTTCTTCAGCTCCCGCACGCTCTCCGCATCCGCCTTGACCACCTTCTCGTCATTGAACAGCACCCAGCTCTCTCCACCCACCGCCACGTCTTCCACTCGGATGTGCGCGACGTAGTGCCCCGAGTGCACTGACGGGCCCTTATGCGAGATGAACGCCTTCAGCCGATAACGCGCCGGCAGCTCCGTCGACCCGCCCACCGTGCTTGACTTGGACTTGGACGCCTCCCTGCCACCCGCCGGAGCGTCCTCACCCGTGTCATCAGGGTGCGAGAACAACCACTCTACCGCGCGCTCGACGTCCATGCCCTATACAATGCGACCTGATCAGCTGCGCAGCGGCGTCGGAGCGCACAACTCGTACCGTCTCCCGTAGCGCCTTCCGCGCTTGGGCGTGGGTGAAGCCCATGTCTGAGAGCACGTTAATTTGCTCTTGCGATGGCTCCGATGCGGAGCCACCGGCGCTTGACACCTGGATGGGGGAGTCGATATCTGCGAACAGACGGTCAGCGATCGATCAGCAGTACGATTAAAGATGACAATTACCCGGGTCCTCCATGTGCGCGAAAAGCCACTCCATCGCAGTTTCCGCATCGTTGTTCCCCGTAGCAAGGAGCGCCTTCTGACAGCGGATGGCCGGGAATCCCATTGCTTCCAACTGAGCCATTGCCGCTTCGTTGAACTGGGGCAGGCCGGGAGCGGCTATCCAGTATCCTCGTGAACATCACCGTCACGCACATCATCTGATCATGCTCCGACGCACCAGTTTGATCTTCTGGGAGCTCAATCTCACCAGATTGCAGGCCACGTCCAAGGTATTCGTCGAGCTGCAGTGAGTCTGAGACATTGAGGGGGATGTCTGAGTGATCAATATGAGCGTAACCTCCAGTGAAGCATAAATGTGCTCGTACCAAGCTTAGCAGGGACCCAGTTGACCAACTGGAACTTTTTAGCATGAACGACTAGCACTTGAGGGAAAGTAGCAAATCGTGAGCGTCTGTGAATCGTTTGATCAGTAGAATTTTCAAAACGGTAGAGACGACACAGACTTTGTCGCGATGACATTCTTTTGGCACGCTGGACATTTGTACTCGAGCGCTTCCGTGCCTGTGAGGATATCCAAACATTCCTTCAGCTCCACCTCCTGATACAGTGTCTTTCCTTCTTCATCCTTCCCCCTCTCCCTCGCGGGCACAGGCACACTTACGACCTCCATCTCGTCCACCCTGTACCTCACCCGCTTACATTCTCCGCATTGGAGCAGCTGCTCCATTCCAAAATCAAATACACGTGTCGGATCCTCCTGTGCGCTCACCCCAATACGCTTCGCGTGCCTCTTAAGCACGGTCAAGAGGTACGTGAAGAACTCTTCCGCGTCCTGCTGGCGCATCGTCGCAAACTCCTCATGCCCGCGCCCGACGAGAGCCTTAAACCCACTTGGGCGCACACCTTCCTGGAACACGGGAGTGGGAGAGTCGTGTGCGAGCGGATTCGTTGCTTTCGGGTCTCTTGGGGCTGAGGCCGGACGTGGGTGTGAGTAGCGCCCGGAAAGCAGGCCATCCGCAAGCTTGTACATCTGGCAGTCGACACAGTTCGCCGGGAGCGATTCCGTGCAGGCCTGCCAGTGCGCTGCAGCGGAGGGAAGGTACCTCTCGCGGAAGGCCGGTAGGGAGAAGAGGGTTTGGATGACCGAGGCCATGTAGCAGCTGGCACAAAATTAGGTTTAGACACAGCATGAAATCATGCGAGATTAACTTGCCTGTTGCCTAGATTGGAGAGGCCAGTGAGGCCAGGTCCGAAGACGGGCTCGAGCGCCTTGCCGGACTCATCTGTAAGCGAAAAGTCGAATTTGAGGTTGTGCTCGATTTGCTTTAAGGGATGTGAGAAAACGCGACGCGGGAATTACTGGCAACAGTTATGCTTACTAGCTCCGTCATGGATTTTTCCGTCTTTGTCTGCGTCTGCACGTTGATACCAAACGTAGCGAGGTGTGCAGCGAGCTCGGGATCCGTCTTTGCATCATTGCATGTGTAACAGTAGATATCTGGGAAGGACACTGTTAAGCACAAAGTATCGCACGCAAAGAAAGGAGATCCCACCTGCGTCGCCCTCTGGCGTGATCGTTCCTAGTTTGACGCTGACTGGATGATGGCTCTCCTCATAATGCTGCAAACCATGTCCATTGCCACCGAGGCCGCCGAACTGCTGACGTCCGCAACCGAGAGAACCACATGTGAGACAAAGCCACAAGTTCTCCTTCAAGTCGCACTTTGAGCAATGGGCGAGCCCTGTTCGCCGTTTCACGCATATGACCCACTAAATGCATGTGATCCACTCACCCGAAGCGAGAATATGTCCCGTAGCCTGCTGTTGCAGCGTCAGCGTATGCTCGCACGGCGTGATCTCCTCCTCCCAAGCCTTGACCTCTGACTGGCGTGCAGAAGACAACGACTTCATCACGCCGTCGCTGAGCGCCTTGACGTGCGGGTCGGCCATCGCATCTGGGATCTCGAGCCCGTTCTGCGGATCGCATTTCCAGCACTTGAGCACGGTCTTGAAGTCGTACTTGTCTTCGTCACGATCCTCGACGATGGCGAGCTTCTGCAGCTTCGCAGGGGGCTCCTTCTCATCTGTCTGAATGATAATGTTTCAGATATGCGAATTGCATTGATCGCATACAGTAAGTATACCCGGTTAGAGGAGGGCTTGAGCTTCCGCTTGATATTCAACGTGAACGAATGTCCGCTCTTCTGAACATGCGTCCGCGCATGGTGTCTCTCACTTCCCAGACAACCGCCATTGAAACACGTCAAGCAAACATCAATGCCTAACGGGTGATCCTATACGTCTCGTTAGAGAACAAAGACAACCGAATCGTTGCGCCCGGACGCCACCTGATTGTCGAAGCATTGCGTGCATTCCTCCCTGTGCACTGACTGAGACAGCTTTGGGGGCTGCAAACGAGCGATGTCGCTGAGATGACTGCACGCTGCCATGGATCACTGAATATTGCTGGTAACTGATGGAAGGCGTGCAACGCGTATCCCAAAGCGCCCAAGCGTGCACACGCGCTAAATACTGGCGAGTGCCACGTGACGGCGCATCACAAAAATTCAAAATTCAGACTGAAGCTGTTGCTCTACCTTCCTTCTACTTTCCTATACGATGGCTGCGCAGCCGAACGGAAGTGCCGACGCGCCCATAGAGGTCTCCGCCCTCCCCACCGTCGTCGGGATCAACTTTGGCAACTCGTACGCGTCCATCGCGGTTCTCACAAAAGTCTGTGTCATTCTAATGCTGCTGCATAACCATTGAACTGACTCGTGTGCGCAGGAGGGCTCTGCCGACTGTATTGCCAACGAAGATGGCGAGCGCCAGATCGCCTGCGCGGTCTCGTTTCACGGCGAAGAGATGGTACGTACACCCGCAACGCACCATATACATCGCGCTCATGGACACGCGCGAACAGTACATCGGCAACCAGGCCAAGCACCAGCTCATCAAAAACTCTCAAAACACCATAACTGGTTTCCGCAACCTTCTTGGCAAAAAGTACGCATGGCCTCACCTATAAATCAACACTCCTTGACTGACCATATACAGGTTCTCTGAACTGTCCTTCGACAAGCCTTCCGTTTCCGCGCTCGTCATCCAGCACCCCGAGCAGACAGACATCCCCGCATACAAGGTCCAAGTCCTCCAGGCAGCCCCATCCCCTCTCCCCACGACCGCAAGCAACACTCCAGCCGCCTCGCACACTGCCACGCCCCGCTCCGAGCCCACCCCCGCCGAGCGCATCCTATCCGTATCCGAGGTGACCTCCATCTTCCTCAAATCCCTCATCCAATCCGCCGAAGACTTCCTCGGCAAGAAAGTCCAGGGCGCAGTCATCAGCGTCCCCGACTGGTTCACGGACGCGCAGCGCGCCGCCCTTCAAAAAGCCGCAGAGGACGCCGAAATCAACGTCCTACAGCTCCTCGAGGAAGCTGGCGCCGCCGCCGCCGTAACGACAACCTCCACCACGCTCTCGAAGGACCTCAACCCGGACCGCACGCAGCTCGTCGTCGACCTCGGCGCCTCCGCGCTCGAGCTCTCGCTCCTCTCCATCCGACAAGGCCTCGCCTACTCCCTCGCAACCCTCTCCGACACAACCGTCTCCGGCGACGCGATCGACGACAAGCTGATCAAGCACTTCGCCAAAGAGTTCACCAAGAAAACCAAAACGCCACTCGCCGTCGTGCCCGCCCCGACGCCGCAAGACAAACGCGCCGAGGCCAAGCTCCGCCTCGCAGTCGAGCACACAAAACGCACGCTCTCCGCATCGCCCGGCACCGCGACGTGCTCCGTCGAGTCGCTCAAGGACGGGCTCGACTTCACCGGCACGATCACGCGCCTGCGCTTCGACATGGAAATGCGCAGCGTCTACGCCCAAGTATTCGCGCGCGTGCGCGAGCTCGTCGGCACCGCGGGTCTCGACCTGTACGACATCGACGAAATCGTGTACGTCGGCGGGTCCGCGAGCCTCCCGGGGCTCGACGAGGCCCTCGCGCAGGGCCTCTCCGAGACGGTGGTCACGCCGTTCACGGAGGGCGCGGTCGTAGGCGGGGGCGTCGGAGACCCGACGGCGATCCTCTCGCGCGGGTGTGCGCTGCAGGCGCGTCTGGTCGCGATGCTCGCGGAGGGCACGGAGGAGGAGCGCGAGGTGCGCGCGGCGTTTGCGAGCGGGAGCGAGTGGACGCGGGTGAGGGCGACGACGCGTACGGTTGGGATGCTCTTCCCCGAGGAGGGCGCGGAAGGGGAGGGCGCGATTGGCGGACAGTGGGTGCCTGCGGTATTGAGGGAGACGGCGGTGCCGTGTCGACGCACGTTCCGGCTCGACGTGGACGTCGGCGCGGAGCAGCGCGTCGGGTTCGAGCTGTGGGAGGCGAAGGAGGGCGTGAAGATCGAGAAGGTGAAGCCGCCGCGGGACGAGGAGGACGAGCCGGTACCGGCGGAGGAGGGCGAGGAGGAGGAAGAGGAGGAGGAGATCGAGGTGAAGGAGAAGACGGTGGAGAAGGAGACGCTGCTGGGCGCGTTGGCGTTCGCGGTGAAGACGGCTAGAAGGACTGGGGACCGGTGGACGACGAAGATCGAGGTGCAGTTCTTGATGGATGATAGTGGGGGGCTGGAGGTGAGTGCGTGGGAGGTTGGACCGGGGGGCAAGGGAGAGAGGTCGGTGGTCGTCGTGCCTGCGCCGTGAATGGGCATCAACCCCTGTAATCATCTACATCTCCTGAATATAGCGGTCATTTTGTGCTTTCGCCCAAGGGCTGCAGATATCCATCATCGCCGCCAACTCTTACACCGTGAGTCATTGCTATCAAATGACAAAGTACAGGTTCGTCTATGGGATCTCATCATTAAAACCATCGAGTCTGGTGGTATTGACACAAGGGCATTTCCTCATCGTCGCTTTCAGGTCTTTCACCGTGAGTCCTTGCTATCAAATATATGCTTCGAAAAGTCGTCTATGGGATTTATCATTTAAAGTTCGACTCCAGTGGTATTGACACAAACAGTATTGATACAGGCACACTACACTATACAGAACCAGGTACGAGAAGATATCGCTACATTCTACCACCTAAATCACCGCAAAATTCCCGAGGGTAAAATACCACCGACAGATCACTCTGCCAACAGCGCAGGGTCAATCGGCACCTCCACATCCCCTCTCTTCTCCTCATCCGTTCCCATCTCCATCTCCTCCCCCATCTCCATCCCCATCCCCAACGTCGGCTCCGGCAACTTGAACGGATCATCACCGAACTGCATCTCCCCCTGCTCTCCCCTCACGTCCATCCCCATCCCCATCTCCATCTCCATCGCGGGATACACCAGCTCCCCGCCCACCAAGCTCTCAGGCAGTTCCAAAGGCGTCGGCGGTGCCACCCCCGAGCTCTCGCTCCCAGAATGCGAGCCCGAGCCCGAGCGGCGGCCCGAGCCCGAGCCCGAGCCCAGCGCGTCCAGTCCCAGGCCCTGGGCACGTTGCGCAGCCGCGTGCGCGCTCAGCGATAGCACGTGGACGTACGCCGGCAAGCTCTGCCGCCGCGCGGCGTAGTCGACCGGTGGGAGGAGGTGCACCTGTCGCGTGTAGGGCTGGTGCTGGCGCTCGCTGTGCTCCTGCGCCGACTCGTGTTGGTATGCGTGCGGGAAAGGGTGCGGCGCGAAGAACGCCGCGCTCCCGAGGTCAATCGACTGCGGGCGCGCGCGCCTCGCAGTGCTGCGCGCCTCTGCCTCATACTCGCGCTCGTGGTCGTGCTCGGGGGACGTGCCCACGGGGAAGCGCAGCGGCGAGGACACAGGCTCAGACGCCGGCGTCCTGCTCTGCGGCGGCGAGACGGGCTTCGCGTCTCCATTCTCGGGGAAGCGATAGTTCGGATCGACATCGCCGCTCGTGCTCGCGTCGGACATCCTGCGCTCGTCCGCAGACGGGCAGGACGCGCGGCGCTCGGTCGAGGTCGACGCGGCGTCGACGCTCCTCCGCTTCACCTTATTCGGCCCACGCATCTTCCGCTCGGGCGCATACTCGCACACGAGCCCGCGCATCCGACAGCGCGCACAGGTCGGGTGCTCGCCGCTGCACTGCAACCATCCACACCCGTCAGCCTCACACTCGGCGACGCAGCAAAAACAGCACGCACCTTGGCTTTGCGGACGCGGCACTTCTCGCACGCCTGTGCGGTGCGCATGCGCGGGTGCTCCGGCACGCGCTGGTACACGCCCGTCGCAGGGTCGAGCGAGCCGGTGACGGACCAGGACGGCTGCGCGGCGGCTTGCTGGTGGTCCTGCAGCGTCTGCGCCGCCTGGCTGTCGCTCTGGTATACGCTATGTGCGGGCAACGAGGGCGGGAAGAGGGGCTGCGTCGACGCCGGTGCGAATAACGGGTCCATCGGCTCGAGTCCGAGGTGGTTCATGTGCCCGGCGGCGGGCCAGCGGAGGCTGGTGTACGGAACCTGCGAGTGCGGCGACACCGGACGCTGCTGCTGTACATGCGCAGAGACGAACGCATCGGCGAGCGCCTGTTGGAAAGCGAGGGTATTTGCGTTGGAATATGCAGAAGGGTGGAACGCCGCCTGAACGTCGTGCGCGGCGGACAAACCAGACGACGAGGACGGATGCGACGGATGTACGCCCTGCGTGCTGCCTTGGAATGGAGAGTCAGAGGCAGAGTCGAACGGATCGAGGCCGGCTAGCGAGTGGTAAGAGGAGGAAGGATGCTGGAGGGAAGAGCTGGAGCCGAACGCCGCTGCAAGCTCGTACGAAGACATGTTCTCGTTTCTGGTCACAGGATCAAAGTGGCTGGCCGACAACTGAGTGGCCATCGTCATAGCGGTGTGGGGGTTCAAGAAGATGAAGGTATGGCGCTTGCATTCGAGACAAGTTATAAACAAGGCGGATACTGGAAGAGTTGGTTCCGCGTCGAAGGAGGGAGAGAGAGGGGCCACGCACGATTGTCGATTGCACTGGCAGACTTGGCGGGTCGGCCGTTCCATAATGTCGCGAGGACCTGCATACCACCTTGGCGAGGCTCCAGAACCAAGCCAGTCAGTCCATCGTCCACTCTTGCTCTACACACTTCTGCGCTCGCCACACATCGAATCAGCTACGCTCTAATCGCACACACTCGTCAGCCACCACGCCCGATCGCAGCCCTCGATCTGGCAACACAACGCGGATACATACCACATACGGCAACTCGATGCCCCAATCCGGCAACCATCGTCAGATCCGCGCCACTTCCCACACACATGTAAACCATCCTTACCCGCCCACTTCCGCCCGACACTGGCAGATGGGCTCCACTCCATTCATTCATCCAACTCCAGGCACTAGAGATCTGCACACATCGTTTAATAAGCTACAACCATGCAATATACAACGCTTTGACGGCGGAGATGACCCAGCCACCATCCGCCGCCCTCCAGTCACGAATCGAACAGCCTCCATCATAGCAGGAACCAGCCTATAAGAGACATTTAGGAGCAGGCCACCAGGGCCTACCATGTACCGTGCACGCCAGTCCCAGCATCGGAATCATCCTGATCGCCTCAGGCGGCGCATCACGCGCTCGTGGTTCAGATGCCGCCGGCTCGTCTTTCTCTTCGTAGCGCTCGCCAGATCCATCGCACTCTCTGACCGCCGCCGCCGGCTCGCCTTCAACACGCACGTGCCACCCGACGCAGACGCAGACGCCGATGGTGCCGAGGTCGACGCAGTGGCAGACAAAGTCGTGACAGCGCTGGCTGTGCTCGCGCCACTGCCCGCGCTGGCGGATGTCCCACTTGGGACGACGAGCACGGATGCCGAGACGGAAGCAGACGACCCCGCTGTGATCGCTACCCCGTCGCCCCCCAGCGCAGACGTGATCTCTCCCTCCCCATCTCCGCTCACCAGCTGCGATATCGCGGGCCCCGGAAAATCGTACGTGAACCCTGGATCGTACACCTGTGGAGCACACGTCAGCCCAGATCCAACGCTTGGCCATCCAGATATCCGACTGCATCGCATCAATACGAGGACGTACGTCTGGAGTGTAGATCCCCGGGTCGTCGTCCGCGTACCCCCCAGGGAACGTGCACGTCTCATCGCTATCCGGCACGCCCGTCCCGTCCCCGCCGACCTCAATCTGCGTACACGAAGGATAGAACTCGGCGCCGCCCTCGGACATCGCAAGCTGCAGCGCGATGATCTACCGAGACAACGCACGTCAACACGAGATACCACCGCCGATCCGCGCACGCACCTCGTGCCGTATCAGGTATCCCCCAGCCTCGAGGTTCGCGGGCAGCGTGACGGTATACGAATCCCCAGCCTCTGCACGCACATCAACCGATCGCCTCTCGCCACAACAGCGAGCACGCACCGATATACTCCTGATACCACGTCACCGACCCGCTATCCGAGCTGATCAGCCCAAGCTCCGCGATCTTGAACCACGCCGCCTCCGTCGCGTTGAACTCTGCACAGCTCACATTCCCACACGACGCCATATACGTCATCAGCGGGCCCGTATTATGTGGCCACTACCCCGCCACCACTCAGCCCTCCCATACAGCAGGAGGAAAGAAAGCACGACGTACGTTCGAACCACCCGTCGACCCGCCCGCCCACTGGAACGTCACCTCGCTCCCCGCACTCGCAGGCGCGACCACCTCCGCGAGCTGCGCGTCCCACCCACAATTAATATCCGCGCTCGTAGCTCCCTTCACCGGATCGATCGTCGAGATCATCCGAATCGGGCTCGCGCCTGCCCGCCGTCGGTCAGTAGCAAGCTCAACACAGCGCGAAAGGACACTACACACCCGGCGAACTGCTCCCGGGGATGTTCCCCGCGTACGCTATCCCATCGACGACCACCTGGCTCACGAACCCATGCGCGGACACAGACGCAGTCCCAAAGGCACACGCGAGCGCCACAGCCCACACGCCGCGCACTGGCAGGTGCAGCATCTCCGAGTCGATACGTTGAATGAGTGTGAGTTGGTGTTCAGCCGCGCCTGCGCGATCAGCGATGGCAGTTGAGAAAACGACACAACGAGCAAACGAGCGAGCAAGGTTGGCCGGGCCCGGACGCCCTCGATCCGTTCTTATAGAACGGATCACAGTCAGCCCACCGTGGGCGTGCGCTGCGCAGCACACAACGCACAAAAACAACAAAAACAAATGAATCGCACGACGTCGCCTCGAGGTGTCCTTTCATCGACGCGCCGCGGCCGCTGCTTCCAGCCTCCAAGACAAGACAGAGTCCATATGCATGCAGAGCGGACTGCGCGCGCCACGACTACGTACGGCGAACGACACGCGGCAGGTATCGGCGATCAGGATCACACTCGGGCTCGCCAATGGCGGGTCGAGCTGGGTCCGGAACGCATGCGCGTAGACGGGCTTGGCAGGGTACACAAAGCGCTTGATCCGTTCGTTTTCCTGGGACTCGGGGGTTTCTCGGCGCTTGGTCCAGGCCACACGCGGCGTCAATCAACGCAACGGAGATGAGGAGTATTATATATTTAATACAAGGGTATCCAGACATGAGCATAGCGGTCGGGGTTGGGTCGAGACGGAGATGGATGAGGCGATGCGTAGGGGTCCTTAGAAATGCGAATGCCAATGCGAGAGTGTGAGCTGTAGTCCGTAGTGAACTGAACGAGATGTCGAAGAGTGTTGAGGAACATTATGTGATGATGAATGAGCTCGAGACTTGTACCCAATCAGCCGCAGAACCGCTAGCGAGCGCATCGCACAACACGACAGTCAGCATAACTTGGCGCGACACGCACACACCACGCCCGGCACGCACTCACCTGTATGCAAGACGGCATCCATGGCACGCACACCACTCACGGATACCAAACGACGTCCACGACGCCCCACTCCTCCTCCCTCAACGACATCGCCTCCGCCTCCGACACCCTCAAGCACCCCTCAACATGCACCGACTCAACACACACCGGCTTCAAGCTCCCATGCGGGTTCCACCCCGGCACAAAGCTCCCATTCAAGCTCGGAGACGCAAGCGACGGCACCGCAGTCGGCGCAACAGCCACGCGCGCAGGCGTCCCTGGCAAAGAAGGCCCCGCGATCGGCCTCCTCTTGAGCGGCTTCATCACGCGATCAGACACAGGGTCGTATATCACCCCGCCCACCACGACCGCCGCGTGCCCGTTCGCGGTGTACCCTCCACCAGGCAAATCCAGCGCCGCCGCCCTCCGCGCACGCACGACCTCGCTCAAGCACGCGAACCGCACATCGGCGCACTCGACGATCCCCAGGTGCTCCAGGCGCGGCACGACCCAGTTCCTGCCCGACCCCGCGGCGCCGCTGACGCGACAGTGCGAGCAGAACCGGCCGGAGAGCGAGCAGACGATCGGCCCCGCTTTCGTGCATGCGTTGAGGGTGAGGTGCGTGAGCGACGGCAGGTAGCGCAGCATCGTGGGCGTCGTCTCGAGGTCGAGTTCGAAGCAGGATAGGCTTAGGTGGGTGAGGCTCGGCATGCGGGGTTCGCGGAAGATGGACTCGTGTCGGGGTAGAACGAGTAAGGAGCGCTGTCGCCGGGGCGGTATGTATGCGATGCTGAGTCGCTTGAGTGCGGGGAAGTGCATCTTCTTGAATGCGTCCGTGAGCCCGTCCGAGTCTATGCATTCGACGCTCAGGACCTCCAGCTGCTCGAACGTGATCGTTCTGTTTCTGTGCCGCCCGACTGGAGGGGTCTCGGGCTCGTTTATCATTCTGTTGTTCTCCGCCTGGGCCCAACGTGTGCGTCCGGTGTTCAAGCAGAGCTCGAGTTCGCGCAAGACAGGGACGGCCAAGAAACAAAAGATCGCCCAGCAGTCCTTCGGAGGTGCGAAGCTCCATTCGAGGCGAGTGAGCTTTTGCAGCTGAATCGGATGTATTTCGTGTGGAGTCTCTCGTTTCATGTGGGGACCGCCGTCACTGTGAGGGAGATCGTCGTAGCTCAAGCAGACGTCTAAGGCCGGAGTCGCGGCATCGAGGACCAGCTCTGCGAGAATCGGAGCACGAGATAACAGAGCGCAAAGCTCCGACATTTGTGCTCCCGTCCGATGCGAGCCTGGGCCGCATTTAAAGTTGTGTAGTTGCAAGCTGCGCAAGCTCGGGAACATAACAGGAGGCAGCTGTGCTGGCGACACCTGCTCTAGTTGTAGGGTCTCGAGAGCCATGAACGGCGAAGCGAAGTATCGCTGAACATTCCAGTGATATTTATGATGCATCGTCTGCGCAAGTTTCAGGTGCTGTAGCCGAGGAAAGTGTGAAGTGTTGAGTACTGTGAGTAGAGAACCCACCGCTGACGAATGCCACGCGACCGAACGCCATCGTGAGACGGTATCGACGAGACAGTCGAGAGAGCGAGATGATGCGCGACTGCTCGGTGAAGCAATGATGTCTAGAGGAGCATCGCCGCTTCGCTTCAGGAATTGCGAGCCGATCCTCCAGTCGTCCATCACCGGGATCCGCGACCACAAACTCGAGGTGGACAGCATCGCATTGCGCCAGCGACGGCAGACATGAGACAGTACAAGCGGACGGAGGAGCAGCTCGTGCGCCTCAGCAGCTGGCAGGGCCGTTACCGGTCCAGCCTGGACGTGGGCGGTGAATATGTGGAGGAGGAGTTCGGTAGGGAGCCATTCGAAGGGATTGCGCTGTGCGTCGAGGGCTGCGCGCTCAGCCTCCACGGAACGTTTCTCCTGCAAGATAAACTCGAGCAAGCTTCGTGCTTCCTGTTCTCGCAATTGCAATTGGCTCAGCTTCTTATCCACAGCAGAAAGCGCTTCCGCGAGCCTATCTTGTCTTGACATGACTCGTTCAGTCTCTGTGAATGCCATCAGTCAAGGCTGAAATATTACCGGTGCGAACACGGGCGAGTCAGACAAGCTTGATATAGTGTTTCACGGCCTGCACCAGTGCTGTCGCTGAATGCGAGGGCCACGTTGGACAGCCATAAGCCACAACAAGCTGCTTAGTCAGCCATTCAAATTGGTTCCGCGACGATCCTCGCCTCGATTACAATTTGGGTCAATGCAAGTACGTTACATCAGGTATACGGCCTATCAAGAAAGCTTTTCTACTCGCTGTGTCGCGTATCATCTACTGCCAACTGATTTCGATGGCTCCGTTCAAGTCCAGCTCCAAATCACTCATCACGAGCTCCTGCTTCGCCTCATCATACTCCCAACTGGCGTCCTCCAGCGCCGCATTCTGAACGATAACCGTCGACGGCTTGGTAGCACCCACCCCGAGTACCGTCACCGACTCCAACGCCTGCTCGATGCTGTAGTCGCCGGCACTCCTGATGCTCAACGAGCCGTCCGTGACGCTGAACGTGACGGTGGTATTGGGCGTCGGCGGAACACTATCGCCATCGTCAAAGTACGCGGTACCAAATGCGTACCCGCCCGGAGACAGCGACACGAGGAGCTCATAGGGGCTTTGCCGGGTTTCTGCGATCGTATAGGCCGGCTGAGAATGGAGCAGGATGGCGGACCCGTCCCTGACGTGGACGTTGATGTGGCCGAGCGGAGCGTCGAGAGTCGTGTTGCCTCCCGGATTAGCGTCCACGGTTGAGCGAGTGTACCAATCGCGCCAGACCACTTGACCCCTCCCTGGGAAGATCCCTGTAAATGACTATATCAGCCATACATCGCGCCTTGTGTCCTAGATATACCACGCACCGTCCACAGTCGATACATTCGGCGTCAACACTGGAGTGACAAGGATGTCCCTTCCGACCAAATACTGTCGGTCTACAGCGAAAAGCTCAGGCTCTGTCGGGAACTCGTAGAACAACGCGCGAACGACCGGCGCCCCATACGTCGACGCATTGGCGAACAACGTGTACTTCATCGGCGAGCTATCAATTTAAACTACGCATATATGAAATGACCCGACATACCCAATACGGCAACAGCGAGTAGCGGATGCTCATGGCAGTACGAGACGCATTTGCCACGCTTTCCCACCGATACGGCTCCTGCGGAAGGGCACCACGCTGATTATGATTCCGATAGAACGGCATGAACGCCGACATCTGCATCCACCGATTGCACAGCTCCTCATCAGTGTTGCCTGCGAACCCACACGTGTCCGCGCCGACCATCGGGATCTGGAAGAGCTGGAATTGCAGCGCGCCCTGGATGTTATAGTGCATGTACGCCCACTTGCTGTAATTATCGCCCAGCCAATGTCCCGACCACTTCCCAGAGCTGGGGAAAGTCGAGCGGCTGATCAAAAAGGGCCGTTTGCCCCGGATCTCCTGCAAGGCGATGTGCGTGGCCTTCTCCTCCATCATGCCCCAGAGGTTATGCACGTCGAGCTCGACATACCCGCCTTGATGAGTGGCGTTAGTCGGCGCTGTCCGTGTTCCCAGTGGTCCGAAGCCTGTCCACCATACAACGAGCCGATCAGCAAGACACGCCGAATGAGAAGTCGGGGGAACCGACCGTTGTGGATCGCGTACGGCGGGTTACTAAGATTGACACCTGTTTGTTCACCCGCGCCGACACCTCGCTTCTCCAGCGCGGCGGTGTCTGGTGCTTCTCCGCTGTACGTCAACGTGCCATTTATAGTGATATTTCCGCTAGGGCCCCAGAGCGTGGCATTATACCTGGCGCGTTCGTCAGCCACGAGTTCAGGGACGACAATAGAGACAAGCGTACCCTTCGGGATACGCCGTGACAGGGTCGTCAGGATCCCCGGGTAAAGCCATGGGCGGCGGGGTCGACAGGATGGCACCAGTGCCGCTGTACGCGTGAGTCAGTCAGTCTTCTTCTCCGGCAAGGCGTTAAACCACAGCTGACCAGGAGCCGTTGCAGAAGGACGACACTTCGTTCATGTCTAGCCATATGCCGGAGAATTCGACGCCGCCTTGTGACCAGTTTTTCAGCGCTTCTGTCCAGAAGGCTTGGGAATTGTTTGCGAACCAGTCGGGAAAGACCTGCACGCACGAACGGAATGGGTATGCGCGATGTCAGTCCGAGATTGTGTAACGGGATTGTCCGTGAGAGAAGCAAGGGAGACTTACGGTATACCCCGGCCAAACTTGCCCGACATACTCAGAGCCGTCCGGGTTCTTCATCCACACATCCCTGCGAAATGATGGTCAACAATCCTCTCAATGAACGACCGAACGTGCTCACAGCTCGACACCCCTCGTGTACGGGTCATACTGCTTGCATGGTCAGTCGTGACGTACAACGAGAGTAAGAGTGCACATACGATGTCGGTCGCGTTCACTTGTACCGCAACGCCGGCGTCGGTTATGGGAATATAATGCTGATGGTTGGCAGCCTGACAAGTGTACTTAGTCAGAATGCATGTCAATAGGAAATGTTCATGGCAGCATCACCAAATCCTCGATGAACGTTCGCATCTCATCACCTGGGAATGAAACAGGGTCGGAGGTGAAGTCTCGCAAGGCGTGATACAAGTCAATGTCGTTCCACATCACTACACGTGTCAGCGAATTAGTGCTCTTCGACCACGTCTAATGTCCGACATACCTTCCAGAGGGATGTCCGCCTCTCTCATGCGTGTGACCTGCTCTTTGGTCTCCGTGAGATTCTCATAACCCCACCGACAGAGGTGAAATCCGAGTCCCCAAGCGGGCTGCCAAGTAGGCATTCCAATCAGCTCGCCATACTGTTCGATCACTCGCTGCGGGGTCGGACCAGAGAAGAAATAAAAGTCGAGCGTCCCGCCGATGAGGCGATATTGGATCAGGGATTTAGACGAAGATGGAGGTGTCAGCAGTAGTATGTCCGATCCGGATGAGCTAGTAATGTGTCAGGCATACTGGCATGGGTAGCATCGGTGTATAATCACCTGAACAGGAAGACGCCATGAGATTGAGCCTGCTGTGTGGTCTCATTGTACCTGTGCTCCATGTATATCGGATGAGAGCCATATCTATACGTGCGCGGCAATGACAAAATCGTCAGAAGTCAATACCCAGATGAAACTGAAACACACAAACATGTTCTGGTTGAGCGGGTCGGCATCGTCCCGATTCCACATCGTTTGTATGGTCCCAACGCCTCCGTCAGCACCGACGTCGCGCCTGAAACCGCTGCTCGCGACAACTTCTCCAAGACCATAGATGTTCGCGTCGTAAGGGAGGGCAGAGGTGATCTGCAGATACTGCTCCTCAAACACGAGCGGGAAGCCTTCGAGAGCAGTCGAAGAGTCGCTTGCTATGACGGGCGCCATGGGTGTCGGTGGAAGTGAGCTCGCTCTAGTGTCAAACAGGGGCTCAGCATCGGGATCAGAGCGACGCGTAATCCAGAAAGCAAAGGGAGACGAGTCATAGTTAAAGACGAGGTCAGAACTATTTTTGCTGCCGCCCGACGACGACGACTCAAGAGAGATGACAGAATCCGGAATTGTGAACTGGGATTGAGCCGTATCGAAAATGTTGACGTGGAGCCTGCGGTGGGAGTTTCTTGTCAATGCATAGGTTGCACGAGCACGTGGATCCACGAATTACCTTGTGTCCGAGTCGTAGCTCACTTGCAACGTAAGTTCATCGACGTCCTGGCCAAAAGCCTCACAGGGAGATCCTGCCAGCGTTAAGCTTGCTATGAAACCATTCTCCATATCCGTTACTTCTCTAAGAGTATAACCTATATTGCGATAGCACACATGAGTCACACATGCCGACGTTGATCGAGTTTCTGTAAAGAAATTTGCCAAAACTTACCTGGACAAGCAGAGACGTTCTTTGAATAGTACGTATCGACCTCGAAATCGCCGTCCAGCCAGTCTGGACCGGCAAACACGTTCGCATTTGCTAAAGCGCGGTAACACACCGCAAGCACCACTCCAGCCAAAATCATCGCGATCGCGAAGCCCGTACGGTCTACAGCTGTAAAGGACTAGCTCAGCGTTTGCACAGATATGATGCAGATGGAACGTGTGTACCGCGACGGGCACGCCGAGAAGGCATGGGCGTCTTTGGAGTCGAACCCACCGCTCCCCGCCTCATGTTTGAGCGCTAGAAGTGCGCCGTCAGGTGTTCAGAAACGAAGACAATCGTCGCACTGAATGAAGGGAATCCACCAAAACCTGTTGGTCTCATGACCGTGCTGTGGCGGCGGAACGCTGAGATGAAGTTCAAGTGCAACTCTTGCCTTCTTCGGCCGCAGCACGCCACGCGCCACACAGCTCTTTCTCCTCGGCGCTGAACAAAACCTTCCTGCGCACTTCACTCAGGCCGTTTTCTTTTGCTCGAAATCTTCAAACGCCAGAGCCATCGAAATACGCGCCTGATAGAAGATTGGACAAATTCGGGGAAAATTGTGGAAGCCTGAACCGGAAGACCTCGAGACGCCAAACTTAGGCGTACTACTAAGTAGGACCTAATTGTTGTGCAAAACCGTCTTTATTCAAGGTTCCAACTGCGATGCGCCTTCCTGCCCAGGTGTTTAGAAAATGACAGCCTTCAAAAAATAAGAAAATACCTGGTATAGAAACTTCAATGCAAGTGCTGGCACTTCGCCGCCAACGATCCAGAAGTCCGGATGCCCTGACCGTAGCGCGACGAGGTGATCTAGCTATACCTGCATTTGTTCGTTCCAGTGCTCAGCGAGCAGGACACCATCGGACTTCATTTGCGGTCCACAAAGGTGATGACATTGACTTATTGGTGACTGGCGTCAAACGCCCGCCGTGAGTCTGTGTGACCTGTACTGATAATTATTTCTATCAGGTCAAGCTGATCGGTCATGCGACTGGCGCAGAATGTCACGCTTCCAGACCGAAGCTCTCCTGCAATGAACCGTGGAAACCTCGTTGACCGTATGCGGAATGACGTGAGGGTCTGCCAAGCATCGATAGAATTTGGCCTACTGAGCCAATGTCGCGATCCTGCGCAGAGTAGAACATTGCACCATTACTGACTGCCGCATTGGCATTTTCGGCTCAGAATCTCAGTGAATCTTCCTATCTCAGCCATTCTAACATCATCAAGACGGCCGTGAGAGGTAGGATGCTGAAAGAGGGCGTTAGCCGCCGCAATCGCTGATATTCCGCATGGGCGACAGGTTCTGGTTCATGGACATTCGGCTTTGCAGGACGGGTATACTGGACAACCCGCACAAGAAGAGCTTTGATGCATGCGGTGTTCTCGGAAGCATCTGAGTCCAGAACGTGGATCTGGACTATGCAACAGCGGGCGGGGCTAGCGAGCTGCTCATCGCTAACCCGTGGCCAGGTCGCAGTCGCAGGTCGCAGTCGAGTCACCCTTGATGTTCTCCCGATGCCGAATATCAAACTCTCATCGCGCAGACCTTGGTTCTCCAGCGTGTCTGTGCGAACGCGTGCACCTGGGTATTCGGTTTTCGAGCCGCAGGATTACTCCCGGGCCGTTGTCTTCTCATTTGTCAATTTGCATCCCTGTTCCATCTGATGACGATCTTATCACCAGGAGGCCGCGCACTTCCCCTTCACCACGAGTGCGGGTCCGTAAGGCACGCATGCTGCTCTTCTCCATAGCACGGTTCTGTCCCTTCCGGGGATTTGGCGGAAGTGCGCCTCACCAGTACCGCGATGATGCAAGATGTGACCTCTCAGGCGTCCCGCGTTACTGTGCCGCCGTCCTGCTGACCTGAACCTTGCTCATCCAGGACGGCTGCCGCGGTGTCGAATCTGGATATTAACGGCGCATGGTCTTGGCCCTGTCCGCGCGCGTGTACTTTGCTCTGCTCACGGGCGTCGAAAGGGATCATCTGACAACGCGCATCCGGATCCCTGGTCCAAAATCGACAGGTTCGTTCATAGGACATGCAAACCTCGCGCGGTTCGGAAGTCTGGACGGGCTTCTTGACGCTGTGCCTTGGCGCAGAAGCGCTAACGTACAGGCGGTATAGAGCACAAATTCCGCTCTTGCTTTCCGCTGGCTGGGCTTGGTAACAATGAAACGCTGGAGGACACGCTTCTATCTGTCAAGCGTCATTGCTCGTTTACAGGGAAACAGCACCCCGGATTCGCGCCAATACTGCCCCATTGAAATTTCCTTATTGCGTAGGGTTGTCAGAGGTATTGGAGGTTTCCACCGTGTCGCCGAGACCTGAGGCTTCTGGTGGAACGCGTGTCATGTAGTAATGCATCGTCCTCTCCCGCATGGTCCAAACTCTCGCCGTGGCGCGCCGCGTCCGGGCGGATGGACTTGACTCGTGCTCACTGATGACTTGCCATTCTGATACCCATTCTCTCCGTTGCAGTCCGTTATGATACTCGTAAATCGCTTTCGTTGAGAGGAGATATGTGGATACAGTCATATTTCCCGCTGTTTCAAATAACGGGTCTCCAGGTTAGATTTACTTTTAGTTGGACTGAATTGAACGCCGCAATTTTGGAACCTTTCCGAGGGGCTGTCCGCTTACGCAACGCACGTTGCCAAGACGCGTGTGGTGTTCATCAGGGGGAATTTGCCCACTGAATTGGGATCGACGGAGAAGTCCTTCCTTCGGTTCCACGGTAGGTTAGGAGATCGCCACACAGGACATCACCGCCTCTGTATCAAGACAACACGACGTGCACATCTGCATTCTATCCATACGTGTACAAACGACTTTGGCAGGAGCTACGATGGACCGGAGTCATGGTGCGGAGCACAATCGAAGCCGCTGCAAAGGCTACAGACGGGATTTAATCATGCCTTTCACCGACTCGGGATCCAGCACCGATTGGGGATAGGGCAATCCCAACGGGCGCAAATGCTCACTACCTCCATCCACCGGTAACACCTGTCCGGTAATGAAGCTCGCAGCGTCACTGAACAAGAAGATAGTAGCGTTGGCTATGTCCTTCACGTCGCCAGTTCGTCCCACGGGGATATTTGCCCAGCCACCCCCACTACCGTCCTTTGTCGTGAGGCGGTCTGCCCCTTCTGTCCCTGAAATAGGTCCTGGAGCGATGACATTCGAACGGACGCCCTAGTGGTATTCAACATTAGCATCCTGGTAGCAGACACGCAGATATTGTCACCGACGCGAGGTCCTTCTTCGACAGCTAACACAGCGGACGCTATAGTACATAGATATGCTGAATACTCTGATTTAGAAGTCAATACGACCACTCACTAGCGTCCACAGCGGCCTTTGCGGCAGAGACATGTACTTGATACGGAGTCCCTACAAAATGTGTTAATACTTACACCGAATAGACCTTATTTTAATGAAATACCTCTATAGTGCAGTGTTGCACTGACATGGATATAGGACCCCTTCGACTCTCTCACGTACGGCAAGGTTGCTTTGATGGTGTTGTACGTTCCGATCTACGTAAGCTCTTGCGAGACTGCACGGAGTCGCAATCCAATAAGACGTACAGCATCGATCTCAACAACAGTCCTGAATCCATTCTCGGATAGCCCGGAGATGGGTGCAAGGAAGTTGCCGGCCGCTCCTAGAAACGATGGTCGTTCGTCTCGAAAGGGATACCCGTCAGGGGTGCAGAGCTCACCGCAGATCACGAAGTCGATTCTTGCGTACTTGGCAATCGTATTTGCGACGGCCTCGTGTAGCTGTTTGGGATCGCGAACGTCAGCTTGAGCTGCGAGACATTGTCTCCCCGTGGTCCGCGCAAGCTCTTCGGCGCTTGCCGTGAGCCGGTCCAACCTACCGTGATCGTCAGATTGCACGAAGTTACATTGTTGTTTTGCTTACTTTCTGCCTACGATGGTCGCATTTGCACCGTGACGCATCTTATGAGATCATTACAATCCGTTCACCTCGGATATCTGAAGTGGAGAGCCGTGATAACCACATACCACAGCTTCCGTCATCGCCTTGCAGATTCCAGATCCTCCGCCGGTACAGAACAGCACCTTGCCTTTGAAAATATCATTCTTGAAAACGGTGGTGGAATCGACTATCGGTGAGACGTATGCCTTCATCTTAGAGATACGTCGTGTTGGTAGTTGACAAGCGCTGAATACACGCGCTGATGGGGGCAACTACTCATCCGAGTGGTTCGGTGACGTGCCGCATGGTGAGCGGACCGGTGTGAGATTATATGTAATATTGATGGGTTGCAGCGTGCCTTGCGCGGAGCTTGAGCTTGATTCCCCAGGTGAGTTCGGGGGTATCTACTACAGAGCAGATGCGATACATCGGAAGGTCAGGTCGCCGTCGCACTAACTGCATCGCATTCGCGTGGATATTGAAACGCATCCGAGAGACTAGCACAGTGGTCACATCTGCCGATGTTCTGATTGTGTGGCCAGAAGGCGCGCGAAATTCGGATAGATGTTGGATGTGGTGAGAGATATTCGGTTTGTTTTCGCCGATGGCTCACGATACACGCTGAGCTGTGACCACAAGGACACTGCGCGAGCGACCAACCAATTTTACAGACGGTCCAATGAAAGGCACGCATTGTACCGATTCGACTTGTGAGGGCTCCGGAGGACATATTCAGACAGTGCTTCCCCGCTCCTTAGTTGATCCATTCACAATTGTAGATCGTTCCCCACCCCTCTCACACAACAACTTTAGCGATTCGGTCGTGTGATATCGGATCGCAGCAGGATCGTTCAAAGTGACAGAGGGTACTTCGACACAAGCTCCAACTGCCCCATGACAGACGGTGCCGTCTCTGGGCATCAATTGCAAAAATAAATGCTACCGTTGGATTCCAACCGATTCCGAGCCCACCTCCCTGGTTGAGTTACCAATATACCAATCCTCGTGCTGAGAGTTCTCTGACCGGCTTTGTTGCTTCGGGCGCTTCCAGGGCGTGCTCATCAAGCTTACTTCTCGAAAGCCTATGCAGGTCCCCCGGAGACAAAAGACGACCCATCTCGGCGGCCCCACTTCGGCAGAAGCACACATCGATCGTCCGGGAATGCGCGCTGCTCAGGCATGCCGTAACAGTGCCCTGGATAGCCAAATGAGCAAGGACATGAACGCCTTGGCCAACAGTAGATTTAACATTAATCCTCGTACGTGTGCTATCACCATCTCTGGAGGGTAACCTGAAACAAATGCTGACGGCGACGTCCGCATGCGCTTGAAGGGTTCATCCTCCTGGGGTAAAGAATGTGAGGTCCAACATCACCACGGCGCCAGAACATGACAAACCTCGTCATTGACAATCCACGCGACCCCTCGCCGAGCAGGTAAGCGCAAGAAATTACGTCTTCAAGCAACGTCCGCTCTTGCGCCGATCGAATCAGAGTCGCATTAGCGTGAAACCAGTAGGATGGAAGCGAATAAGACCGTAAATGATGACAATGTAGACGTAAATACAGCCATGGTGGCAGCTGCGACTGAAAATTTGTGAATACACGTGTACATAGGTTGTGGTGCGTGTCAATTCAGAAATCAAGCATGCGCTGAAATTCATGGTACACTGAGCAGCTGATGAGAATGAGGCATGGCGGGTCTGGTGAGAGCGACGGCAGCTCAGCGTCAGTCGAACCTCCTCTTTTCCCAGAATCCAGTCTGGGCACCAGGAGTTACAACCGCGCCTGCTGTTGACGGCGACGTCTCGGCAGATGAGGTCGTTTGAATAGGCAAGCTTGTGAGAGGATGGTATCCGGATAACGGCTGACTGGGTGGTGTGCGATATGGGGATTGCCATTGGCTAGGTAGCTCTCCTCCCCCAGCGTACGAACTGCTCACCGGAGGCGGGAGAATGTTAGAATGGGTGAAGCCGCGCGGGTCATCTGCACCACCGAGCCTGCTTGATAGGGACATTCCCCGACTCATCTGCATGTAAGACGAGGGGAAGTAATCGCCGTTGAGGGGGCTCTGCTGGCCAAGGGGAGACAAAGTTCGAGCAGACGGCGACTCATTGGGCACGAATGGGGATGTGAGGGTCGGGAACGCAGCATTAGACAAACGCGTCGCCGATGAACCGGACCCGTTGGACGCCGTTGCAGACGTTGAACTGGGCCAGGAACGCTGATCGAGTGGTGATGAGTACGGTTCCGGTTTCTGGGTGGCTACGATGTTCCTGTCACCTGACCTCTGTGCGAGGTTGGTATCGAGAGCGGGAAGTAGAGGCCAGCTCATCCGCCCCTGACCTCTGTCTCCTGGCCTGGAATAATCCCATATGCTGTGTCCCGCATCCTCAACGAGACTGGCGATGGGGCGCCCGTGCTGCAAAGAGCCCATATACTGGCCGTGGCCACTCGCATCGGCGGAAGAAGCAAGCTTCTGCGCACTGACAACCCCTTCAGTATACCCGCTCTGCGGCGCAGCGGCAGAACGCGAGTATGCAGTTGGGGATGCTTGTTCCTCGAAGCGGCTCTGAGAAAGGCTCCGTAGTTGGTCTGAATAATTCGACGATGGAGGTGAAGCCGCAAAGTCATTCCCGCCTGCATACGCAGCAGAGCTGCTCGCGGCTCGTTCGAAACCGTACTGATATCCAACAGGCGAAGCGTCAATGCCAGAGTCGTCCAGGTCGACAGAAGAAATATCTTCAAGAGACGTATCCTCTCTATCAACGCCGGAGGGGAGTCCTGGAGAAGCCTCTTGGCCAGGCTCTAGCTTCCGCTTCTTGCGCGAGTTGTTGGGCCGCCGCCTATACACATAATCAGGATATTTAATGTTGAAATTGTCCTTCAACTTCTTGGCTTGGTCGAGGTAGAACTTCTTTTGTGACTGGCAGAGGGATGAGGTCATCTGAAAAACTTGGGTTGGCAATTGACGCACCATATCCATCGTATTCCATTCTCTGCTCAATATCTTGCTAACGTCTCCAGTCCTCATCATCTGGTTCGCAGCAGAGATCTCAGGCCTCCTCTTGCGTGCAAATATCATAAAAGCATTCATGGGACGTTTTGGAGTGCCATCCGCATTGAGTGTCTGCGCAATGAGTGCCATGTTGGGGTCCTCTGAGACATGATGTATCGGAACTTAATGCGCATCCCAAGATTTGTGCGAAGGGACTTACCTGTATCGTTCTCATCCTTATAGCCTTGCAAATAGTGACCGTAGTTCGACTCCGAACCAGACACAGAACCCTCTCTATCATGCCGCACATAGTCGTCTCGTTCTCCATAATGTGCATCGGTATCTTCCGATGAAGCATAGTAGACACCAGAGTTATAACAGCTCATCGAAGATCCGTGGGGTGTACGGCAGCTAATGCGAAGCGGGCAGGACTATGACCTCCAGAAGCCTGCGACAGTGCGCTGGCGAGACAGGGTCGTAAGGGCAGCAGTTCTCCAAATGCGTCGAAGGAGACGCTCACAGATAGCGCGTACCTGCACAGCGAACGGCTAGTCGAGCTGTGATCCGCAAGTCGAGGGACTGAATTGCGAATGGTGGGTCGAGGCGGTTGAGAGGAAGGGTGTTCGTAAAGCATATCTTGTATATGTTCCGAAGAACCTGGCGTAAGTGATGGACATCCTTGAGGCAGCCGGAAGAGGCACATTGATCCAATACGGTATTGTGGACGCAGGTGGATTGCCCATAAATTGTTGGTTTTTCGATAGGTCCCGGATCTGCTCATGAGATTTGCCTAATTTGCTTCCGTTTACGCCACTTATTCCCGCATCCGGCTAGAAAGTATCATTGTCAGCAAAATTGCTTCCAAGTAGCAGCCCTCTCGATATGGCTCAGTCTCCTGACATGCCAACACGCATTTGGCAGATGGACGAGCCGAACTTACAGATGAAACGTTCGGTCACTCGCATGTCTTAGCACACAGCAACTGACACGACTTGATTTCTCCATCCCTCGAGGACAGCTGATCGTAGCCGATCCATCGTGCACGGAAGACATCACTGCAACACCGAGGCGCGGCAACTGAGACGTAGGGCTCGGGTGGTAGCAGGCAGCCTCGATGATCGTCTATTTCGTATTCCGCCCTCCTGCGCCCGCGGCGGAGAACTGCAGGCGTTCGCGGAATCCGACCGGGACGCTTAGATCTCCGCAATTGGCAAACATGAACGTCGAGTATGTTCGTACCTTTGACTGCAGTTCGACAGCTGGCCCCCATGACTCTACACGCTCTTCGCTTCTGACCATTAAGGGGCTTCCTAGAGACCAACGCCTGAGAGCGACACTCTTATACGAGGTCAGTTGGGATGGCAGGAGACACACACCCAGCGGCTACGATCGGATTGTTCCGCTCTATGAATCAGCATGATACGTCTACGGTATGGCGCCGAACTCACCCCATCCGGCAGAATTACTATGCGAAGGACCAATGGTTCGGTACTGAGCGAATGTTTTTTGGTCTCCAATGCGGTGATCTTCGTCTGGGCACCCTGGCCATGGGAATGCACAGCAGCCGGGGGCATGACGTGGGAGTTTCCCGAATTGTCTATCCGCAGAGATTGCAATGCGCCCACTTGTTGCCTCTACATTATCAGTTATTGATGACAGGTAGGAGCTTGTTAAGTCTATCTGTGCATATGAAGGGATTGCGCCATTCAACTCTACACCTATAGCAGGGTTTAAGATGAATACCAAAACTCTTCGGCGCTCTAGGGTGACGCTGAACCTTGCACCGCGTCAATGCGGTCTGATTGCGCCAGCTCCTTCCTCCGGTGACAATAAACCTCGCTTCCCTCGTTGGCTTAAGCGATATTCCAACTTCCATTCGGTGAGCAACCTGCCACTTCAGGGTGGAAATGTTCTTTATAATAACCGCTGTCTTCTGTGGATACGTTTCGAGTGAAAGGGCTTCTGAGTGTGGGCGACATGCTGTCCCGTTCCACTTCACCAGCACCACAGTCTTCTAGATCACTTGATCTGACTCAGGGGACGTTGCCTAGGCGCCGGGTCTCGCGCTTCGACGGCAACAATGAGAATTGGCGGTCACCAGTAAGAGCTCGGCTATTTGCACGGGATCATACAAGGTACGCGCTTCCAGGACACGCGTCGATGACGACATGTTGGACTAAAGGCTGCTTTCGAGCTCCGATATTCGGCTAACAATTTCCGGGCCATCGATGGCCAGAGTAAGACTGCAAGAAGCTGACTGGAAGAGAGCACGCATCAGTATCATATAGGTTATAAGGTGGAAGGTTGACTGCGCGCACGACACGATGAGGCTTGGCAGGACGTCCGCAATCCGGTCGGATGAATCCAGGGTCCGGTCGGTGGTGAGGTTCATGATGTCTAGTGCAATCCATGAAGCCGCGGATCGCCCGCTCAAGTCAAGGGATACATGGTCGGTGCAGTAGCACACGCTGTAAGCAAGGTGCTCAGATGGTCCGCACGAGATAAGATGGGGCGACCATGTGACATTCACGGCCATTGAGGACTGGTCCGGCGGAGCGATCTTGCTGCGAGCGAAGAGTGCTTCGACAAGTCGTGTGGTTGCGTGGCGGCTGAAGGTCATGAGGCTGTCCCTCCGGCGTCCATCTGAGATGAAAGGCACAAGTGCGGCATGTGAACATGGGCGGCCTTGTAGACCACCTGAGCAGTGTCCCGATGACACGAACAAGCAGACAGCGAGCAATCGGAAATATAGTTTTGGTAAGTGGTGAACCTAGAAGCTTGAGCGACGATGAACATGCGGACTACGAAGACCAAGTGGTCAGTGTTTCGATCCGATGAGTTTTTGCCGAAGCGAACGCGCTCCCCAGATCGGCCGAAGATATCCTTGTTCGCCGTGAACAATGAGAGCACAAGATCGGAATTTCCAGGAACGTTCCGCGGGGCAAGAGCGAGGGTTGATGCACGTAAACTCCCTTTGCGAAAGAAGGAATGCCGCACTAGGCCAACGGTGTCGGTGTCTCCGGGCCAAAGCGATTGCGAACAATCCGATTGCCTTGGTAGGATACTGTGTAGAGTTGGAATACATACCTTCGTCAATCATGGTTGCGACAAGGCATCGCATCCTGTACTTATCCGAGAACAGATGAGCAACAAGGAGAGGTATAAGGGTAGTCATTCGGAATCTGGATGAAATCAATACAGAATGCGCCTTACGATCGCGATTGAATGTAACGGAGATATTCTTGGGATTGAGCACTTTCAATGAGTCGAGGTTTGATTGCCGGGGAGACTAATACAATACAGGGAAGGAAAGATTATTGGGAGGTATAGGCCACATCTTCCGCGTTTTACACCTGCTTGGGCATATCTTCAGAATGCATGAATTCTTGCAGAAGGGAGCGCTCTGGAGATGTTTGATTCCTGTCGGCACACTGGTCATGCATACTGCACTAGCGAAGATGCATAACAGTGCTAACGCCTCATGTTAAAAACGCAGATGGGGGTATCACGTAGTACTTATAATCGACTCACAACCTAGCATTGGCCGATAGAGCCCTCTTGACCGATGGAGCAGTCCGCCCTGTAAGGATTCCTTCATAAGCTGGTCGAGTGTAGTCAGGAACACACCAAGGCGTCAGCAGAAGATATCTGCAGTGTTGAGGTGCCTTTGAAGTTTGTGCATCAGGATTCAGCACCGCATCAAAGTAGTCGAAAATTGGTAGCTGTGGCCAAGTCAGCTTAGCATCCGTTTTCCATCGCCTCATGAGACGTGCCTTCGCAGGTGAGCATTGCAACTCTGGACGCTGACGTTGAACGTTGACGTTGGGCTACCGGGTCCGTGAGATGGCAGGAATAGGCGCTTACGGTCACGTGAATTGACATTCAGCGCCTATGACACCGGCGCTCGGCTGCCTTGCACTGAGACTATCATTCAGAACTGAATTGCGATCGTCTCTCGAGTCTCGAGCGTATTCTTGACCGGATCTCAAGCCTCCGAACAGGACGGCATTTGGGTTATGAAAGATCACATCGTCGACGCTAGTATGTTTTTTGCTGTCTGATCATCGTCGGCCTCAACCGAGTTCATATTGGATAGATTTCCCTCGCACTCTAGATCAACGCGTATACCACCTCGGTATTCGCGCCGGAGAGGTAGCTAACCGTATAGTAAGTGGTCTTCGAATAGTGTTTAGCGATAGGAAACTGAACTGTGCTGTCTCAGGTCACAGTAGGGTCACCTTCGCGTGCTCATGCCATCGCCAACTATTTAGATCACTCGCCGAAACCGTTCACACTGACATCAGAACGCGGGTTCACGACTATCACCGGAAGATACAAGAATGTACCTGTCTCCATCGTCAGCATTGGCATGGGTTATCCGAACGCGGACTTCTTCGTGCGGGAAGTCAGGGAATGTCTCACCGGAGATATGGTGGTGGTGAGGTCAATGAACGCATGCGTGGTTGATGCAGCAGAGCTTTTTTTGACGATTCGAAGGCTCGGGTCGTGCGGAGCCCTGATAGATGTTCCCGTAGGTTCTGTGATCGTGCCCAAATCCAGCATTGCGGTCACCAGGAACTACGATTTCGACTTCGTCACTGGCCAATCAAGCGAGCCTCCATATAGACTCAGTAAACCGGTCAGTTTATTATTGGCTGCCGTTAGAGCTGCTGACATCATACATCTATCAATGAGGTGCTCGCTGATCCCGAGTTACACCGTGCTGTGAGCATTCTGGTTGTCGTGATCATCTTCAAGAATCGCTGACGCTTCGATCCATAGGTACAAGATGCCTTGGAACGTTCTCGCCCATCTACATTCCAGACGACCGTTGTATCCCATACAATGAACGCGTCTGCTGATAGGTTCTTATAGCATGATATATGTGCCAATCATGGTGCTCACTATTTGCAGTTTCTACTCTTCGCAAGGACGTATCACCTCGTTTCCCGACCATAACGAGACGTTGATACACACCATGAAAGCTCGACATCCCGACCTCGCCACGCTAGAGGTACGATCCGTGTCAGCGCAGTTGCCTCTTCATCCCAGAATTCTCACGCCTCGCTCTCAGATGGAGACTTTCCATATCCTTCATCTGGCTGCCAACTGGCCGTCCTCAGGACATGCGGAACAATTGAGCGTGCCTCCCATCAGCACCCTCCCGGTCTCACCTGTCGTGTCACTTCCGCCTCCGCCGTCGAACCAACCACAGCCACCGAACGTCTCCTTCTCTGACAAGGCCGGCAACCTACTGATGCCGAAACCTCGCATCCGGGCTGCTGCAGCGCAAATGGTTTTTGCCTCGCGCACATCGCAGGACTTCATTACGCCCGATCAGGTTGCGGAGATTGAAGCATGGTGTGGCAAAGCGGTGCTCGAGGCCCTAATTGGCTTCGGCATCGAGCCGTCGGTAAGTCCGCGTTTGGCGCATCTATGAAATTCTATTGCTTATACAGCGAAATCTTTCAGAGGCTGCATGACGAGGCGGGTAGCGTGTGGGAGCTGAGGGATTTTTGAAGATGCCGGCTATTGAAAGCGTTAGATCCCGTTCCCGAGCAGGCTAAAATGCGATCAGCGATGATAAGCATGCAATACAGTTCGGTCTCAATCTTTCTGAATGCTCGAAGCTGATCTCATGTCGCTTGCTATTGTCGCTTGGCATCGTTGCGCTGACTGGCCAATGATTCTCCGCGAATCTGCTTCACTGAGTATACATCAGCCGGTACGCTCCGTTTGGGTGTCCGCGCCATGGAGCGAAATATAATGCCTTGATGCAATATCTTCTTGATAAATTTCCCGACTTCATGTCTCGGCGCGTCACTGGCAAATCACCGCGGCGGTCAGTTATATGGATAAAGCACACAACTGCCCCTTCAAACACCCACATTTGGAGAGCCATCTTGGACGGCTCCCTACTGTCTCGTCCTGGAAAATTATTATTTAGCAAGGGTCTTTGAAAATATACTGGGAGCTGGTCTCGTCGAAATCGAAGGAAATTATGACATTCGAAGAAATCGCGATGGCCGAAATGCGCTTTTCAATTCCCCTTAAGACAGTGGGATGGTATAATCATGCATTTGCTGAGCCAAAATCCTCGTTTCAAACAGAGACATCGCTCAATACGGCCGCCAGGCCTCTTACATCCCGGGGCGTGGCCCTATTCGTTCGACGGTCCAGCCACTGCCAGTGGTACAGCCGCACACGCGCTTCGCGCGCCACCCAGTCCACGTGACCGCGAAGCGCTAGAAGAAGAGCCGACCAGCAGTGAGTGGTTGCCTTCCTTCCCAATTCCTTCCTCTTCCTCTTTTGCCTTCCCTCCCATGTCGTGGACGTGAGCGCATCTCTGGGACTTTTCAAGTTCTTTCAGGTTATCTTAGCATCGAGATACCCAGCTTAAAGCTCGCAACGAATACGGACACCATCTGTACAGCTCACGGACAGCTGCTGTTACGCAGCACGCAAAGCACATACGCCTAATCTTCCAGACTCACTGTGGATGGCTCTCGATGATACTGCACCGGAACTCGACGAAGGCGCCTTCCGCGTCTTCGTCCGCTCGTTTGCCATGATCATCGTTTCCGAGATCGGCGACAAGACCTTCCTCATCGCCGCTATCCTCGCTATGCGGCACCCCCGGCTCGTCGTCTTCCTCGGGGCTCTCTGCTCGCTGGTGGTCATGTCCTTCCTCTCGGCAGAGCTCGGAAACCTGCTGCCCACGCTAATACCCAAGCGCTGGACGCAAGCATGCGCCGCTGTGCTATTTTTAGTCTTTGGCGTTAAGATGATGCAGGAAGGCAGGAGCATGCGCGCGGACAAGCTCGAGGAGGAGATGAAGGAGGCGGAGGAGGATATCGAGGGTGACGAAGCGATGGCCGACGGGACGGGCATTGTGATGCACCACAGAGAGGATGTGATCCCACTAGAGGAGATCGAGGAGGGCGGCAGACCGAACGGCCATAGACGCAGCATCAGCGTCATCTCGAGTGGCAGCACACCCAATGGACGCATGCAAAGCCGGACGCGGAAGTATGCAGAGGCATTGAGAAACTTCTTCAGCCTATTCTTGGGACCTGTCTTTGTGCAGGCTTTCGTGCTCACCTTCCTCGGCGAATGGGGTGACAGAAGCCAAATATCCACTATCGCGCTCGCCGCGGCGCACGTGAGTTATCCTCCAGCGAGATTCTCCTGGACGTGATTATTGATGCTGCACACGCAGAACGTATACCTCGTCACTATTGGAACCGTCATTGGGCACTCGATGTGCACTGCACTTGCCGTCATCGGTGGTCGATATGTCTCCACAAAGATATCTGTGAAGCATGGTGAGCCGTTGTGTGCCTTCCGTAACCTGGCAGCATCGCGTTGACATGTTCACCTCGGACACCAGTCACCCTTGCAGGTAGCATGCTTTTCCTCGCATTCGGTTTACTGTACCTCTACGAAGCCTTCTTATCGATAGACACGGACAGTGCGGACTTCAATCCTGCGAATTAGTTTACGACTCGTACGATGCACAGAAAATTATCATAGATGACGCGCCCATGGATGGATCAATATTATTGCTATGGTATAATCTGCATAACTGGCAAGCTTCCCGGTGACATGTGAAGATATGCAATGCTGGAGCCTCATGCTCAAGCTCAAGCTCCAAGGCACCACTTACGAGAATTCTGATCGATACGTTACACGAGCATCTCCGGTCAAGCACCGTACTTCGCGGGGCGCTTTACGCTGTAAAGCCGAGGATCATTGAGCGGCCCAGGTAGGGCATGCTCTCAGTGAACAAAGGAACTGAGACAAAAGGGCAACAACAGAGCTCGGGATCATGATTTGTACGTAGTCCATCTTTAACTGCGCACTTCAGACGTTCATATGAGTTCCTGTGACAGATGGCGGAGCCACCATAACCAAACTGAACTGCGCATATATGGCAGATGATGAGCTTCGCTGCTGTTCCTGAAAGATTTCGACTCGTCATCCTGCCCACCTCACTCCGACGGTCAGTGCAATGGAGCATCGCGAGCTTAGCCGTCCTTGGCAGGAGAGTTCGCCCGCGGGTGCACCACGAACAGCATTGTTTACGCGGACTGGGCGAATGAGTGTACGAGGGACAACTTGCGCTTCATATGACATTTCTCATAATCCACTGTTTACCAGGTAGTTCACAATAAACGCCGGATGCAATAGTCGTTAAACGCTTGGTACCCGCAAAGGTACAATGCGCTGACCGCTCAAGGGCGACAGCAACATCTATCTCGTCATTCGACGGGTTGCAATCTCCGCCTTTTCACTTGACAGTCGGCACATAAGTCAAGCATTCGAACTGTCCGCGACGACGCTGTCCCACAAGCTCGAAGTCCAAGGAAATCGATGCCGGAAACAAGGCACATGAAGTGCGAGACGCCGTCAGGGTCGCGAGGGTCCGCAGTGAACGGATCCAATAGCATCTTACACAATCCGTGCGCGAGACTCGTTGCCCTTGCCGTGGCGAGAGGGACCTGGACGTCGACGTTAAGTAGGACTTCTTGCAATCTGCAACGGAAAGACGCAAAGTAGCGAAGGCGCTCAGGGACGGACGGACGATGGGATCTTCGGTGTCAACGAGGAGATTGCCGGCTCTGCACCAGGCCACGCGCTGAGCAACCCGCTCGATCTCCGCATCTGTGAGAGTTCGAGTGAGCTCTTGTTTAGAGTGGAATGCGATGCCAACCACCAGGGGCAGGCCGATTGGTGGTCTGATGATGTGTGCGGATCTTGCGACAACAATTGCATTTGCTGCCTCTGCATCATAGCTTGTGAAGAGAGGAGTGAAAGTGGGACTTGGGATATCCTCTGGAGCGGAATACTTGGTTTCGTCAGTGAGAATGAGGTTATCGAGCTCGAGGTCAATGACGTTTTCTTATGTCTCTGAGCATGCAAAGAGGTCGGTCAAGTTTCCTGCGTGAGCAATAGCAAGTTATTGTGTAACACGAGATGGAGAGCCGGGAGAGATTCTGACAATCATAAGGTGGCATGAAGACGTGCAAGTAGCCGCAAATAACAAGAGAGCGCTCCTGCAAAGGTGATAGTCCTGATATGTCCGATAAAGGAACATATCGGACTTGTTGCGCAGCATCGGCCCATTTTTCATTGTAAGGTCCATGTCAGAGATTACGCACGGATGTCAAATCGGCGGAGTAAAGGAAGGGAAGGGCACTAACGCCGTATTAACCACAGGTGCGCAATTCGCAGACTGCAGAATATTGTAAGGACTCTTTCAAATTCAAAATATTGGTTACTCACCGCCGCAGTGTAACAGAACAGGAAAAGGCCGATACTTCAGCTGTGGACGAATAGTCGGATGCGAGTTCTAGAATACGCCGGGAGGTTTTGAAGCGTGATCATTGCTCTGAGGAGACTTCTTCACACCCAATTCTTATCAAAGATTCAGTTTCAGGTTTAGCAGATGCAATTTATACTTGCCATGTTGCACTACTTGCTACATCCTTGCTGATGAAGAAGTCTGAGATAGGATCGATTGTACCCATGCTCCTGGGCCCCTCCACAGGATGTCTAGCGCACTGGTCTTTAAACGATTTGCAGACGCGAAAAGCTCTGGCAGTGCAATGAAGTGAGGGGTATATTGATTGTGGCTGCGGTGATAGACGTTGGATACTAGTCCGCTCTGGCACGTCCGGGTGCAGAAGAGCCCGATGTGATTTTGACCGCGCCGTCGCCTCATGTGATCTGTAACGACTTCTGGACAACTATGGCTTTTCTTGAATTTGGATGCGACGGTTCATGGTCTTTTCGACCAGAGACAGGTTGTGCATAGCGGCCGATGATTATAGCGGCGTGACAGACGCGTCGCGAAGCACGTGTAATATGTCACGCCGTGTCCCCAGGGAGACTCTCAAGTTGGCAAGTTCAACATGTAATATACCACAGAGTCCAGACCTTGACTAGGATATCTACTTTAAAGGCAGTGGCTGCTTGCGGTCGCAACATACTCGATAATCATACCATATTTCTAGTGAAGAGCCGACCCATTGTCGAGCAGCTTTCAACATGTCGAATCTTCCTCCTCCATCACTTGACGGCGTGCTCACAGTTAGTGCATCGTCCGTGATCAACGCACCTCTTAGCGGACTGTGGGAGATCCTTCTCGACTTTCCATCGTACCACGAGTGGTGAGCATCTGTGCTCGTCTCTTTCTGCGACCTTTCTCACAAGTCTATATCACTATCAGGAATACGTTCGTGTAAGATCAGCTTTCTCCTTCGGCGAGGGCGTGTTTGGCTGAAGGGCTGACGCATCCATCTAATAGCCATGTCCAGAAAGTTGTGGATGCATCTGGGAATCCTCTTCCAGACCAGACGCCTCGGGAAGGCCAGTATATTCTCATGGAAGTGTACATACCTCCTACACCCGACATGAACCGATCGCCTACCTCTCGTCCGCTTGAAATGATCATCGCGATAGACCATGAGACTCACCGTCTTGCATGGAAGAACCTCATGCCACAATGGTTCCTGCGTGCTGTGCGATGGCAGGCACTCAGCGTCATTGAAGGCGGCAAGACGCTGTACGAGACGAGAGAGGTGATGTCAGGGCCAGGAGCGTATCTTGTCCGCATGCTTATGAGCAGCGGGCTGCAGAAGGGATTCGAAGCCGTCGCCGAAGGATTGAAGAAGAAAGCAGAGGAAGTGCAGACGTAGGTGTCACGCCGTACTGAGATTCTTTACCATTCTCGTTGTATATCACGTCTCCCTTCTCGTTCTTGTCGAACTTTTCCGAGAAGCTTTCGACCTGACATGCCAGCTTTATGTAAAACCACAGATACTTCGTTTCCGCGCCGGTCTACCCAGCAGATGTCTCATCACGTCGTCTACATCATGATCCCAGCCATAACTAGTCTTCTTCATATCCCATTCTGGTCTGGGTTTGGACATACATATGCTGGCGGTGTTCAGGACAAACATTCACGCATACAGCTTGTGCGTCGATAGTTGGTTTCCTACATAGCTAGCTATGTTTGATTCAATCCGGTGCTTTCTCTCTTCCTGCGCAACATGACCTTTCCTGTGCTAGTCGGGCGGAAGCAAAAGCGCGTATGTACGCACACAATGTGCCTCAACGTGAGACTCCTTCAAGCAAGCGGACATACAGTGTCTTCCCTTCCCAGCTGGACTTCAAGAGTCATCGTCCAATGACAACGCAGCTCCTCATACCCACCTCCACGTGTTGGAGATTATTGTGCTTGAATGGTTCGGGCTGCAAGAATTTATGATATCCAAAACAACGGGGAGTTTTGTTTTAAGGATCTGACCGATTGCCGCTGCGTCGGGCATAGGCTTCGATGTAGACATTGGGGCTACAGCACGTTAGTCTGCGCGCCTGATGACCCCGTTCGGACAATCGGAGCACAGACATGTATCCGAGAGTCTGAACGTGGACCATCAGGAGCGGTGACGGGCGCACAGGCGGGCGCATTCTGACAAGAACTCCAGCATGCGTGACCGGAATCGTTGATTTCTTCTCCTCAGAGTGACGATGACAAGAGGAAATCAACGATTCTCGGTGACTGCGGGCGCGATGTTCAATCAGGAGCGGTTAGGGAGTTAGTCTAGGTTCAATGATTCTTAGAGATACATTGGAATAGCCGAAGTCCGTGGACGTTCTATTAAGCACAGCCTTTTTGGACTATGGCGGCACGTTCGTGGGACATCATCGTGCATATTGAGATACGCTGGATTATCATGAAATTTGTTAGTGAGAGCTGTCACGAACCCACTCACAAGGCACCGGCTGAAAAGCGCATGCCTGTACCATCTGTTGCAAGCTCTATAATTTGACCTATGTGTAAATATGATGGACATCGTAAAGGTTGTCTTGTCAAGTCGCAAGGCTATCACAAAGCAGGCAGCGAGCACAGACGGAGCGGATATCTGCAGCTCAGATTGAAGCGCGGTCGGGAGAGGTTGAAGCATAGAAGTGTGATAATATTCATCTAAGAATCTTATGATACTTGGGGCCTCTGCTTCAATCCAGGCAACAATATGAAACCTGGCCATTGTGCGAAGAAAAAGGCAAGTGCCACCGACGTGTAAGCGCCCGACGGACGCGTCTTGTCACATGATGTGTCACGTATTGTCGTGCACGTCACATCACGCTTGCATTCCAATCGACAAGGCCGAGTATTATGAACTCTCCCATAAACTCCTTCTTGCTCTCCACAAGTAATAACATCTTTCGCATACCCAGCGGCCCAGCTGATGTCTGACTTTTTTCCCATTTCTCATTTCGGGACTAGTGCTTGACGATATCATTCCCAATGAAAGTATCACCGTTAGATCTCCGAGTTGTCTCTGGAGTCTGGCTCATCCAGGCATTGCATCTTACGGTGTTGCCATTTTGCCAACTTCCAGATACTTGGGACTATCTCCAGTGGCTATGTGTTTGAGGCTTGTATTTTGTTTTGCACTGGCTGTTTCTGCTTATCACCCGCTTGTTAGAAGCTGGCTGCTTCTGCTGGCGAAGTGTGCCATTCGTTGTTCGGCAGACCTATCTGCCAGGCTCTCTACGGTCACAATCCATGATCTCAAGTGCTGTTATATGCTTTCCATGGAAGCTTGACTGTGGGCCTATCGGACACCGATTCTTGCACGCATCACTGCCGTGCATGCAGGAGCCAAAACCCATGCCCTGACAGTTGGCATATAGACACGAAGTCTCAATCGACGGAACAGGCTAGTTTCAATAAGCGAAGATAGATCTCCATCCTATCATGAACGCCACCCGGCGTGCAAGACGACATCGGTGCTATAGGAGATGGAAGTCAATACCGGTGAAAAATGATATCTTTTAGCCTTTCGACAGGTACCTCCGTCATCTGTGAGAGCTGTCCCGTCTTCCTCCAACCGCTAACCTTCCTGTAAATGTCACTCTGTACCACCGCTGATCCATCGGCATTCGATACTAGTCCACTCAAATGTGCCCATCGTGTCCATACGTCAGGGTGCTACCGGCCCTTTGATCCTTTATCATCTCACCCCTACCATATGCACCGAATATCTACGTGGTGTGGGCCTTCAACCGCTCTTACAAGCCGCTAGCAAATGATTGAACGCCCTTGACGTATCCATCAGAAGGCAACTCCCAGAGCACAAAGACGTAACAGAGAATATCGGTACGCCACTTCTTTCTTCATATACCATTAATGCTAATATTAGAAGGCGGAACCTGCTCTGAGCCTTGTTGACAACACCGCTCTCCGATATTTTTCACTTCGCATCGAGTTTTACCAAAATAAAACAACGCTCGGACACCGAATCCATTTAATATGGCTTCACTTCGTATCAACCGCGACAGACACGTTGACCTGGAGGTATTTCTCAATAGGTTTGATCCCGCAACATGCTTAAAGGTCGATGATCATCTGATCGGCGAGCATTCCGATAGAGTTCTGCATTTCGTCCAACGGTAGCCTGAATGTCCCAGACGATAAGCATTGGCGTACGCAGTGCACACCAAGATTCCCCAAACTGAATGGGCGGATGATCCTACCGTGGGTTGGTTCGTTTCTCATGACTTTGCATCATGATTTGACGTTACATCTTGTGTAAACTTCGCACTAGCGTGCAGATCGACATCAGCGGATAGGCGAGAATGAGAATGAGACCCGTGGTGATCTTCTCGATTCTTCTTGACATTAAACCCTTTCCACGCTCCTATAACATCGGTCGACCGTCATCATCTGACTTGCGAGGCCAGCGCTTTGGGATTCTGCTAAAAAGCTGAAAGCACAGAGTCGACGGTCAGCTGCATCACCAGATTCCACTCTTTCGATGCACTGCAATGATACAAACTGATCTCACGCAATAGACGGTGTCCCTTCACGAAGACGCGATATATGTTCATGGGTTCAAAGACGCGAATGAATATTCCTCAGAGCTATCACATTTTCTCGGTACTCGACTGTCTATGCTGGAGAACAGTGTCAAGACAGAGCCATCGAAAGTTTACCATGTTTGGAAAATACCGGGTTTTTATATTAAAAAATCAGCTTCCAGTTCCCTCAAAATCAACACTTCGTATTTCCAGACGTTCTCGCACGGCAAGCATAAGCCGACTTTCCTATCGCCATCTTCGGATCAAGAACGACGCTGCTTAGTATACGCCTGCAATCCTTCTCAGTCTGCTTCTTCATGACTTTATATACATCCACTCACCTCCGTTCGCTTCATGAAGCTTAAGAGTTCCGTAACAACTTCCTCCTGGTTCTCGTAAAACGCGGCGTGACTCCCTCCCTCAACCACATGCACCTTCAGGTTTTTGAAGTGATCACCGACCTCCTTCGCAAGTACTTCTCCGTGCACGTGCTTGTCCTTGCTCCCGTACAACAACAACAGCGGGAGCCCGTTCTTCCCCTCCTCGAAATACTTGGTCGTATCGTGCTCCCTCCCTGGAAGGAAGCTCATCACTGACGGCGGTGTGAGCGTCGCCATGCCGTACCACGAGGTTATCAGATCGAAGGGTATAGCAGCGGCATCGTTGAAACACGTATCCACAAGCTCCTTTCCTGTGGAGCGGGAGAGTGCAACGTCGGAGGTCGTGGTGAGACCAGGGCCAAACTCTACGATGATCTTGGAGATCGCGAGCACACTGGACGTTGTGCAGTGCGGGATGGCGGCCAGGAGGACGACGCCCGAGAGGGTGCCAGGTGGAAGGTGCGCCACGACGTCGACCGCCACAGTACCTGTGATCAATGATCGACACGCCAGTCAAAGGAGAGAACCGATAAGTGCGAAGAATGCGATGTACCTCCATAACTCCTATTCAAAAGTGAGTGAAAATAGTAAGACTGACGGCATGGGTCCGTACTCACCATCCGACGTGCACAGGATTCTTCAGTCCGAATGCCTCGATGACTGCGGCATAGTCATCCGCCCACAATTTAGACACGTATGCCTCCTCGGTATCCGGCTTTCCGCTCCTGCCCTGCCCTCGCTGATCGTAGCGGACCTAGCTCAGACAAATGCACATTTCATCAGTACGCCCTCCACACCGACGCTGGTATGCCCCTCACCAAGTACACTTCTGCCAGCAGTCTCTCGTCCTTAAATAGGTTGTCGAATATCGCCGAGGACAGGCCCAGGCCATGCGCGAGGACGATGCTTGGATTACGCGGGTCACCAGCAGCTTCGGCATAGATGGTAGTGCCATCGCTTGAACGAAGAGTTTTAATCACGGGCAAATATAGGGTGGACTTCAGTGAGGTCATAGCGATAATAAGGTACTCTCGCGGCCTGGGTCGACTTCTTCAAGGACGTGTGCTTTTCGGGCTATGATATATGATATGACGGACCAGAGAGTAGTTGCGCTCGTGGTAATTCCATGGCTGGAGGCCTGTTGCAGAACGCGTCAAACGTAGATCGTTGTCAGCTCCTCGGCCCCCGGGGTGTGACCGAACTCCATACTAGTAGGATGAGGCCATCACGGGCCCGTCTTGGCCTGATGGCACGTAGGAATCCCCGGTGTAGGCGGTGTATCCGATATCAAGGGTCTCCACAAACGTGAGAGGCGTGCAGCCATCACCTCTCAGCTTCATGACCACAAGGCGCTCTGCATCTTCGCTAGTACTATCCGAGCATGAGCGTGAGTTCTCTATCATCTGATGTCAGAAGAGACGATGGAGATGGGTTCGCACGCCTCACATCCCGAACGCTCGTATTGATTCTTGAGGCACATGCTCCTTGGGATCATGCGAGCGGGCAGTTCAGAGCAACTACGTGATGGTTACAGCATGATGCGACAGGGGCTGCGCCGGCAGAACGGGGATCGTCCTGCCACGTTTACTACGAGTCCTGCACGTACCATCATATCAACCACTTTCTCCAACCGGTCAATACTTCAATACCAGAGGGCCAGTTCATTTGGCTGCGCTGAATTCCTGATGGCAACGGGGTGCTGTGATATACTTATAACGCGGAAACAGGTGCATGAATGTAGCAATTACTGCAGACACTAAGAAACGACTCTGATGGAAATGGTCGGCGCCGTGACCGGTTTGATGACAGGCGCAAACTTCCTTCATCATGATTGTCAACAGACCTCCAGTAACAATCACGCTTTGCTGCATCGCCCTCGGTCTCTATCGGTCGTCGACTGTTCCTGCTGAGACAAGAAGCATTGTCGTGATGGCAAATGAATTGAATTTCCCTCCATCATATCAAAGATGTCGTCTGGCTCAGGACATAGCCTCGCATGGCTGGGAGCGATCAGCAATCCGCCGCTCTGCAGATCCCGGTTGAGGTTGGGTTGATGTCAGTTTCTATATCCAATGTTCGGCTGAAAGTAGGTTCCAATCCAGACTTTCATGACTGGGAACTTTCCAAAATCATGCGTTCGTCCCGATCCCGTCGGTCATACCGACTCGACGAAGCCTGTAACAGTGGATAGTATCAACGGCAGGTAGTCTAAGGAGGCTATGATCGTAAGTTTCAATAAGCATTTTCAAGTCATCACGACATAGTCCCTTGGCCATTAGTGCGCTGATGGTGTTCTGGGACAACTGATGGTCTTCTGAACATGAGGTATCTTGCTTTGTCATTCTCCGAAGAATAGACGCACTCGAGGGCGTTTAGGATCCTTGGTTGTCCGATTTATACTAATTGTCGATAATTCTATTCGATACTGGACCTCGCAGTTCAAAATGCGATCCAAACTGGGAACTGAAGACTTTTCTGTGATCAGACAGTCCCACGCCTCTGACGCTGCTAAGTTCCGGGCAGATGACTTTTAACCCTCTATGACAATCCTATGCTGCGCGCATCAACGGACAGCCTCATGTCCCATAGCATGATCTGATGCTCAATCACTTCTCCCGTCCTGTTCGCACTGACCGCTCTTTTTATGGTTAAGTAATGATGGGGCAGGGCATATGGCGCGCTTCCAATCTACTCCACCACGGCGGTACTTGGGGCAACCTCGGATACGTGCTTGTCGCACGCCATCGGAAAGGCATTGATTGCCAAGGTCATGCAGCTGGACCTTCTTCCGACATACTCTCGTTAGCCATTGGTGACGCTGCCTCCAGGCCGATGATAATTCCCTGCAACCTCTGGAAGGCGTATGCTGCTTGACTCTATCCATCATGTCCACCACTGATGCTGAAGTTCGCCATGGACTGTTGAGTGAGTACATCACGTTATATCTACTGCGGCATCCATACTGACATTGCCCATCCAGCAATGACTGTGGTATCGGCGGTACTCCCGCCGATAGGTATCCTCCTCACTACCTTCCGCCTCTACGAGCGGACAATCCAGCGCCGATTATGGTGGGATGATGCAGTAGCCGCGGTTACGCTTGTACTCGCCATCATCTTCACGGTAACAGACGAGCTGCTTGTCCGTCTGCGCGAGTATCCAGGTAGGGAAGCTTACGACCTCTCCTTTCATCTGCATTTCATCGACTGTAACAGGCGAGTTCTCCCAGGACACAAAGATTCATCTGTATTACATGTGAGTCTCACTTCATGTGCATCACAAAATCCCATGTTGACCGGACGACTTTGCAGGGGTGCTATCTTCTATTATCTGGTGACGTGGTATGCGTGTCGAGTTGGGATGACGCAGATACATTATGCTTACGCGCCGATCGTAAAGGGGAGCTAAGGTCTCCATCCTTTTCACCATCATTCGCCTGCTGCTTCCGGGGAGATTTCGTCGAACCCTCGGCCTTTTCACTGTCGCGTTCCTCGTGGCAGTATCGGTGTTGTTTGCGCAGGTATTTTGGGTCTGTGAAACAGAGCCTGCCTGGAAAAAAGAGCAGCCACCGCAGTGCGATCTCGGGCGAAATGTCGCTATAGCTCAAGTCATATGTGAGCCAAATGCTTCGATATCTTAACGGAGCGGAAGCTCATCGGCTTGTCGATTGATTTCAGGTGATGTTACTACCGACGTAGTCCTCATTGCAGCACCGGTGTCGCTCGTCTGGCGAGTCAAGTTGCAAAGACCCCAGAAAATTCGAATCATAGCCATCTTCTCCACTTCAATAATCATGACAGCCGTCAGCCTCTACCACGCAGATCTCGTGCTTAGGGATGCGGGTATATCTGAAGACATCGCAGCCGTAGCTCAGGTTCGTCGCGGAACGCTTTGCTATTTGGGAATGACGTGATCTCACCATCCCTTAGGCGTCAGTCAGCTTGATTGTCGCTAATCTGAACGTGATTGTCGCTCTCATCTTCCGCATATCCTCCGATAGTGCGGACGCGCGCCCCGCGTCAGCCGGCATGAAATCTATATTGACGTTTGGAAGCGCGGGGAGGCGCACTAAGAGGGCGAACAACCTGCTGTCGACCACATTCTTGATGTCCGACGAGGGAATGACCATACCCACCTCCGCTATTGTGCTTCAAGACCTGGGTAGTTCCACGCGCGAGGATGCTGATAACATGTCAGATATGGCGGGTGTGACCGATATGGATAAGAAGGATAGTTTGATGGAGAGGAAGCGAGCAGAGGAATCGGTATGAGGTATTGGCTTGTACTAGTAGCACCACATTATGCCGGTCGTGCCCTCTGTCGTATCCTCTCTCTTCTGCTATTGACTTCCTGGTCTCGAAGTGCATGATGTCCATGCTCTCTGGTTAAACGCTGATGATGCGTCCTGTTCAAAAGGGCTGTCTCCAGTGTTCATGGACTGTAAGTAATCGTGCAAAGCGTTGGAAACAATGGTCTTCTGAGTTCACGGCAGTTGCTTAGCGGTCGGATGATTGTTGAACACTATGCTTTGTTGGTACAATTATATAATTCAAGGACGTTCATCACAAATTACATATAACGATATTTCGTCGACAGAGGATAGATTATGCTGACTATAGAACTGATTGTGTTGCTGTAGCAATGACTTGGTGTACAGTGTCGTCGAAATACTCAGACGGCCACTAGAGGCTCTTGGAACTCGTACCCCAACCAATCGCTCTGGTCGTCCTTCCAATACTCTTTGATGATATCTGCCGCCCGCTCAGCGACGGCGTATATGCATGCCTGCATATGTGCCGCAGGTACGTATGGCTGTAGAACAAGCGTCCGTTGAGCTGGCATACACACGCAGAGAAGACAGGTACTCGCCAGAACTGATGCATCAACCACGCGCAGACCTGACACACGTTTGACCCGTAAGTCCGGTCTGACTACTCCATCATTGCTGTTGTAAGGCGCCATGACGGCTGACCCGACCGGATGGAACCCGGAATCGGCGTTGCTCCGAGCGTATTCTTCGAGCTCCTCATCCGTGTTCGCATCTGCGAGTCCACGCGCAGCCGATTTGATGTAGCCAGCAAACGCCGGCGCCTCCAGGAACTTCTTCGCAAGCTTGATACCGTGGACCAACGCAAAGATGTCGAATGGCTCTACAAGCAGTCCGGCATCCACTAATGGGTATGCAAAAGGATCATTGGAAGCCAAAGTGATCGAGCCACCTGTTTGACAGACGCGTTACTGGAGTTCTTTTAAAATGAATAGATCAACTTACGTGAGGCGGGAGAAACAACGTTCGTGACAATGGAGAAGTAGTTTCCCGTTTGATCTTCTGCAAATGTGATAGATGGGAAGTAGCCGTTCTGGACCGGCCCGAACGAATCCGGAGACGTCGTCAGCTAAGGATTATAAACAGATGCATGTTGATCTCACGTTGAAGATGAACTCCAGATGAGGGGACGCGATGCCTGCTGACGGATCCTTCAAGTCGTGAGATGAAATCAGCTTGCTGCTAAGCCTTGACCAGGCAATCTGCGTGGCGGCATCCTCCCCATACAATCCGGTTCCTGTTGTCTCCCACTGCTCGAAAAGCTCATTCGCTAGCGTCTCGTTGCGGTATGCCTCATCCCATGTGGTGATATTCGAGTTGACATACCAGGCATTCACGAGAGAGGTTTGGTCCATGAGATTCCGACCGACGTCCTTGAGGTCAACTAACGGCTGAATGTTAAGCGATCTCAAGTAGTCTGCGTCGCCGATGCCGCTCAAGAGCAGGATCTGAGGAGTGTTGATAGAGCCCGCTGACAGAATCACCTCCTTCCTCGCCTCGAAAACGACCCGGTTGCCTTTCAAAGAGATTAGATTCCATGTGATATGAGTGGCCTGTGCAGACGTACTAGATGCACTCTGGGCAGTTTCGACCTTGGTGAAGGACAACATTCCGTCCGTGATGCCGGCCGCAAGGAGTCTGGTCACACGTGTGTCAATCAGAACATCCAGGTTTGAGCGATTCATAGCCGGCCATAGGTATGAAGTCGCGGAACTGGTTCGTTTCCTGTCTGCTGAGACGGAGCCCACGGCCCAGCCTGTAGAGGTAACGTGAGAAGGCAAAGGTATCACCCCAGCATCATGGCAACACACCTAGGCCCATGGGGTATCCCGAATTCATGTCAATGTTGTATGGGAACAGATGAGATAACTCGAAGCCCGAAGACAGGACAGGTTCATCGAAAATCGAGGAAGAAGCGGGCAGACTGATCTCGACGGGTCCATGCCAGCCATGTACAGCTGGGTTCACCTGGCCGCCGGTCTTGCGCCGCGTGTTAGGCGGGACCAAAGCCTCACTCTGCGAAATCATGTGCATGGTCAAGATGTGGCTAAGTAATGATACCGAGCTGGCGTACCTTTTCCATGTATGGGAACATATTGTTCCAGGACCATCCATCGTCCTTGGAAACTCGCGCATAACGGTCATAGTCGTCCACAGACCCCCTTGTCCACACCATGTGATCTTCAGACGAGTTGAGGACTCTTCGATGATTAATGCGAAATGAGCGTATACTCACTAATACTGCTTGAACCTCCCAATACAAAGCCATGGGGGTAATTGACCGTTCGATTCAAAAGCCCACTCTGCGGCGTTGTAGTTTGGTTCCACGCTATTGAAGTATTGGGAGACAGTTCCCCTGATAGAAAAGGGACTTGATCCTTGATGTTTTCCAGATTGCTGATATGTGATTTGTCAAAAACTGTCGACCATATTCGCAGCGTGTACTTACGACACGCCAGCTTCAATAACTAGCACAGAGTGAGATGGATCCTCGGACAGCCTATGTGCAAGCACGTTGCCAGCAGTACCCCCTGCGGCGCGTCGTTTTTAGCGGCCCCTTTACATTTTTGATCATGAACAGATGCGTACCACCAACAATGATGAAGTCGTATGCTGAATCGGTCACGTCTGTTGGGTCTGTGTAAAGCTTTCCGCCATTTACCATCGGCCACCCGACAGCAGCCAGTGTCAAAAGAACCCGAGACTTCATGGTGAGGAGATTGTAGTGGTGAAAGTACAATGCGCCTTTTGGCCTTCAGTGCAGCCGCAAAACTCGATGCGATCCTTTATAGCCAGCTGGGTACGCCACCACCTGTCTAACATTGCCGTGCGTGACATTGCCTTGTGAATCGTGTTAATCGCTGAGACACGCATCTGCCAAACACAACCGGGTTTTGACGTGACCGCTTGTGCAGAGTCACACATAGACAGCTACATTGCCCTGTTGAGCGCAGGTTTCATCTGATGTCGTGCATCGCATATTCCTGCTGCGCGATGTCTCAATGAGCACATGCTAATGTTCTCCTATCCGCTATCCGGGTGACCCCATCGGGCCCGAAGGTTTGCGCCAATTCGAGGAAGTCGGGCTCGTCATCCGCCTCGGCGATGATTTGAAAATACGAGGCGATGGATCGCGGACGAAGTCCCATTAGCGATTCGATGCGTGAAACAAGTAGAGTATCGAAACACTTGCTAAACGCCTGCTCAGTGTCACGATGCATGCCTGAATGTGTGAAGGCAGAATGCAGGGCCGTGATGGTCTCCAACAGCGCTTTTTGCCGTTTGTCGCTGTAAGGCTGCGCATTCTTAATGGAGATACTCAGCAAGTCGCCTTGATTCGGGAGAATGCCTTGAAAAGTTGAAATAACGACTAAGAGCACGCTTCTCAAATATCAGTCTGACCATGTCAACACGGGAAGTTACTGCTCACTGCCCATACGAATCATCAAGTGCTTCAGTTATGCCGTTATTTCACACGTCGTATCAGAGCTCGCATCGCGTTACTGATCAGGCAACTCCTCTGATCGTTCGGTGATTCGCTCGACGCCGGCCGTATAGCAAAGCCGTATGTGAGCGGCGACAGCCTCTACCCTGAGAGCGCGTTGTCTCGTTTGTCTCGTCTTCGATCCGTGGACGTTGGACTTTCCTGCAGCGAGACCACGCGCTGGAATAGAGCGCGCCTCCGTGCCACGGATATATCTTCTTCCCATGTAGACTCCCACCTCGAGCGGGTTTATGGCTACTGGAGAGTTCTTCGGCATCCTAGGAGCATCCGAGGGTCCCGGCAACTCTGCACAGTGAGCGCTGACGTTCAGCGACGTTATATCATATTGTCTTTGATGCGCGGTTGTTTGACGTAACATTGGAATGCGAAGCCGAAATAAGGAATATCCGCTATGTCGCTCAGGAACAACGCAGCCACAATTCCAGTTAGAAGGCAAAGGGCGAACGCTGTGCCGACGCGCGGTGATGGACTGAAAGGTTTGACACTAATGCGATGATAGACGCGTACATGTGCCGAAATGCACGGAGTCATCAGAAAGGCGGTGCCATGACTAAGTATAGAGGGCTTAGCTGCGAGGCCTGATGCAATCTTTGTCAGCCGGGATTGAACAACTTGATCACTGTTTGCACAGAGGTCCGTGGGTTACCTCCAATTGTCTTATTTATGCTGTGCCAAAGCGTGTCAGACACCGGATCGCATATTTCAATTCTCCGTTGCACGAACGAACGTTTGTCCGTTATATGCTAGGCCAAACAGAACATCGGAGCGACAAAGTTTAGAAGGCCATTTTCAACTTCAGGGTCTGATGCAGAGTGGGAAATTTGGGCCTATTCTGAATCCTTCTCCCGCCAGAAGCTGATAGAGATCGCGAAGCATAGCAGCGCATTGGATTTTTCGGTGACGAGTGAGAGACTTGGGTGTGCCTTTTCATGATGATCACCAGCCTGGTGATGTGACGAAGCTTGACATCTGTATGCTGTTCAGCCCATGATGACGACCATGCGGTGCTGCAAAGAATTGCGACTCAAATCAGCGATCAATGGAGTCGCAACAGAGCGTTGCGAACGCTGGAGAGTGTTTCAGGTATGTTCGGATACATCAGCAGCTCGAAGAGAACGGCTTGATATAAGACTTGCAGAAAGTCGAATCTTACAAAAACCTGAAGCCTAGAAACGCTCCTTGAGTTGCCACAATGTCTCTGGCCAAGATACCTCTCCTGCTCATCGTAGCGATCAGTAATCACATAACCTATACACCACCCAACCCGCCTCCGGCGAAGACGGAAATCATGAAGGACATCTCGCTGGCAGAACGCTTCTTCACCAGTATCTCCAGACAAATTACAGCAATGTTCAAGGTGAGCACCGCAATGCAGAGTTTGCCGAGATCAAGCAGGTACTGAGACGAGGACGTTGTCGTTGTGCAGATGGCCGGCTGGATCGTTACCATCTGTGAAATAGCAGTCATCCTCGCACAGGCATACCCCTCATCCAGACTCGCGGGGATAACCGAGGACCATCTTGTGGTCGCCTCGCGCCACTCGACGTACACGCCCCAGATCACGCCCACTTTCCTTCTTGTCTGTGGCCTGGCAGCAGCCACCGCCATGCTGCGACTGCTAAGCTACAGGGTGATGGGCCGACATTTCACGTACGAGATGACCCTGCTCGAGAACCACAAGCTTTGCACGAGCGGACCATACTCGGTCGTCCGCCACCCAAGCTACACCGGACTGGTCATGAATGGCGTCATGTTCCTCCTCTGGATAACGGGCGACGGATCGTGGGCGCGCGAGAGCGGGTTGTTCAACAATCCGGTAGGGATGGTGGTGACATGGTGGTTCGTGGCGTCCCAAGTCTATGGGTGCAGTAGCGTCCTCTCCAGAATGCCGAAGGAAGACGAGGTCTTGCGGAGGGAGTTCGGCCAGCAGTGGGTGGAATGGGCGGACAGAGTACCGTGGAGACTGGTGCCGGGTATACACTAACGATCATATGTGACGGAACCACATGAGCATAGTCAATCGTTCCCGTAGCGAATCCCGCTGCAGGTGTGCATGTCGCGGTCGTCGCCCTCTCTGGGCGCTCCTGGGATTCTCGTTGGCAATATTCGCAATCGGTATTAACGGGCATATCAATCGTAGCACGGGGATTCACAGCAGAAGACTCTAAATGGAGATCGTACCTATCACGAGTCAATATTATATCGGCAAGTCAACATTGTGCTATTATTGCTACCAGCGGCTACATCGCACTGTATAGTATATTTAGCACAACAAAAGCTTGCAGATGAAGGTAGAACCTAGGTTCGTGATATCCGAGCGAATCCGCATGTGGGAACATATTTCAATTGTTGAGGAGAAATTTGGGAGCCACTTGCGAGGCTGCAGCCGTGTTCAGCATGTCACAGTTACAGGAGGTGACTCTGATGGTGGGAGGATGATAAGTGCGCAGTTGAATAAGTGCGCAGTTGAATGAGAGGGCGACTGGTCATACTACTACCGTCACATATTCTCGTTGCCACTGGTACGCATGCAACCGCCAGAGGAAGACTGCTTGCCATCTTCAATACAATGATGGACATATGCAAAATAAAGATAAAATTGACACAAAGCTGTCGAATGAGACTATGCATTTCAAGAGCGTAACATGGGTAGCTTCAGCAAATGGAGTCATCGTGTTGACTCTGCGAGGTCTGCGAGATGATCGATGAAGGGGTCCGTGAGTCACGCTCAGTTACAATATAGTCACAGTGATTGTCACGCCTGGCTGAGCGCCTCTGATTCGCTCTCACTGGCCAAGGAATATCCAGAGCCTGCAGAGAATCGACAGGATTTCATGCTCTGCCCACGGAATCCTACCTTGCTTTGAATTATACTCGGCATTCTACACTTTTCTGGGCTATACAATTTGACTCTGGGATCGGAAGGTCATCATGGTTGAAATTACCATCCGAAAGAGATCACGGACTGAAGCAGTGGTCACACAGCGCAAGTTCTTCAAGAAGACAGCCCGAGGGAAGGTCGTCAAAGGTACATACAGCAAAACACTTTATATATGATGACACTGAATCATCTTTGGAGCAGTACTTCGCGAAAGATACCTACGGGACGATGTAGGATGCGGTATACACGGCTGTAGCGTGTGTTCAGACACGACCCAATTCAACCTACCTTCCACTGGGTCGCTCGAGCATGAGCTCTTCCCTGATGGGCATTATATTTTGCCGGATACCAATGAGTTCCTCTCCCAGGTGAGTGTATATCTGATTGCCTACCGAGATGCCAATGCGGCTGGACGTCTTATAAAAGGATGAATGGTCGATGGTTTGGGTTTGATCGACACCTGATGAGCGTTCTTCTGATTGCCCTTCGGTTCACTGTCCACGCTGGGGTATCTTCGTCTTCAATGAATGGCTCTCTGCGCGTCGCTTAAGCTAGTCTTTGGGCCTAGCTATGCATGCAAGCAGTGCAGCATCGATTTGGGGACGTCTTAAGCGTCACGTCCCGCATGTCACTCCGTTTGAGGATGGAGTGTGTGCTTGGGGCGAGAGGTTGGTCTCTATATTTTCAGGCCGGGAGGGTGCCCGTAAATGGCAGCTATGTCAGGATGGTTGTACCTTCGCAGAGTCAAATTCAGTGTTTGTTCCGTGAGCTGGCTTTCGGGTGCGAGCGAACCGCCGCTTCATCGCATATAGTGCATAGACATGGTACGAAGGCCCTTGAGTGCAGGAGGTGAGGCCTCCTAGACAGTGGAGGGTGTCATCACACTTTACGATGTGCCTTGAAATTAGGCAGCTGGTAGAATCCGGATGATGGACTCTTAATGATCCAGCCAGAACGCTGTCGTGTTCTGTTGCGCCCATATGACGGTGTCTTATTCCAGTGGGACCACATGCGTCGAGTAATTCGTGCAACTGACTTGTTCTTACCTCAGATGGATCTGTTCGAGTCCGATGCCTTTGCTCCTCCATTGATCTTGTTGCAAACCGTCGTGGAAGAAGTCCGGCATCGCTCGCTGCCGCTCTATAATCGACTGAAGACACTCATGAAGACTGAGGGCAAGAAGATTTGGGTCTTCTACAACGAGTATCGCTCGTGAGTCTAATGTCTACTTGTGATCATCCTCTAATACTCAGAGCCTACTGCATAGTGAGACAGCCATCATCCGCGAGGAGGGAGAGTCTCCTAACGACCGAAATGATAGAGGTATGACTCAGTCATAACCACATCGCGAGTGTGGCTGAACGTACACTGCTAGGCATCAGAAAAGCTACAACGTGGTACAACTCACACATATCTCTCGCACGCCCTCCTGTTCGCGGCCAATCAAAACGAGTACTGCCGACTGTCGTCCTTCTCACAGACGACGTCGCGAACCGTCAAAAAGCGGAGAAAGACGGACTAAATTGCGTGTCAGGCAAGCTCTATCTCCCAAAGGCTGTTAATGTGCCCTGACAGGCGCTATCTTTAAGTCCGAAAGTATGTAGAAGGAATGAAAAATCCCGCCAATCTTCTCGATTTGCTCTCGACGGCGGTATCAGAAGAGATCGAGCCAACGAAAGCGGTAGCCGCTCGCCAAGCTTTGTATCCAGATGTTCGTGCCTGTCGTGCCTTACCGGCCTTTCGCTTACGCTACCATTTTAGTATTTGTCGCTGTCAACGCTGCTTGCCGGAGTCAAGTTCGGCCAGCTGCATCAAGGCCATTTCAATGCGAATCAATATAACTATCTTGAGGTAACAGACTTCTGCCAGCCAGCTCTCGCTCGAGCTGACGAGACGCCTGATGTAGGGGAGTGTGCCGGTACCAGCTCTCGACAAGCCTATCCTACTTATCGGACGCGAAAATATGAACCGTGCTGTGCAGGGAGACATCGTCGCCGTCGAAATCTTCGACGAAAAAGAGTGGAAAGCACCTGCAGATGAGGTTGTCGATCAAGAGAGTCAGTAATTCATCGCTAGTATGATCTAGCTTGGCTGACCTGAGCTGCCTAGCAACGCTCAGGAACGATGATGCCGAAGAGTCAGAAGAAGAGGAGGACGATGAGGAGATTCTCGCTGAGCGTCGTGTAGTGCAGGCTGAACTCGCGAAAAGACAAGCTGCCACAAAGCAGCCAACAGGGCGCGTCGTTGGAATTATCAAGCGCAACTGGAGATCGTGAGCTCACAATGCCCGCTCTGCGATGTCGTCACTTACACGCACTGCGATATCTAGATACGTATGCCACATTGACAGCACCTCGCTAACATCGTCAAGCACCACCTCGCTCTCTCAACAAACCGTGTTCGCGACCCCAGTCTCACGCCTCCTCCCTCGCATCCGCATGCGTACACGCCAGGCACCAGCGCTCCTCGGGCAGAAGATCCTTGTTACGATCGACAAGTGGGACAGCACGTCGCGATACCCCGAGGGCCACTTCGTGCGCGCACTCGGCAAGGTTGAGAGCAAGGAGGCCGAACAGGAGAGTCTGTTGCTGGAGTATGACATCCCGTACAGGCCGTTCGGAAAAGCTATTTTGGATTGTTTGCCGCCTGAGGGCGACAGTTGGGTCGTTCCGCCGAAGGACCTTACTCACCCGGAATGGAGGGATAGGGAGGATTTGAGGGACCTGATTATTTGCAGCATAGATCCTCCAGGTTTGATTTAGGACGCTGGGCATTATATGTGTCTCGTGGCTGACGCGGCAACGTATAGCTTGTCAAGATATTGATGATGCATTGCATGCTCGTCCACTGCCCAATGGCAACATCGAGGCGGGCGTCCGTGAGTCACCTCGATTTCCTCCATTCCTTACCTAATATATCAGTGTAGATATTGCCGATGTCTCGCACTTCGTGCTTCCGGACAATCCAATGGATCACGAGGCCGCGGCAAGAGGAACGACCGTATATCTCGTTGACAAGCGAATAGACATGCTGCCAGCCCTCCTTGGAACGAACCTGTGCTCTCTTCGACCTCACGTTGAGCGCCTTGCGTTCTCAGTAATTTGGGTAGGCAATGATATGAACGAAACTTGACATATACTGACTCTCATTGACAGGAACTGACTCCTGAAGCAGAGATTGTCAATGTTCGGTTCAAGAAGTCCGTGATTGCCTCGAAGTCGGCGTTCACTTACAAGGAAGCGCAGACTCGAAAGGATGACCCGTAAGTACAATCATCTATGAGACTATGCTATCGTAACCACATATGTGTCTCCAGGAAGTTGAACGACGATTTGACGAGGAGTATCCGGCTGCTCAATTCGCTCGCTCGCAAGCTAAAGGAAGTCAGAATGGCCGCTGGTGCGCTGAACTTGGCCTCCCCAGAGGTCAAGATACAGATGGACAGTTCTGAGTCATCGGATCCGATCGATGTCGAGCAGAAGGAGCTGCTGGAAACGAACAGCTTGGTGGAGGAGTTCATGTTGCTTGCGAACATCAGTGTGGCAAGGGAGATCGAGGAGGCGTTCCCGCAGACTGCCGTCCTCAGGTGAGTGATAATTCCTTATGAGCTTGACTCCATGCTAATCTGTTCCGGTATAGACGGCATCTTCCTCCTCCTCGAGCGAATTTCGAGAAGCTGCAAGATATACTGCTCAAACGCAGGGGGATGAAGCTCGACGTGTCCAGTTCCGGAGCACTTGCGGCCTCACTGGATAAGTGCATTGTACGAGCTATCTCTACATTACCGGTTGGCAGATTGTTGACACACGGCTTCTGCAGGATCCAGACGAGCCTGCATTCAATACCCTTGTCCGCATCATGGCGACACGCTGCATGTTAGCTGCGGAGTACTTCTGCTCCGGAAGTGTCGCACGGGACACATTCGGACACTATGGTCTGGCCATGCCGATATATACTCACTTCACCAGTCCTATCCGACGCTATGCCGGTAAGTCATTACAGTGCACCTTAACGTATCCATTGCTAAGTAGGCCTGCACAGACGTGCTTGTCCATCGCCAGCTTTCTGCTGCAATAGGCTACTCCTCTCTCCACGCGACACTGCACTCGAAGTCCCATGTCGAGCGTGTGCTCGATGTGGTGAACCGACGACATAGGATGGCTCAGAGGGCTGGCCGAGCAAGTGTGGAGTTCTACGTCTCCTTGGCGCTGAGGGCACGCGGGGAGAAAGGATCGACGGTTGAGGAGGCTTTTGTAATCAGAACGTTCAGAAATGGCGTAGCCGTCTACGTGTCGAAGTATGTCCCATTTCTCTCTTTTGTGAGCCTATTCGACATTGTTCAACTTATGATTGTTATCAGACTGGGCATCGAGGGCCTCGTGACGTTCAAGCAGGAGATCCAATTTGATGCGGATGCGTACACTATCACGGTGCCTTCCGCGACCAAGCCCTCCACTATTGCTGTGTTTGACAAAGTCAAGGTCAATGTCGAGATCGAAAAGGACAAGAACACCCAACGCGGACGAGTGAAGATGTTTCTGGTCAGTCCCATCGATTCGCGAAATCTTTAGCAAAACATCGCCTCTGTTTGTATCGGGCTATTGTGGCTCCTTATATCATTATTGGTCGGTATGTAAGTGATACATGGCATGGCCGTGTCGCTCCGGCTTATATACATGACCATCAAATTCCGTTACTTTCGATCGGGCTGAGCAGACGAATTTCTGCGACACGTACTGTCATGCCGGTGTGGCCACCTTAAAAGCCGTCACTCGACGCATCCCAACTTTCGCTCTCGCGCGTGCTATGGGGTCAACATATCAGAACAGAGTCCAGCCTGCAATAGAAGACGAAGAAGAGCTGTTCTCGAGCGCGTAGAGCGCAATGTAGCTATGTGCCACCTCACAATCCTTCAACTAATGTTATCTAGCCCACAGCGGGTAGCAAGTTCATTTGTACATAACCAGGTACTTGAAATCACAGGTGAGCAATGCTCACACAGGTCTCTTCTTCCCGACGTTCCCGGTGATATGCTGAAAACAACCAAATTCCACTAGATTTATAGTGCAACGCAGCTTACAAGTAATCACATCGTCCAGAAGTACCACCGAAAACAAAGCTTGAGCTCTTCGCACGCCTAAATTCGTGATGTATGCAAGGATTGCTATCGCGGTCGACAAATCATGCTCGGGCGTGGATACGCCATGAGCGTTCTATGATTGAATGATATGATGAACTACAATTGCATCTGACGTTGCGAGGACTGACCATCCCAGATCCACACCTTGTCAGTCTGCTTCATTGGAATGGGATGCAGTGCCTCTGCATGTCTGGCGAAAGCATCGGCGGATGGACCACCTGAGGACATCGAGCATCCACCCTTACAGGCCGCGCGTCTGTCGTCAGCGTCTTGCGGCGGAAACGCGCTGGGATATGCTGTGGCACAGGAGAGGGTGCGCGAGAAGAGGATGAACGACTTCGCCCTGTTGCAGAAGGGCAACCTACTCAGAACATTGCTTGGCAGAGGTCTCGTAGTATAACGTACCTTCACCCATTGATACCGTACTGGACTTGCTAGTAGGACGAATGCTAATCATGCCGTTGTCTTACGAAGCCTTTTAAGCTCTACCGTGCAAGGTTAGTTGTGACGCGACGCGGCTTTGACCTAGTACCTGATCTATTGTAACAGGTCTCGCACCGATCGTTGGAGGACGTCGACTCCACATAGGTGTCTCAAAGGGCAGCGGTCGAGATGATATATATCTTTGAATGAACACAATGATATCGGAGTGGCGTGCCGTCTGACGCTCTTATCCTTGACCACATGGGCGGCATAACATGTCTTCGAGGATGTAAAACGGAACGCTTTGGCCATATACAGGTTGCTGCGATCTCATGCTGGAGCATCGAGAGGATAGACCAGCGAATACATTCGCATGCGCAGGTCCTAGTTTGCATACGGTGAACCCGTCAAGATATCAATTAACGTTGAACAGTGAGCAGTTTTCTGCGAACCAAGCGGAGATACTATGGAGATGGGTGTTTGATACAACTCAAGACAGCTTACAACGGAGCAGAAATTCAACAAAGACAACATCCATCGTCCTTCAAAGCAAACGGGACGGGCACATATCAGTGGGATTCGCCCCAGCTGCACGAAGCGCTTCCGCGATAGCGAATCCGATGTCCTCAGCTGACGGCTGGCGAGAGGCGGAAAGACCTTCTGCATCAGAACCGACGTCTGATGGGAGTTCGGAGAGACTGGAATCGCTCTCGCTGGCATCGCCATTTCCTTCTGTGCGGTGTTCCAGAGACTTGCGCCCCCTGCCAATATAAGCGCGGACGCCTGGTCGGACATCCTGGTACAGCAGATCCACATCCTTCGGAGCTGCGTGCAGCTTCCACGATGGATCGGCCGTACCAATGAAGACCCTTCCCGTAGGCCACGTTTGTTTGGAGCTTGAGGACCGAGCAATAACGCCCGGATTGCGGTGTGAGCCAGAACTAGGACCTGCTGGTGTGGCAAAGGCATTAGCAATGTTGCCAGCAGCCTTGACCACGATTCCGCGCATATCTTCACCTACAAAACCTTGACCGACACGCTCGCCTTTCAGAGTGTACACTGCACCCCAGTAAGTACCACTGCGAAAGTGTTCATTGCGATTGGCGGGTAGTGGTTTCGGGAACACTAAACGTGTGGAAGACAACACCGATCGCCGTCCTTTCACAATCGCTTTAGGCTTTTTCTTGGTACGACCGCGCAGTTCGATGTCAAGGGTCTCCAAATTAACTCTTCCTGGCTGTGGAGGAACGTATTCCTCACCGCGCTTCCTGGTGCACGCAGTACAATTACATGTGTCTGTGCACATAGGGCAGGTGAAAGACTGGGCATAGGCATCGAACTTGATGTCTGGATACCTATGTGTGTTCAAGGATATATGAGCGTTCCGCGGATGCACGGTCAAGATGGAGAAGCAAGTTGGCGCCAAAAAGGGAAATGCAGTGTCGGAAGACCCAAGATAAAGCAATTCCAACTCCTCGAAAAAAAGAGAATTTGCTGGCAGACCTTTTGACTACACACACGACACAAAACAGTTTCCCGCACTTTTCACCAGTCTCCTTGATCTCGGTACAGCGCATCTTCTCGTGAGAAGTGGATCTCCGGCACTGATGGCAGAATGTAAGCGCTCTTGCATGATATTGTTTCTTGGGCGACGTCTTGGGTTTGGCGCCGGAAGCAGACAGCGCGATCGACCCATCACCTTCAGCTGTATCTGAACCCTGCTTAACGCCTGATTCATTCGGAGAGGAGAAATCAGGTTCGGAAGGCGAAGAGCGTTGCATCGCAAGCGCCCGAGCTGTCGGTTTCCGCACTCGCTTCCCAATGACAACTTCTGGTTCAGCGAAGATATTCGCTTGTCTCCCAGGTCCATCTGAGGTCAAGGTACCCACTATCGGCTGACGTCTCACGGGAGTGAACCTGGATGTTGATTTTCGTCTCTGCTGTGGCTTGGATTTAGATCTCCGTTTAGGCGAATAAGTTTTCTCGTGGTCCTCGTCGTCCCATCCGACTTCATCCTCACCCGAGGACGGCTCTGACCGGTCAGAATCACCGAGCTCTCGGCTCCGCATCACCTTTTCCTTCCCTTTTCCTTTCCTCTCTGTCTGGCTACCGTTCATGGTCCCCTTTTTAAGCGAAACCGCGCCTCCAAGTAATGACGGATCAATGGTGCCGTTCGCAAGCCCGATGGTCTGCTCGGGCCTCGGAGTTGGATCAACGGTGTTTTCGTGCATTTGATGCAGGCCGCTGTTGGCCTTTGCGAGGACGTTTCCCTCGGGCAGCTCCTGTTCCGCATCAGCCTCTATCATGAACGGGCCGTTCGAGGGACCAGGCGCACCGTGTATCCACGGGTTAACGGCGCCAGCAGCCGTACCCGCCTGATACGCATCATGATCTTGCATTTGCATCTGCATCTGTGCTTGCTGATACGAAAGCGGATAGCCCGTTTGCATGGTCGCAATTTGATGAAACGGGAGAGCATTGGTGTGCATGAGCAACTGAGGGTGCACTTCGGATAGGTGGGTCGGCAGATATGGTCTGCCCTGTGCGTTGAAGTATGGTTGACCTAGGACACCCGCATTATCGGCTGAGGCACCGTTCGTGCCGGTGTGCAAAGGGATGGGCCCAGATGTGATCGCAGGTATGCGCGCCATGGATGAACTGCCCTCTTCCTTTTCGACGTTCATATCATGTCGGGCCTCGGCATCAATCTGCAAGTGAGTGTATTCCGCGAGGTGTTGATGCAGCTCACTGTCGCTCAGCAGATGCTCAGATTCTGTCGGTGGGCGGTAACTCTCGTCGGTCGTGAGCTCTGACAGCGAGCGAAACCTCGGGCGCGCAGAAACTTCGTCCATCGCTGGCATGATCTCCACCTCCTGATCCACTCCTTGCCACGAAGGATACAGGAAAGGCTGCGAGCGCTCCCCTTCCTGGCCAACCTGGTGTGCCGCTTTCATGGGATACCCGTTCCTCTCCTTGCCCTTGCCCTTCCCCACCCTCTTCTTCTGCATGGTCCTCATCGTCGTTGCCAGCACCTCCTCCTCGCTTTCCTCCTCCTCCTCCCTCATCTGCTTCGTCCTCTCCTCTTCCTCTCGTGAGCTCTCTTCCGCGACCCACGTCCTCCACCACTCTGCGTGCGGCCACAGGTGCCTCAACGTCACATACCACCCGATTGCAGTCGGCGACGGCGGCTCGTCTATGTCGCCCAGTGGCGCGAGCTTTGCGGGGAAGTACTCATCCAGAGGGTCCCCTGAGTGCAATGGCAAGGTGGGGGAATGGAGCTGCGGTTCATTGTCATGCGATAGCTGGTGCGACGGAGAAGATGCAGAACCCGCCTCCGACATCACATTGGTCGTGGATGACTCAGCGCTCGTGAGCTTTGGCCGTTTGCGCGGGGTGAAAGGAGGTGCTGATGGATTGCGCTTGTGCGGGATGAGCGCCGCGAAACGGGACAGATACGGATCCGGTAAGGGCTGCTGAGAAGTCGACGCGGAGGGCTGTATGCTTGCGGACTCTGTCATAGTCGCATGCGCCTCGACTGTGGGACGTCGGCTCGGAAGCGCAGTGTTTACGGTTTTATCTCCTTGTATAGTCTCGGATACGCCCTCAGAAATGTATACGGACGTCCCGCTATCTGTTTGAGCTTGTTCTTCCGTCCTCCAGGCAGCAATCGTCGCCTTGAGGGTCCGGATCCTCTCGCTCGCTTGCGTTTTCGTCAGCCTCCGCCTCGCCTCCACTCTTTCCAGAACCGTCTCCTTTTCTTTGCTCTTGCTCTTCCGGCTCAGCACCGCCGCCTTCTTTCCTCCACCAACTTTCGCCTGCCTCCCTGCGCTCTTCCTCCCTCTTTTCCCGGCCTGTTCCTTAGTTGCCTCATCTACGCGGATGAGCTCCTCGCACTGCTCTGCGGGTTGATACGACACCCGCGGACGGTCCGCGGGAAGTGGAGGTATGAGGATATATGCGAGATTGCGGGTCGGCTTCCTGGGTGCTGCATGTGCAAGAGGCCGAGTGAAGCCACTTGGAGAGGCTTCGAGGGAGGATAGCGGGGACGAACCAAAGGTAATCGAGACTGACTTTCCACCTTTCCGCTGGGCCGGGGACGGCGAACCCGTGTAGGAAGACAGCTGCGAGCCATCTGTATTCTTCTCCGGAGAAGGTGAAGGTGTGATTGCTGACAAAGGCGACGAGTCTCCATTCAGCCTCGATGTATCCTTAGCTATACCCCGAGACAAAGGCGATTGTGACGAAGATGCGACCTGCGATGTTTCATTTAGCATGGTTAACGCGCGTACATGCAGGAAAGAAGTCGTTGAGAGCATAACAGCACTCACGTTCGCGCTCGCTGGCGTCACTGCCGCAGTGTTGACAGTGGCGTCGCTGGCCGTGCCGAATACAAGCCCGGTGAAAGCTGGCTCAAAGTGCGTCTTGACATGGACCGTAGCTGTATATGCGGTCTGTAGCTGTTCAGAGCCTATCTGATCGGCAGGGCCAGCCTGAAAATGAGAAAATGAGCAGATCAGTTGTGAGGATGATATGACGGCGTTTAGATGAGGGGGACGGAGACGGAACCGATGGAGGAATAAAGGAACAGATTTCACAGGAATAAAGATCAATGCTTACATCTGAATCTGCGCCCGTAAGGTCTATAGCCACTGCCTTTTCTGCTCCGTCTGCGGAAGGCATACAATCAGAGGCACTAGGCGCCGTACCAATGACATCAATTTCGTCTGATCTAGTTCGCTCCAGTTGTGACATCTCTAGTAGCAGAAGTGCGTCTTCCACAAGCAAGTTATCGCTTGCGGCAGGCACTGTTGGATCCGTCACTGGCGCAGGCTCCTCGATTCGCGAGTCTTGGGTTTGAGCACTCGAATGTTCGTTCAATTCGCCGCCATTCTGATCCTCATTCGCTCTCGTTTCTTTTTGGCCTTCTGATAGATCGACAGAAGGACTACCTCGTGTGGCAGCGGCGTTCGAGGCTTCTTCGCCTGTCTGCAGCCCAGCTGACTGTGGATTCTCCGTGCCGGTCTCCTCTTCATCCTCATATTCCCCGTCCGCGTCTGCATCCGAATATGCTGACAGTAATGCTCCCAGCGTTGTCTCTTTCTCATTGTCGTGTTCGTCGGGGAGGGAGGGCGGCGATCGTGCGGGTGTGAACAGTGGTGTGTGCGATGCGGACGGGGACATGGATGTGGATATGTGGAGCAATGGGGCAGTTAGCATCGCGTTCTGTAATTGCAATGTAATTGTCAGAAATTGTTCGTTGACCGTTGCGAGTCGAGCGGATCAGCGGGCGTACCGATGCGGATGGCATACTTGAGAGCACGGCGACGCCGTTTGGACGGACTAATGATGAAGACTCGGGCATGTGAATCCCGTTTACGGTGTTTGAGGCAGCTGATCCCGAGGTTTCAGGCGCATTTTCCTGTAATGTAAGATATACTCAGATAAGGACGGCCAGAAAGCATGTAAAAATGAGAAACAGTCGCTTCTTAGGCACCATAAATGTGAAAGATGAAAACGCACGACTCGTCACCGCCCCCGTTCTCGATAATGAAGAAGCGCTCGCATCTTTGTTTGCAATAAGTGGAACGAAGACAATGTTTTTCCCGCATCGCCGGCAAACTCAACTGCGGCCTTGCAATGTGCAAGAAAAAAGGAAGATTGACGAGATCGCTTTTCCCTACGCCGCCACTCACGGAGCAACGGCCACGAGTATGATCTATGTACCCCAAACATGCTGAGAGGCGAGGCAACCGGACAGCTTGGCTTGCCATCGAGTCGAGCACGCCGATGGCGTTTATGAATCCGATCAACACATTCGTTATTGGACGTCTGCCGCTACACGTTTGCGAACGGTGATCGTCTGTTCGATGGATGTCATTCCCGTAGGGGTTTGCCGAAAACAGATGCACACGAGAGAGAAATTGATGAAGGCGAAAGGGGCATTGACTCCGCGCACCGTATAGTTCGTATCGTTTGAGTCATCTCTCTGTGACTCAACAGCACGTTTCTCGCCTTTCATCCCAGCTGAACCATTGTCATTCGAGGCAAGAGGCTCGTCATTCGCACCGCTGGGTGCGCTTGAGGCCTCTGCAGGCATAATCATGGAGCTTGTAGACTGCTCGCGCTGAGGAGATAAAGATCCAATATGAATGTTTGCCGCAAAGACAGGAGGAGGAACCAATTCTGATGGCGCCGACATTGGGGGAGAGCGTGACGGATGTCGAGAAGAAGGGGTGCTGAGGCTGCCGTCCCAGTTAGCGAGGGCAGAGTAGGCACTCGAGGGCGCCATGCAGGTTGGGCTTGAGAGTTAGCGGCGAAATCGAGTGAGCGTGACACTCGCGGTCTGCGCGCGAACCACCCGTGGGAAACACACGTACAGTCACTCGGGATCACACTATTGTCACACTCCCCCATGAGCGTCGAGCATCCTGACAACTTCACTTGAGCTTGAGCTTGAATGCCTATAGCGCCAGTACTGCTTTCTCTCTCGATTTGAGACTACCGATATCCTCTGTGCAACTCAGTACTCAACGACGAAGCACTGGATAAGTCGTCACGCGCATGGAATAAATCACTTGTTCGAGAACATATGGAAACCCGTTTTCGCTGGTCGTCAGATGATACCAAGTTCGTATCTGACCGTATTGAACTTTCTGGTCAAGGATCACTTATCGCAAACGACGCTGCCCTCAGTCTACTCGCATGAAGCTTGCATCAGTCTCGTCGTTCACGCCTATAATTCACGGTCAAGATGCAAGTGTGCATTGCGTGCACGGCTATCAGGCAATCTCGAATACCAGTGCTGTCTTCGCGTTTCTCGGAGATCATCGCTTATTCTTCACGCTTAAGCATCGAACGAACAGCTGCAAATATCGCTGAAAACAACGCAGCCGGCTCCGTACAGCGATGCTTATATGGTCGTCTTTGTGTTGGTAACGGCATAAGTGTTACCTTCACCCGAGTTGCTTCCCTCAGAGGCTTCATATGTTCTCGTGATAGCTGAAAAGGTCAGGCGCCTAAAAGCATGCAACGAACACTCCCATCATGTTCCACACGGACTGCATCGGCAAATATGGCTCTTGTTCTCATCGCTTCTGCTACATGTACTGGCGCCAAGGCACAATGCCGTTTATGATCGTGTCGCAAGTCCCAAGCCGACATAACTTCTCCTCCATATTGACCTCAAGATTCTCTGCGTGTGTTCTATGCTACTCAAAACGCCCACCGAGAATGTGTACGACCATTTCCCCGCGGGCCAGTGGCCCGATACCCAGTGTCTCGAGAATAGCGCCTTCCATCAGATCTGCATGACTACCGAACGATGCGCACAGCCAACCAGCGACCTCACCATGCAATTGATCTGCCAAGGACAGCACTCGATTTCCATGGCACTCTCGACAGCCCGTGTGCGAATGATCCATAGCGTCAAGGCACTCATAAGGCCAGGCAAGTTCGCTGTGAGAAGCAATCTTAACCTTCGTTCCTTCTTTTCCCCCTCGTTCCTTCTTGTTTCTGGCGGCAGGGCTGCTTCGTTCGTTTCGTTACTAAGTCCTGCTTATTGGTCTCCTTCGGCTCGCCCTTTGAGACGGTTTACTAGATCGTGGATCAGTAGCTCGTTTGAAATTCTGAGCCATGCGCGAATTCGCTCTGCTATACTTGGCAACATTCCTTCCTTTATGGGCTCTTGCCTCCAACGACTGGACTCAGCCATGCCTTGACGGCACATGCTCCTACGACGTCGACGGGCCCGTCTCCGGCTCGGTGTTCATCGTAAGTAGCCAATCCGATCTGTCCACCTTCAAAAAGCACTTATGCCGCATGCTATCGGTAGTCCGGCTCATCCACGGCCATCTCTGACCTCACACAAGCAGCGGAATGGGAGATCCTGGACTGCGACGCGAATAGCACAGCACAAGATATCCGCGCGGTATGCACAAACACCACCTCTGGCTGCTCTCATCTACTACAAGGAGGCGCGGTCGATACTATCGTTAGGTTACCCGAGAACGTTCGTCCTTATCTAGTTCATGTGATGCTCTGCTTGGAATAGCTGAAGTGAGCACAGTGCACGCAAATGCCTTTCGCAAGAGTTGCGGCAATTTGGGATCATGAAAACCAGACGACCGCTTTCGTGCGGCGAAGTAGGCTCTTTCGCCGCGAAACGATGCCCATCGTCAAAGGAATCAGCTTGGATACAACATTCAGTGCGATCGACCCATCTCGGTACGCGTGAAATATTCTGATAATTAAAAAATCAACGTGAACACCTAACAATATAGGAACGGGAATGTTACGTTCGTCTTCCAAGGGGGTATCCCCAACTCTAACGTGGATTCATCGTCTGCGATCCAAAAACGGCTTCTCAGTGTAGGCTCCGTCACGATTTCCAGTCCCTCACCGAGCTGACGGCCGGACATGCTCTGTTTATGACCCATTAAGTTCGACTACAATGACATATCTACCACGGCTGTCGTCCACGCCAGCAACACGAGCACACTCTTCAACGGCACGCTCTCCTCCGCGAGCATCATCAGTGGCGACTCCGATCCCTCCGTCACCGTCAGTGGGAACGTCGACTTGATGGTAGACTCGAACGTGGATGTGCAGCTGCAGTACGGCATCGTGATCGCTGGAAGCGTCGTCCCGCCCGACTTGACCGGGTTTGAGCTGTTTACTGGTGTGTGCGCCGATGAAAGTGTGTAAAAGGTACTCATGGTCGGTTTCGATTGTGCAGGTATGAACGGCTCGATCACTGGGACGTTGAGCGTGGATAGCCAAGCGACGGTGCGCAGATCTCTTAACGCTGTTTTCCCGGTCTCCGTACTGAGGAGACGTGTTATCCATAGGCTATCTTTGATACCGGTGCAATCCAGCTCTTCCAGGTCGGTATCCCGGGATTAGACATCCCCGGGCAAGTCACATCTCATACGTTCACCTGCTTTGACTTGGCTGACGTGAAGTTGTCTCTAGGATCCTGAGCATAGGCCCGACGTTCCAGGTTTCCGCCGAAGCCACCGTAGCGCTCGCTGTCGGTCTGGACATGGACATCGACTTCAACTACGATATCAATAATGCGGAACTGTACTTCCCGTCGTCTGCCAGTGATATCTCCAGTGCGAACGTTAGTGCAGGGTACTCCAGTGAGTTGTGACCACCATAACAGACTGATGCAAAGGCTTATGTTGGCGCAGATGTCAACGTCATCTCAGGTCCAAACTCCACAGCTGAACTAACGATCACACCCCAACTAACACCCAGCGTACGCTTTCTCCTTCCTTCTTACCCGCATTGCGCTCTAAACGTCACCCAACAGATCTTTTTCGGTATCAATGTCCTCGATGGCACCGCAGATGCCACCATCAGGCTCGCCCTCGACGCCTTCGCCATCGCGATCCTCTCCCTGCAGGACGACGCAGGCGCCTCCACCGCTTCCAACTGGAGTAACACCACAGCGAGCGCTTCCGGGTTCGGAGGGGACGTAAACCTCGAGGGTGGGCTCAACATCACCGCAAGCGCGGATGCCTCGCTGTTCGACCTCTTTGAGGCGGGAAAGAGCATCACGCTGTTCTCGAAGACGTTCGAGCTGTTCCAGGTGCGTATCGCCCACGTTGCATCGCCGTCCAGCTTTTGCTCACGCTGTTCACGGTTGCAGAAGGACTTTGGTAATAGTGCTTGAGGCTGTCAGCGACAGCGGAATTTGGCGACACCTTCGTAGTCGGACTTTGTTCTTCGAAGTACCAATCATATAAGTGACACCTATTGATTTCTGATATTGTCCTTCAAGTTACGGAGGTCTTGTATTTACAGGCGTTGTACTAAACGGCTGAGGATGGCACGTTGTGGACGTACAATTCTCGTCACAGGCTTGCGACTCGCTGCGAATCGAAGGAACGCTGTAGCCACAGTGTTCTCACCGTGCAGCTCTAGGGCATCTATATCTCCACACAGCTTGTCAAGTTGGATGACTTCACGGCCCGTCATGTGGCGGCCTTGTCTCCCGCATACAATCGCTTGGTTTTACTCGATCGACTCACACTTCCTGGAGATACGCAGGCGGCATAATACCGATATGACTATGTGTGCTTTTTTTAAATTGTTATTATTCTGTTATAAGATAACCAATATGGAAAAACAAACCTATCTATGGGTTGAACACTGATGGTGAAACGGTATCATGCTTGCCTTCCATCTTTGGAAATCCGATAATATGGCAACAGGGACTGCTCAGCCCCCAGGGACTAATCAGCTACAAACAACGGCAACTCGGCAACCATACGATAAGCCTTGAGCGTAGCAAGCGGCGCGGCGCGGATTCGACTCCCGCTCAGTGTATATCTTCTTGTTTATTTTTACTCCGGTGCTTATACCGCTTGATGACGCCATACCCAAGACTGCCGCATAAATCACTTCCGGTACACAAAGGTGTTGTCTAATCTGCTCATCTGAGCTCTCTCACTCCTGCCAAGCTCCCATAACGATGCCGCCAAATCCGCTGAGAGGCGTGCAAGCGTTTGTCTTCGACGTCTTTGGCACAGTGGTCGATTGGCGCAGCAGCGTCGCGGCGGAACTGGGCCGACACGCCAAGGATGGTGTAGACGGCAGTGTAGCTGGTCGGTACCCTCTTAAGTGCCCAGCTCCGCACGCCGGGCCCTCACGATTTACGCCGTATATGTGCAGATTGGGAGGCATTCGCGGAGGAGTGGAGACAGGGGTATTATAGATTGACGTGCGTTTGTTACGGTCCTAGTATACTCTAAGGATTGCATATATGCTGATGCTCGTCGACGACGGTGCTGCAGCGGACAGGTTGCGAGAGGCGGTCCCGGACCATCGAACGTCGATGAGATGCATCGCCAAGTGAGTCTCTTGATCTGGGTGCTCACATAGCACGATCGATCTGATCGCGTCCTCTTTGATTACCGTACACCGCCTCTACATGACATATTTAAATCCCAGATCTTGGACTCCATGCTGCAGACACCCCGCTGGGCGCACCTCGCGCCGCTCTGGGACGGCGTCGAGCGCGCGGAGCTGGTTATGGCCTGGCACCGAACCAAGGGTAACGCACAGCTTGTTTAATTATTCTGCCTCTCATATACATATGTTGCACGATTACAGGATGGCCGGACACGACTGCAGGCCTGTACGCATTGAAGAAGCATGCCATCATCGGCACGTTGTCCAACGGAAATGTTCGCCTGCTCGTCGACATGGTGAGCAGTTCAGAGGCGTGCTTGCAGCAGGCGACAAAGATGATTGACATGCGTCGTTGTATCACATAGGCCAAGTACGCGGACCTTCCTTGGGACGTCATATTCTCCGGCGAGCTCCTCGGCTCCTACAAACCGTACGTCCTCTCCCCTCCCTCTCTCTCTCTTCATTCCCCTCATCCCGCTCACTCTCCCACACAGAAACCCCAAGATGTACCTCGGCGCGCTCCACCACCTGTCCCTGGAGCCACACCAATGCGCGATGGTCGCCGCACACATATACGATCTCCGCGCGGCGGCGAGCCACGGGATGAAGACGGTGTTCGTGCGCCGCCCGCGGGAGCCAGACAGCCCGCCGGACGTGCGGACGAAAGCGGAGGGCGGCGAGGTGGACGTGGTGGCGGGGTCGTTCACGGAGGTGGCGGACATATTAGCGGAGGCGAGGAAGGAAGAGGCGGACAAGCAAGTATGGCAGTGAAGTGTACACAAACGATGAGATTGTGTACGTTAGATTGTGACACGGTCAATATCTCTGCTGCCGTCTCGGACTAAGAGCGTTATTCGGTGACTCCCGTGATCCCGGCAACAACTTGTAGACCAGATGAATCTGAGTGATAAACCGCTAGTCGTACCAGCGTGAGTTCCGACTCGGATGTGAGCAGATGACCAATCGGTCGCCAGGACCGGTATTTCCTCCAATCCTTCGATCGATGTACCCTCCTCGGACTCCAGACAAATGAGTAACCTCCACACATTCACAGGAAAGCGGCCGAAGGTCGACTGGAATCGGAACAATTAACGTATTCAGGTTGACCGCGCCGCGCGAGCTCCTCGACCGAGTTGACTTAGTGACGGTGAGATGTACTGCCCAGAACTGCAAAACTCCTGCACAGTGTTATTGAGGATAGTCCAGCGTATCTCGAGTGTTTTTTTATCAGAAATCCTAGCGTCGATCGGCTTCGGAAAATACGCGCGGCTTCGGTGAACTCGACCCTTGAGGATGGAAGAAAATGCGGGCGTTTAGTGACTACACTTTGAACGATGCCATGGTGCGCGCCACGTCCTGCGAGACCGCCATCTTAGAATGCAGTTTGTCAGGTCAGAAAGAATACACTGTCTGCGTCAAGTCCGATGTCACCACCGAAACAAAAACGCGCATCAAACAGCGTCGAATGTGTCCAAACCAGCGCGCAGCTCCTGCCAGCGCCTGCCAAAATGATACCTAAGCGCTCTAATCTGCTCGAATACAGTGAGCCATTTCAAAGTTGACACCGTGCAACGTGGCGTGTCTGCGCATGCATGTTCTCGAATGACCCTCACGGCATCGCGACAAGAGATTCATGTCACTTGGTACGCTTGAACTGAATTATCCACTCGACTTATCGCTACTGGTATATACACGCCAATCAATTCGCGATCCACACCACGCACGCACGGCGCCTACAAACTCGCGCTCGGCAACCTCGCCCGCTCCAACAACTCCGCAACCTCAGTGAACGACTCCGCATACACATCGACCTCCCCACCGTCCGCCTTGGAGCGCACGTCATCCGGCGCGTCCGGCTCCTGCGGCCTCCGCACAAACACCGTCTTCATCCCGTGGCTCGCCGCAGCGCGCAGGTCGTATATATGCGCGGCGACCATCGCGCACTGGTGTGGCTCCAGGGAGAGATGGTGCAGCGCGCCGAGGTACATCTTTGGGTTCCTGCGCGCGGAACGTCAGTTGGGATAAGGAGAGAGACAAAGTGAGGTGGGAGACGCACGGCTTGTAGGACCCGAGCAGCTCGGAGGAGAAGATGACGTCCCATGGGAGGTCGGCGTACTTTGCCTGCGAGCGAGAGACGGTCAGCTCGAGTTCATCAGCGAGGTGGCAGAGCGCTCACCATGTCTACGAGCGTGCGGATGTTGCCATTCGAGAGCGTGCCGATGATCGCGTACCGCTTCAGGCCATACAAACCCTCAGTGGTGTCTGGCCAGCCTGCGCGCGAACGCCTCGTCAGCCACGCAGCGGAAGAGATAGGCCGCAACGCACCCGGTACACGATGCCAGAACTGCACAAGCTCCCGACGCGCCTCCTCGTCCCAGTGCGACGCGAGGTACTTCCACCTGGGCGTCTGCAGCATCTTCTCAAGGATCTATATCCGAGGATTGAAATATCGACGGCCGAGCCAATAGAGAGATCGCCATTCGGAATATCGCCGAAAATGAACAGGACAAAGAAGAGCACAGAGAGCGAGATCAGACAGGATCAGTCAATCAAGATCGCGATCGGCGTACCTGTCTGTGCATCACGTCGACGTTCATCGTGCCCTCCGCGCCGCTCGCGATGGAGAACCTGTGTGGGCATAGTGGTCAGTGACAGCTCTGACCATCGTTCACGGCGATGGCATGGTAAGGTGTGTTCAGCGCCCCGCTGTATATGGGACCCGAGTGATTCTCAAGCGCCGAGGCAATTCGGCGAAGCAGCGGAGAGAGTCTGCAAGTCCGCATGCCCGGAACACTGTCAGGTGATCAAGAGAAGACATCGGGCGAAAAAAATGCCCGGAGATGTAAAGAATAGGTCGAGCCGTGGCCCAATCGCCAAAGGTGCAAACACATATACAGCGCTAGTTGTATCCGGACCCGAGCGTCCTTGGTGCGACTCTATGGCAGCAATAAGCCGGCCGCGGATCGCTCGGGTCCTCCAATCCCCAGAACTATTGGAATGAAAGTGGCCAAGAAATCACTAGTGCGGACTTTCGTATTGCTCGGGGCAGCCACCAGATCACGCAAGGCAAGTCGGCCGGTTGGATTGGGGTATTTGCAGTATCGCTTGTGATTGTTGTGCTGTGCGCTTCGAGGTCCCAAAATAAGAACACAGGCGGTAACCCTCCGCCCGATATTATTCGGGCTCAAATGGGGCGTCACGAGAGACGCAGATGTCTTGATATGCATACTGCTGAAAAGTGAAGACGCATTGCTCATCTTTACCGATGAGCTGATCAACCTATAAACCGGTCATAGCGGATAGATGAATACTCGCACGAATAAGGCGTTAGGAAGGTCTCTCACCATCCTTGAGCTCCATGACGGGAGGAGCAGAAACAATAGCGCACGAGAGAAAGCGCTGAGGTTCGTGTGCTCGAAGACGTACATGAGGATCGAACCCGAAGAATGGAGATCGATAGCAGATCTTCCTCGATAACCGTGGCATTGCTCATGACCTACGTGACCGCCCCAGGGAACGAGTCAACGAGACAATAACACCCGGAACACATTCGGGCATTCGGACATGAACACAGAGCACATGGGACCTCTAGGCAAGCGAAGTAAAAGGGAGAAAGCGATGGGGCTTGCGCGCTCGGAGAATTGAAGGTAGGACTCGGGTCGAAACCACATGTGCGGTCTCCCTCGGAGAAGGTGGCATTATTCGCGACCGTACTGGCCACCTCGGAACGAAATAGCACTGCTCGGAAGACACTCGGGCACTCGGGGATTCGGGCATGGACGCGGAGCGCATGGAAACGGGAGAAGAGAATTGAAGGAGCGACGTACGTCATTTCGTAATAATTTTCTCTCCACTCGGCGGTGAAAGCGTCCCAGTCTGTCGACGTAGTCTGTCAAATGTGCGGCCTATTTTTAGATGCTGATACGCACCGTCATCGATCTTGCCACTGTTGAATGCCCGTAGTTGGTCAGCGACGCCCTTGCGCCAGTTGACGACGGTTCCCCACACGTCGAAGGCGAATGCCTTAACATCCTTGAGTGGGTTTTGCCCGGATGGACCAGTGGAGCGTTTGGAAGTAGAGAGGTAAGGCTGCGATGGGACGGAGGACATGTTGGAAAGCTGAGAGCTATGGGTATCGACCACAAGCTGTCCTATATACTAGGACAGCAGTAACACAAGCGCGGCGGGCTTTCTAAGCAAAACGCCAGCAGATCGTGTCTTACGGGTCTTCTTCCGGAGGCCGAAGGACAATTGCCTAGGCAGAGAACAACAGTTGCAAGGAGGGATCCGAAATGACCGTATTTTTCGCGAATCCCATGGAAGCGGAAAGCAAGCTAACATGGGAGGGAAGCCTCGGAGACGGGCGCGGGCCCGAGAGGCCGAGGGCACCCCGCGGATTAGCCATAGCCTCAGAGAACGCAAGCTTAGCTGCATGTACGTCTCTGCCAGCGCGGCAGATGAACGGAGAAGTCTCCCGCTGACGGAGCGTTCCATATTCGCTGCCATATCGGGTAGCCAACCTTCTCCGGCAGATACCGCACCAATGAGGCGCAGCGCGCGGCGCCACGAGAGCCTGTGATTCGGCGGCCGCCATTATTGCCATTGCTGCCGTACCCGCACCGATCGACGACCCTCCATCGTGTTCGAATGGGGATATCACCGCGGCCACCGTCAACGACGCGTCAATCTCTCTCTGATTCCGATCGGAGGCGTGTGTTACTCCCCAAAATCGGGACTCGGACGGATCTGTGGCAACACGCACTATCTCCACGACATAATCAAAGTCTTGTGCATGTGAGGCGTCGGTAGCCTATATCCCACACTGCATCCTTCTCCCGGTCCCGGCTCTGCGAGTCTGCTCTGCACCTGACCGTCGGTATGTAATAAGCTCCCCGGAACAATCAATGTAAGGAATCATCTTGCTCGCCTTCCAAAGATCGCAGTAGCTTCTCCCGTCGTCGACGCGTGCGCTACCAGGAGTCCATCGAGCAGTATCATCTGGTCACCTGGTCAAGCACTTGTGGCAACAGTAGATACCCTGTTGGTATGGCCCATGCGCTCGGATTCTCATAGAACCACGCGTTCGGCGCGGAACATGGCCTCATGAAAGGCGCTCACAGCATGATACACCCGGTTACTACTCGAGCCCTCTTGCTCTCCGTTAGGGCACCTCTGGCATATACATTCCCTTCAATCACACACCGCTCACAGCGCGTAAGGATCCCAATGAACCCCAACTCGTTAAGCCAATGCAGGAAGGCAATTCCGATGCGCCATCGGAGAGAAGCAAACGGTCGATAATGCGCTCTTTACTCGTCTCACCTGGGGCTGGCCCACCGTCCCTGGTTTGTGATGGTGGCACGATGCCCAGCTGCATAACGGTGAGCTTGCCGGCCTTTGATACCACGTATAGCTTATCTAGGATGGCCGGCTGCTATGCTCGAGCTGCGCGGTGTGAATCTCCATGGACTAGCGAGGTATGGAGCCCAGCCTCGTCCCTGCGAGGACGCGGGTGCTGTGCCACATCGAATGTTTCTGCTGCGCTGATGCCGTCTCGCTCTTCATGCATTCATGGTTAGGCTCTGAAGTGAACCTGAGGCCCCAAGAAGCCGATACTCACGCCCTCTGCCTTGGCTCCAACTAATGAACTTTAGGCTTGTTCACCCAATCATGTGCCGGTCCTGGCTAGTATATACCTGGTCAGATATGTGCGTACGTTGTATAGCTGTTCATCACGTCATTTAAAGGTGCTCGATCGTCGGCTCCTCGGCCCGGCGTCTCTTCACCTTAGTAGCGATACACCTCATCGCCGCTGCGCGCCCTGGATCCAAGCCCGGCATCTGACGGTCGGACGTGTATATGGATACATTGATACTTCGACAGAAAGCACAAGCTTCCATGCAAAGGCCGCATGGCACACTAACTTCCACACTTTACCTCGAGCTGGCTGTGCTCCGCGAAGCGCGCTGCCACATGTTGAAGTTAAATTCCGCCCAACGCGATGTGGGCAGAATTTAGGGGGGATTCCTACGTCACGCCCGTGCATGCGATCGCAGTTGCAGTCGACGTTAGGTGCCATCCGGTCTATCGATCCCACATCTCTTCCGGTGATGACTGTGCATAATGAGCTTGACATTCATGCATGGCACATCGAGACCCAACAAATATGTTGGCGGTAGAAGCTTGGATCCTTGAAATATTGAAAGGTCGTCGAAGACCGGTTTGCACTGTGCTAGAGGCTGTTAGACACTACACAATGAAGTGATGACCCCATCGGCTCACTTACGATTGATAATGATGCCAAGGAGCCCATTATCGACACACGCTATATGAAATGTTACACAGCGCCATGGTTACGCAACGCCAGCGCAGTGGCAGAATTATCGATATGAGTTACAGACTCACCTCAATTGAGGCACCATGAGACCTTCGAAATTCAGCGCATATATACAGCTAGACGCTGAGCATGATGCGCATGTTACAAGTCGAAATCTACCACCAAAAATAACTAATGTCGATTAGAGCGATGTTGATGTATGTATGCCTTAGGCTGAGGCGAAGAACTAGGGGTCCAGTGAGAAGTGTACCCGTGGGAACGCTGAGTTTAAACATACCACCGCCACCGCCACAACGCGACCTCGCGACCAGAGGACGCGCCTCAGGCTGAGCGTGTCTTTCTGCATATTCCTTATGTCGCTCGACACTGGCACGTTCATTCACGCATTCATTCTGTCAAAATCCTGTCAAAAGTAGTGATCATGTCAGAACTTGCTCAGTCTTCTCTCGGCGACCCTCAAATTAATGCTGAATGGCTTGCTGAGCTGTTCTCTCGAAAGTGCGGGATCTCTCAACCTCGAGATTTCCAGATCAAACACGGACTTGACATGATCGAAGGGCGCGACGTCTTTCTAGTTATTGCACCAGGTCAGGGCAAGACGACAGTGTTCTGGGCCCCTCTACTCGCTGCTCAAGCACTCGGCAAGCAGGGTATCGCACTATGCATTGTCCCTACCAAGCTACTTTCTATACAGCAGGTATGATATCTCCACTGGATTTACACATAGAAATAAAGAACTATATGTGGATTTGCTAGAGCGAGAGTGCCCGTCGAGTCGGGCTGCGCGCGATCACGCTGAACGAGGATACTGTCCACGACGCGTACTATGACAAGCGCGATCTTTTCGACGAGCTGCAGAATGGCGAAGACATTCGCATCGCTTTTCTGAGTCCTCAAATGCTTGCTGGGGAACGCATGAAGAAGCTCCTGCGGATGTCTAGCTTCAAAGACCTGATCCGCTGGTTCATGATTGATGAGACTCACTTGCCCGACGACGAGAACCCTCTCTGGCGCGAGAGCTATTCTGTTCTCAAGACGATGCGTGCGAACGGTACGTTTGGACGTTGGAGCCATAGCCTGAAAATATTGGACTGTACTGCCCATAGTATGCTGTATGCTGGTGAGAAGCCGTCGAAAAGGGACTGGCGAGTGGAAAGGGCCTGGAGTCTGGGGAGTGGTATGGGCCACTTTGATGGGCAGAGGAAGAGAAAGGGGGGCTTTCTCTGCTTATTTGTTCATCATCTGGATTCGCACTTTGTAGTGCACTTGTTTCTTGGGACGACATCGCTAAAATACAAGAGAGGTACACGATCTACGCACAACGCCCTTTACAGACGCGTTCTGTACAACGCGATCACGTGGTGTGTCCGACCAGTGCCAAAGCTTCCAGCGTCGAATTGCCGTCGGCACGTTGAAACTCCGCGTTCCCACGGGGGGGTCTTCCCTTTGGACCTCGAGTTACGATCTCAGCCTGAGTATAAGGAACGAGTGTGTCTTCCTGTACGAAGGCTGATTTATGAGCCTATGTATGCCTCATCCATGAGGGAATCGATAGCGCAAGCATGATATCGTGCTGTTCAAAACTATGTCCAAGGCGCAGGACGAAGACCGGATTATAAATGATCTGACTTTCCTATTGCTTGATTGCACTGCCTGTTTAGCATGGCTGGTACAGTTTCGCCTACGGACAGAGGAGCTGCGAAGGAATTGTAGTAAGGACGCACGACGAAAGAGATACACGCATCCTTCAAACACTCGTCGTCTACAATCTCCATCTCCCGTCCCTGCAAACGCCTAAATATTCCATCTTATTGCCGTCTCATGGCGGAATCTCGCCAATGTCCTCGTACCATTCCTAAGAGTGCAAAGAACGCGCTTCAGCACATCACAGCTATGGACGGATAATGCCATTTATCCTGACCTCTGGCTTCTCCGCGATAAACCGACGCATGAGCTCCTTGCACTCCGCATCATCCACGACGACCACTTCCACGCCGCGGCTCCGCAGGAGGTCCTCGTCTCCCATGAAGTTGACATTTTCCCCGATCACAAGCCGCGGGATCTTGTAGAGCAGGATGGCGCCGGAGCACATGCTGCACGGGCTGCAAGGCTCCTCAATCAGTCTTGCTCACACCAAAAGAAAAGCTGGAGCCGACGCACCTCAACGTGGTATACTACCACAGGCACGCAACCTAATCAGCCAGAGGTCCGGAGTAAACAGTGTCGCGTCACACACACCATCGTAGACTTCCTATACACCTCCGCCTTCAGCCTCCCCGCATCCTTCAACGCGGCCGTCTCGCCATGCAAGATCGGCGACGCCTCCTGAACGCGCTGATTATGTCCCTGGCCGATGCACGCGCTGCTCCTCCCCGCCCTCGCCATCGTGGTACACGATGGCCGCGCCGATAGGAACGCCGCCCTCGCTATAGCTCTTGCGCATTCTCGAGCGCGGTGTGCAGGCCGAGTGCGTCTGCGGGAGACAACTCGGCAGGCATGGGTACCGGGTGCTAGTCGTGCGTAGAGGGGAGACAAAGCTGGAAGGACGTCGAGAGTATAAAATCTGACTCGAGCGGCGGGGGCGGCATGATTGATGTTCCTCCTGGGCAGAGCCTGGCAGAGCGCATATTCGTTCTTATCTTATCTCTTTGCGCAGCGCCGGGTACTTACCATATAAGGCAGGCGTGTAGCCCTTTTTGGACGAGCCCTGGTTCCGTTGTCGACTAAACTGATTTAATTAGGATACTATTCCGACCTCTCGACAAGACCCCCGCGTCAAAAAGCAGACTATGCTGCCCAAACGTTTACAGCATTCGTCGCCCTCATGAGGTGTCGGAAATGCGGAGAGGGCAAGGGGAGGGGGGGTTCACGTTGAGTACATTTCACAGAGCAGTTTACACGACGCTTCAGATCTTCAGATTTCTAATTTGAACTTCACAGGATCTACAGCTTGGTTTACAAAAACTCAAACTACGTTTCGCTTCTTCTGTATGCTTACAGCTTAAAGGGCGTCTAAGATGATGTAGCGCATCTTCTCAAGGAGCGTAGCGCTTGCCATGGATGCCTTCCTGTATTGCTTTGATCTCTGCAGTTATAACGTGAGCAATCCGAAGTCCAAATAATGAAAGTAGAACTCACGGAGAGCGAGATGTTTGGAATGGAAGCGGCACATCGACAAATTTCCTGCAGACGAAAAGAATGAGACAACAAGCATGATAGCAAGCACGTCCACTCGCACCGGTCATGAACCACAGGTTGGGCACGCCGAGCCATCGCCACGATCCACGCTGCTCACCCTCATGATTCAAGTTCCAGATGGGCGACACCTGGGATGCAAGCTCGGGTCCGACAAGCCTGTCGATCGCCTTCTGTGCACCGTCGAACCTGATTTGATCGCGCATCAGCAGTTGAGGACGGAATAAACTCTACTCGTCTCATGGCTTACCCGGTAGCATAGAGGACGACGTCGCATTCGAGCTCGGTGCCATTCGTGAATCTGAGGCCATTCTTGGTAAAGCGCTCGATTTGTGCGTCGTTCTTGATCTTGATCTCGCCGTTGATAATCTTCTTGCAGGTTCCAACGTCTGTGATGTCATCAGCATACAGTCGACCGAGAACTGAGGCAAGGACTTACCGAGATAATAGCCACCTCCGCGCGTCATCGCCGAGTAGAGGAACCCAGAGCCGTCATCGCCGAAGTGGGTCCTGAAGCCCACTTTCTGCAGACCATCCAGAATATTCCTGAACGCGAAACCTGTCAGATAGTAGTCGGCAAGCGGCAAGGGACTAACACTTACTTGTCGGCTTGGGCGATCTCCTTTGTGAGGCGTTTGTGCATTTCTTTCATCATGAAGACAGGCATTGACGTGTGCACGCGGTCAGCGACCTCCACTGGACCAGCGCCCTCCCAATACAAATCTGCATATCCAATGGGAAGTAAGGACCTCCCTCATGCTTGAGGATTCATGAGGAAGGCTTACCACGGAATAGCCTTGGCATGCCTTCCTTCGTCGACATGACGTAGGTAGCTGATCGCTGGAACAAGGTGACATCTATGACGCACAGGCGTTCGTTGACATTCAACGAGCAAGTCATGTCTAACGCTCACCGACACCGTGTTCGGCATAGTCCGCCGCAATGTCGTGAGCTGAGCCGAAAGATCAGTGCTGTGTATCCAGAATATGCAGCAATGGCGTACCTGAAGTGCATGCGCCGACGATGACGACCTTCTTTCCTAGGTGATCCTTCGCAGACCTGTGCTCCGTTGAGTGAAGGACCTGGCCTTGGAACTCATCCTACGAAAGCAAACATCAATGATGCACATTAGACATACAGCACAAGTACCTACCCGTCCAGGGATATCGGGGACCTTTGGCACGCCACCACCAAAGCCAACTGCCATGATGACATGGTCGACGTGGAACGTGCGCTCGGTTCCATCTCCCTTGCGCACAGTGACGCTCCACTTGCCGTCATCGTCCTTTCTGACGTTCGAAACCTCGGACGATGTCCAGACGTTCAGCTCCATGGCCTCGGCATAATACTCGAGCCAATTTGCCAGCTATGGATATATACGTGAGTGCCTGGTACGTTCCTGAGAAACCTATATTGACCTTCTGCGCTGGCGTGTACACCGGCCATGACGGCGGGAATCTATGTCGTCACCGTGAATGAGATGATACACAAAGGCGATCTAAGACGATCTCACGGCATGTATGGGAGGTGGTCGTACCCTGTTGCACGTCTCGTGAGCTGTGTGATGCAAGTAAGGGAGAGGAAGATTGACGTACAAACGGGGTCGTGCAGGCAAAGAGCCTCATAGCGCGTTCTCCACTGGTCACCGATACGGTTTTGTCTCTCGATGACCAGTGTCGGAACGTCCAAGTGCTTCAACCGCGCTGCGACGTCAAGGCCACTCTGTCCACCGCCAATAACGATGACCTGAGGGTCCCCGTCGGCGAAAGACCGCTCCCGCTCCCGCTGGTCCTTCCACTTGCCATGGTTGGGCAGGAACTCACGGTTGAAGCCGATCTTCTCCGGGAAGCCCTTCAGGTCCTCGAGGTTGGTATACATTGTGAACGCCTTCCACGTCCCATCGGCAGTCGGTACCAGGCGGAATATTCCGAGCCCGATGCCGACCTCGGTGTCGAAGTCGAAGAATGCTTGGATCCATGCGAGATCAGGGTACGGCGTCCTTAATACGGTATTGCCATCGCGTAGCTTGAGTAAGGACAACTTCATGACGGGCAGTTGGTCCTGCAGAAACTTCTTGATCTTGCTCACGCCGTGAAAGGTGCGGAACTCCCAGGTAAGAGCAAGTAGGTCGCGCCACCAGCCATCATCAAGGAAGAGACCCATGATGCCATCGACATCACCGGCTAATACATAATCGGTGAAGGACTTGAACCACTCAGACGCGATCTTCTCGACGTCAATGTCCGAGTCAGGCACAGAAGCACCCAACCTGTCAAGGGTCGGCAGAGTGGGCTTCAACGTGTCAGTACCATGAACAGCCTTCTGTGCATCAACAATAGGCTGGAGAGGAGCATCCAGTTTGTCGAACGTAGTAAAAGCGGGCATGAGAGGTGCGACTGCGGCGGCCATGGCGAGCGTAGTAGTGGGTTGTTCTAACGTGTCCAAACACTCTTATATTCCATCGCCGCTGGAGGTGCCGATAAGCGAGACGACGGCCACCCAAAGATCATCCAGTGCAGACACATCAAAGCGGAAGCAGGCTGAGCAGCTGATCGTTCCAAGAGTCAAATGACGATGAGATGCGTTCTTGTGAACATGAACTTCCCACGATCCTTGCCGCGCTAGTCGTTCACGGGACTATGCATCGCGGTCATGAGCATGACGCGCTAGGCCGTCGCGCTCTACTGAAGTTTCTTGACTTGATGGAACGAGATCATTGACTGTGATGTATGGACATTTCGCGCTTTGAGAGCGGAGATGCTCCCAACCGCCCGCTACAGACTTCGGTAGGTTAAGTCAAGTCAAGAGCGACTTCGGAGAACGTCAGTCATCAACTCAAGGACCAGCTGATCAGCTGGGCAAATCTTGATGATGCTTCAGGCGATGAACTAGGCATGCCGAACTGCGGCCAGTAATAGGAGCAATCAACCTGAGCGCAGCTAGGCGAGCAAGGAACCCCGCAAAGTAGACTCTGGTACGTCTGTACAGATAGATGCGACTGTTTATGCGATCTTTGCATGCTCACCTGACATTTCTGCATAACAAGTCGGCACATCAAACGCGCCGTACGCGCCGTGGTAAGGACGATTATGCGGTGCTCAATCCTAGCCACTCGCGAATCGTCACCGCCGCTTTTCGGATGGGCTACCATGGTCCGATTCGGAAATGTCGGAGAGATGGCACGAAGCAGGAAAGAGCACCTATGCTGCCAGTATTACTTTGAGATCATTTGTCTCGAGTATCGATTTTCTCTCCGAATAAATGCACAGGCAAGGGAGCGTTCTGATCTTGGTGCATGCCTTATGCTGATACAGTAGCTTTGTACAGCAAGCCTAAGCGGTAGTGATGAGCTTCTGCTTACATTTGTGCCCGAGAGAAACCTTGCACTGAGCAAGAGGCCGGGACCGAGTTGCTGACAAATTTTGTACCGATTTTTCATCCTCGAAAACAAATGATGTAGATTTTATCCACTCCCATAACTCGATTATTTCGAGAAAGCACCTAAAAAGGCATAATCTACGCCTTTCTTCGTGTTCAGGCGGTAACGGCAGTTCCTGACTGGAAAGTGATAGGTTTCGGGAGCTACGAAAGCATACTTCATTCGCAAACCTCGTAGTGTAGAGTGGCCACCGGCATTTGTAATATAATTATTTCTATCTGCCAGGACCTAAAGCTATGCAGCCTTATCTTAACAGAGGTAGCATTTATGTCATAATCAGATCGAGACGGCTCGGACGATGGGCGAACTTTGGCGAACTTAGTCGACGACGTTCCACTCTCCTTTAGTCGCTGTCGTAGTGTGGAGTTCTCGCATGCTACATGGTACATTAGCTTTTATCTCCCACATTCCCCCTCACGCAAATGGACACCGCGAGCACAATTCGTCATGACACTAGCCTTGGTGAGTGAAATAAAGTCTCTCCAAATGGCAGCTTACCTGGGACATGATTGGACAGGTGGGACAGATTATCTGTACCAGGTCAAACTGCTATCTGCTCTGCGAAGCGGTGCGTCTTTCCCAGATTGCATTGCTGTCAGTGCTAACGGACTTGCAGGAGACCCAGCGCGCATCCACACTTTCATATCGGAATTGGGACAGGAGAGACGATCATCAGACGGTAATGTCGATCTAAGTGCCGCTGCGCTCCATTTAGCGATACGCTGTGCCTCCAGTAAGGCGTCTCAGCTCCCGTGTCCGAACGCAGCTCATAGTGCTGCAGCTGACACAGTAGCACTGCTGCTCTCTTACCGCTCGGTATCTCCCAACGGTGTCTACCCTCCCGGCTCGGGAACCACTCCTCTACATCTTGCGGCGTCGATACCCCGCGTGGATGTCGTCAACTTATTGCTCGAACAAGATGGCATCGATGACACTCTGCGAGACAGCGAGGGGAGGACGTGTTTGGATATTGCGAAGGGCAGAGAGACCGTTCGAGCAATCCAAGGTGTGTATATAACTTTTCCGCTTAACAGCTCAAGCTTGACATGAAGAAGATTCCCGAGCGCTCCTTAATGCATCGTACCGCTCGTTCCTTCGAAGCTATATCCTCTCAGCAACGAATAACTCTCCACCAGAGGGGCTTGTGAAGCTACTCTCGTCGCCACGCGTCCAGCACGTCGACCTATCCTACTTAGATGACACGTCCGGTGTGACACTTCTCCATGAGGCAGCAAGACGCAAGGATCTCAAGCTGATTGAACTTGCGATCCGCGCTGGTGCGGATGTGTTCGCAAGAGACCGTAGAGGGAGGGCGGTCTCGGATGTTGTTGGGAAGGATGATCGCTTGAAGGCCTTTTTGAGACAATGTAAGCTCCTAAGCATTATGACAGGCCTCACAAAGCTAATACTTTATAGACACCAATCAAGACAGATCTCTGCTACCCGCCACGACCTCAGAGCCTCCAGAGCTGAAAGGGTATCTGAACAAGTACACCAACGTCGCAAAGGGATATAACATCCGCTGGTTCGTTCTCAAGGACGGTGTCTTGTCGTGTATGTAAATATTCCACTTCACCGATACACCAACTGACCTCAACTTTTACAGATTATCGCCACCAGGACGACGAGAATGTCTCATGTAGAGGTTCCATTGCGATGAAGACCGCGACGCTCAACCCTTCTCCAGGAAACTCAGGCCTCCGCTTTGAGGTCCACTCCGCCCCGACTCGCGGTCGTCATGGGCAGAAATGGTACCTGAAGGCGAGTCATCGTGTGGAGGCCGCTCGGTGGATACAAGCGCTGCAGCAGAGCACGGAGTGGGCTAAGCGGGAAGGTGAGCTCGTGCGGAAGAGCGGCGACAGCGAAGCACCGAGCCACCACGCGTCGGTGAGGAGCAATCTCAGCAACGTGCATCTGACGCGCATCCGGTCGGCCGTGAACGGCATCGCGTCTGCGCCAAGCTCGATAGCAGAGGCGGACGAGGAGCCCGGCGATGAGACCGGCTCGCCGCTGCACGGGAGTGGTGAGGAGCACTCGTCCATGACGGGGTTGATGGATCAGCGGCCGCCGCACGACGCGTCATTCCAGCTACAGGGCAATGCTCTTCTCGCACACGTCGAGCTCACGTCACAATTGCTCGCGCAACTCCCGGTGGAGGCGGCGCCAGGCTCGCGCGCGGCGGAGCTGAAAAAGGCGCTCGAAGAGACGACGGCGTCAGTGCGGAGCATAGTCGCGGAGTACATTCAGATGGTGCGTGACCGTGAAGAGTGGTGGAAGGCGCAGCTCCAGCGCGAGCGGGAACGGCAGAGCCTGTGGGAGGAGAGCCTGCAGATGGTCGTAAAGGAGGGCCAGGCGCTCGAGCAGGAGCTGAAGAAAAAGTCGCGGAGGCGGAGCCGCGTAGTTGAGTCGAGCTATGGGACAACAGGCGGTCTGGAGAGGGAGGGATCGACGGTGAGGAGGCGAGCATCTCAGCTTGTGACAACGCCTGAAGCCGAAATGGAGACGGACACTGCAATTTCGGAGCAGTCGCCGACCCCCACGGGTACCACGACCCGCCGGCCATCGTCGCGACAGTTGTCGGTTATCTCTCCTGTGCAGTCCATTCTAGCGGCGTACCCGTCCCGGCAGCATTTGCGCAATGCACCTGCAGAGATGGAGGATACAGAGTCGTTCGTTGATACGGACGAAGAGGACGAGTTCTTCGACGCAATCGAGAGCAACGCCCTCCCGAATCTCATCATTCTCCAACCTGCGCCGGAGCACCTATGGCTCGCCATCCATCACGATCAGTATATCGGTTACTTGAGGCTGCGTGAGCGATTGGCAATTGATCACGATGATCGACCGCCAATGAGTCTCTGGGCTGTTTTGAAGAACAGCATCGGGAAGGATCTGACGAGGATTTCGTTCCCTGTGTTCTTCAACGAGCCTACGAGCATGTTGCAGCGCATGGTGAGCACTAAGAGACGGGGAGTTACACGGAATTCCTCATGGTTCACACTTGACAGGCTGAAGACATGGAGTTTTCCGAGTGTCGTGAGTGTTTTAGTGTTTGGTCATTTGTGGGATTACGGAGCTCAACCACCTTTCAGTCGATTCCGCATATGCTGAAACTGACCCCCATCGACGTATTGCGTTTGTTGCCGCGTTCGCAATGTCAAACTACTCGTCCACAATTGGGAGAATCGCGAAGCCCTTCAACCCGATGCTGGTAGGTTGACATATGTCACTACATCACAAGTTGATAACGAACTGCCGAAGAGCGAGACGTTCGAGTATGTCCGACTGGACAAAGATTATAGATACATGTCAGAACAAGTCAGCCATCACCCCCCGATCTCAGCTTGCTGGGCCGAATCCCCTCACTGGAGATATTATGGCGAAGTTCGTTGCTTTTGCTTTGTGATATGTGCAAAGCCTAACATGCTGGATGCAGGTTGACGCTCAGAACAGGTTTATGGGCAAGTCCTTCGAGATCCGCCCTACGGGGGTTGCCCATGCCGAGCTGCTTCTTCCGGAGGAAAGAGCGCCATCATATCCAAAGGCGAAGGGAGCTCATGTTGAAGGCAAAGTCATCGAGCACTACAGCTGGAAAAAGGTCACAACGAATGTTTCCGGGTTTATTCTTGGTTCGCCAACCATTGACCACTACGGAGACATGGTGGTGAGCACAACGAATACAACTTTGGTGTGCAGCACTTTGAACCGTACTCTGCAGATCACAAACCATCGAACCGGAGATAAGTGCGTGTTGACGTTCAAGCCGCGCGGTTGGCGAGGAAAGGATGCCTACGAGATCTGTGGATACGTCGAGGATTCATCTGGTACGATGACATTAGAAATCGCCGGTCGTTGGAACAGTCAACTCGTTGCTCGAGTGGTTGGAACAGGATATGGGCAACTCCATCCAGATGTAGATGTCGACTGTGCTGACTGTCCCTCAGAGGAGCCGCAGTACATTCTGCTCTGGCGGAACTCCGAGAAGCCGCCTGCGCCTTTCAATCTCACTCCCTTCGCGATCACTCTCAATGACTGTCCGCCAACACTAGGGCCGTATGTAGCTCCCACGGACTGCCGGTTACGTCCCGACCAAAGGGCATTCGAGATTGGCAAGTATGAGTACGCAAACGATTTGAAGAACAAGCAGGAGGAATTCCAACGGGCGATTCGGAGGGCCCGCGAGGAGGGCCGCTTGCCACCGCACAGACCGCGGTGGTTCACGGCGCGAACGGAAGCTGATACGGGCGAACGAGTATGGGAGCCTGCGAAGATCAACGAGGAACTTGAATACTGGATAGAGAGAGATAAGATATGGGATGCGAAGCAAAAGGGCAAGTCGGTATCGTGGAAGGGAGTCGACCGCATATTTATCGAGGACACGCCCTAGTAGCCATCCTCGATCGGCGTGGGCTTATGGACTCCTCTAATTATTCACTATATTTTTGGTAGTTTGGTCCACGTTGGATGGATTGTCCACTTGTTGGTGATGGATATACACGTCGTAGATCGCACATTATTGCGAGAGCGCCTCCTAACCTGTTGTACGTTGCTGTTCTAATACGAGAGTTTGATGACATGTATGAGTAGATTGCGCCCTGTGTGTTAGCCCGATCCTCCTTACACGTCCGACGTTGCTTTCTGTAACTGTACTTGCTCTTCACTTGTCTCCGTAGCTCAATCGATTCCGTTTACGCATTCTAATACATACGATCCATTGTGTTGGGAGTCTTTGTTGTGGGGTGCAATTTACCGTCCCCTAAGGTGAAAGAACTGAACGAGAACGTTCGTCACGCGCAATCGACATTTTGACTGCTACTTCAAGTTTCCGGCACTCCAGTCAAACCCACCACGTACCCGATCACTGGCTAGCATCGCTCATCTATTCATTCCCGACACCTTCGCCTTTTTGGCATTTAAATGTGAGATGTGGTCAGGTGCTTCACTCGCCTTGAACGGACCGCAGTGCGATAAACTCTGATAAAACTCGAGCTGTTCTGGTTCGTTCTTTGCAGCTGCGTGAATTGAAGGCAGCCGCCTCTATCTCGAAGGCGCAATTCTGTGTACCTGGTTGCTGTCGTGCTTCCATATTTTCGTGCGTACCGGATGATCCGTAGCTCTCCCTTCTGGAGCTCTCCCGAGGTGATCACGTTCTCTGCTCTGGACTTCGGTCTCTGAAGGCTGAGTGGGGCAAACCGAGAGCCGTTCTGCGGCGAGCGCTCGCACTGATCGATGATTCCGAGCAATTGTGGCCCAAGCCGCATCATAAGGCTGGACGATATTCAAAATCGTCAAGACCGCGCGCTCAAATAAAGCATTTCAAGGCGCGAGGATCACGAACAGATTTCAAAAAAGGCGATCAGAATAGCCTGCATGGGAACAAGTCTTCTTGGAGATCTTTCGTTTCGTCATTTGACTACAATGCATGATCAGCTGTTCAACCTCGGGGACGCGTATTCAGGCAAGATTGACTATTGGTAATTTTTCTTGTCTATCAGCAAGATCAGGATATAAGAGCCATTGGACGCTTTCCCGGCTCCCCGTCTGTCGCGTTCGCCATGGCTGCCGCTGTTGTTGCCCCCAACCTCGCCGTCCCTCCGTACAACAAGCCGAACGGCCTCGCGCAATCTGTTCTTGATGCGCAGAAGTCTGTCAACGGCACTAATGCACTGAAACCTGCCCTGCCAACCCTGGATCGACTCGGCGCATCGCTGCAGCCGGACGTCGACGTCAAAAAGGTCGCATCTGAATGGTTCAGAATTTTCAGTGACTACATCTCAGCAGGTGACGTCGACGGCATCGCTAGTCTCTTTCTTGAGGATGGTTGGTGGCGCGACATGCTCGCGCTCACTTGGGAGTTCCGCACTTTCCACGGCATTGAAAAGATCAAGAAGTTCTTGCAAGATCAACTGCCGGTCATCAAGGTAGCTTCGTTGAAGCTGCGAGAAGCAGACACATTGCTGCAGCAGCCATACCCCGACCTTGCATGGATCCGGGCGTCTTTCGACTTTGAGACAGAGGTCGGTATTGGAAGCGGTGTTTTTCGCCTAGTCCCAACGGCGGACGGAACGTGGAAGGCGTTCACACTGTATACGAACCTCGAAGACCTGAAGGGCTTCCCCGAGAAGATCGGCCTCAACCGCGAGTTCCTGCCCAACCATGGCAAGTGGCTGGACCAGCGAGAGCGGGAGACGTCATTCGCAGATGGCGACCCGCAAGTTCTGATCATAGGTGGAGGGCAGAGTGGTCTTGACATTGCGGCGAGATTGAAGAACCTGGGCGTTTCTTCTCTGGTCGTCGAGAGGCAAGCGCGGATTGGTGACCAATGGAGGTTGCGATACGAAGCGCTTTGCCTCCATGATCCTGTCTGTAAGTCTTGTTAAGCTCCTTCAATGATCCGTTTTTAATCGTCGACCCATGTCAGGGTACGACCACATGCCCTACTTGCCGTAAATTAATTCCTGCATTGACTACTCTATCCCACTACTGACTGAGGCATTGAAGGTTCCCGCCTTCATGGCCGGTCTACACACCGGCCCAGAAAGTGAGCCTCAGATATCCCTTCGTGTTGATGTAATTTCATTTTTTGCAGCTCGCAGGGTGGCTCGAATACTATGCAGAGGCGATGGAGCTGAACGTGTGGACCTCCACCGAAGCGACGAGCGTCAAGAGGACGGATAACGGCAAATGGGAGGTGACCGTACGCAAGGCAGACGGTACCGAGCGTAGATTCCACATCGATCATGTCGTCATGGCACTCGGTCTTGGTGGCGGCGTGCCACTGATACCAAACATCCCCGGCCAGGTAAGCTGTTCCCGATACTTGAGTTGATGTCTGATTAACAGTAGCATAGGAAGAGTTCCAAGGGCAAATTCTACACTCTACACAACATAAGTCGGCCAGGGACCACCTTGGCAAGAAGGTCGTGCTCATCGGTTCGGCTACCTCAGGTACTTGGTCGTCCGTCACGTACCACCGTTTCGCCTCTGACGATCCATACAGCTCACGACGTTGCGGCTGACTACGTCGATCACGGTGTTGGTATGTACTGAATATGATACCTTCCAGTGCAGAACTGAGCAGGTTGTTCATCATCAGATGTGACGATCTTCCAGCGAGGCGCTACATACGTGATGACCACGAAAGAGGGCATGCCCCGCATTTTCGGCAGTATGTCGTTCGTCTCCATTATCTCACTGAGATTTCGCCAACAACGTTTGTTTAGAAACATATTGGGAGGGCACAGGCCCCGTCGAACCAATCGACCGCATTCACAGTTCCCTGCCAATCCTCCTGTCCAAGGAGCTCCAGAAGCGCGTCACTGCCGAGATAGCAGAGGCCGACAAGTATGGCTTATCATCTCTGTTCTTTACCGGCTTTTCACCGACATTACGAATGTAGGGAGCTCCTGGAAGGCCTCAAGAAGGTCGGTTTCAGGACTTACCTCGGTGAAGAGGGCTCGGGCTTCCTCCCTCTGGCGTCCACGCGTGGAGGCGGCTACTACCTGGGCATGTTCTCCTTTTTGATGCATTGTAACGTATGCTGATTATTCTCCAGACGTCGGCGCTTGTCAGAAGATCATCGATGGACAAATTAAGCTGAAGAATGACGCGCAGATCGAGCGCTTCACCAAGACCGGTCTGAAGTTCACGAATGGAACCGAGCTGGATGCGGACGTTGTTATGTATGCGACAGGGTGAGGCTCTGTGTCTCCGATAACAGAAAATTCTAGCAAAGCTGACATGGACATCGACAACGAGGTTTGACGGCGCGACAAAGGCAATTGATCGACTAGTCGGGAAGGAGCTCGGCTCGAAGGTGCATCCTATCTGGAATCTGACCGAGGAGGGCGAGCAGCGCGGCGCATGGCGATATATCGGCCTGCCTAACTTCTGGTTCATGACTGGTGCGTCAATAAATGTAGCCCGTTCCGCGGTCGATCGGCTCAATCCATCAACCATCATCTCCAGGTAATCTCGCGATGTGTCGCTTCCATTCGAAGCATCTCGCTCTCCGTGAGTGACTCTGGCCAATCAGCGAGCGCACTGCTAAATGCAGATTGTGTGCTGCAGAGATCAAGGCCATACAAGAAGGCCTCTACGGTGAACGCTATGCGCCCTGAACTGGAGTTGATTCATCGTTTCTTTGGGCGGTCTTGCGCATGGGAATTCTCAATGAGCTTAGAGACTGAAAACGAAGTAGTAGATAGTAGACAAACGTATCATTGGCTCCGGATTAACGATGTGACACGGCTCGACTTTGATCACCAGTCAAAGCTTTTGTTCATACCGCATCCTTCCTTCCTTGGTCCATTCACTTCGATTCATGGCCTAAGGTTCTTGTTCGCCATGGCAGCGGTTGCTCTTCGAACCATCCGATGGTATCGAGCTCGTCCGGTTTCGGCAACAACCATTCAACTCTACGTCACTGCCTTCCACTCGGAAGGCCTGAGGTGTAACTGCGAACAAGAGCGAAATCTAACATGAGACGTAGAGCGCCCCACGTGTCAGTGATGGATGATCGTTGAAACAACGTTGTGGCTGGAATACAGAACGGTCTCTGCTCATGTTCTGAACAATTCGTAACTTCGAACAAGGTCAATCCTGGTTTCACTAACACTGCATATGGCGCTCGTACATTCTCTACGACTATCGTACATTTGTGAAAGCAATATAACATTGGTTCCGAGCTAATTCTTACCAGTAAGTGAAACGTCGACGCATAGGATAACTAGGTAGCAGACGAAGACGAAGATCAAAGCGTATAACCCGAAGCTGCCAGAGACTGCAAAAATGGCGGTACAGTCACAGGATCGGCAGCAGAGATCAGTGTCTTCACCCGTGCATCTCTTTTTGTCAATTTGACCAATTCCTGGCCGAGGTACTCCCTAGGATCCCGTACGTAAGCAACAGGGTCCACGCTAATGGTTTCCGATGCAGCAAGCCGTGAATAGGCGGCCTGGTATCCAGCCGTCTGTTCTTCGTAGTCGATTGCCGTTATGCCTGCGTCGGCGTCTCCACTTTCCTTTGCAGTAAGGAATTCCGGCTCCCGGAAGAGCTTTGCAAGAGCGGAAAAGATTAGCGGCCTGGCGGATGTGAAGTTGGCAGATACAATAAGTTATCCGTTGAGTATAAACTATGCGCTGTGCCTCACCATGCTTGCACAGAAGGCTCTTGCAGCATATACGCGCTCTGTGTCAATAACCGCGTCAGCCCGACAACCACCACTTTGCGGTCTTTCGGAGGCATCTTTGGCGCCTGTGGCACAACGAAATTGGCCAAGATTTGTGGCCACAGCCTGCGATGGCGATCATAGTCAATCTACATGGCAAAGGCTCACGGCTGATCAGCGACCCACTGAGGTTGGATCTCCTCTACGGAGCTAATGATGTAGTCCGGGTTCAGGCCTTCAACGTTGATCGCCATCGAGAATGTCAGGAAGTACACGAAGTGGTAGACGTATTTGTCCGTTTTGCTCGTCTGCATTCTCTGCAGAAGAGTGATCATCAGCGCGCGGAAATATTGTTTCAAGGTGGCCCTAGACAAAAGTTCAAGGTATATGCAAGTCAGATATCACAGCACACGTACGACGGGACATATTGCATGACTGCTTGGAGCAGCTCGAAGCCCCATGCATCGTTCAATTTGGATGGGATGAGTCGTTGCTGTGCGACGGCAAGCACAGGAGTAAGTTGTCCGTTAGCAATCATCCCTTTTGCATCGCGAGCAAGGAACGCCTTGAGGAGCTTGACAAGACCAGGGATGCTGCCTTTCTGCGTCCATGCGGCAGGTGTGAGGAGGAAGGGAAGCAGGTTGTGATAGGCAGCAGGCACATCAGACGGGTGGAGTTCAAGCATCTGGGCGAGGATCTGGAACACATAGGGGATGTATTCTATGAAAAGATTGAGTGGGTGCTCATAACTTTTTCGACCGCTGTCTAGTCCACTTACGATCAATATCCTGCTGGATGATTATTGTGAATGGACCGAACAAAGATTCTTCAAACGTGGAAAGCGAGGTAGGTTTGGCGGCCACAATAAATCTAAGCGTATGGTCATGTAAATCGTAGTGAGCCAGTGACACTTCTAAGAGCTACTTTACCTCATGAGCGCCGAGATACTTTCGAAGATGTACTGATCGAACATAGGATTGCTCGGGTTCTTCGAGATGATGCCCAGGATCCCAACCAGCCGTTGCAGTATTTTCTCGTAGCCCTCGGTAAAAGTGGAGCGGGCGGTGAGGATGACCCGCATAACACCTGTATGCTGACATAAGCATAGCACAGAGCATGTACAGCGAGGCTATATTGCATACATTTCATCAAGTAGTCGTTCTCAGCGACCTTCTCAGGTGTACCCGCCTGTTCCACTTTTGAGAAGAGTGCGTCGAGGAGGTGGGGCGCAAGCTCATGGATGTCCGCCTGGGTGAAGCTTGAATACAGAGCCGGCCCACTAGATTTTAGTCTCATCAAGGTACAATCTGACGCTTAAGACGCACAGCAACGTGTTTCCTTGTCTGATGAACAGTATCCGCTCGATACTAATTGCCGCATACGTATAGCAGACGTAGTTATCGGAACCGAGGTGACGCACAAGCAACGGGAGGACAGCGATAAGCTGCGGCTTGACCAGCTACAGATACGGCAGATATGCACATTGAAATTCAGCTGGTTTCATAACGTTCGCATCGACGACCGACAGACCTGATTACGGAACGTGTGCAAGAACCGGATCGCATCAACTTGTAAGATAGGATGGACACTGCCGGGTTCAGCTTGCAGATCCTGAAGGACGTGATCCGAGAAGAACTGGACCACATCAACAAGAGCGTTCGTTGATGTTACCCCATGCTATGGTTCAGAAAAATGAGCGTCGCATCCCCAACATTCAACACAGATACCCTACCTGCGTCGTGCTTCCACGTGTCGCCACAGCAGTCAGGATATAGATCGCGGTATCCTTTGCTCGCCAATTCTCCTTCGGGTTCTCGTTGTATTCTCGCAGTCCCTCTCCAATCCATGCGCCCGCAACCTCTGTCGTATCGGCCTCAAAGCCAGATGACACCAGCGAGCGCAACACCTCCGCAGCCGCCTGCCGGCGCGTGATCGCTTCGGTGCTCACGCCCGCCCCGCCGAGTGAGGGCACTGCAAGGTCGAGCCGGATGTACTCGAGCGGGTCATCCTCAAATTGTTCGATATCATGCTCTAATAACTCCATCAGGCCTGCTTAGCGCATGTCTCTGGGCAGACATCAGACGACTCACCTCGCAAGCTCACGTTTGGGACGACAATGCCTTGCACGAGGTTTGAGATCGTCTCTTTTGACCCGAATAGGTCCTTATATGACCCGGCACGAATCGCCGTCGAGATAAACCGGAGGGACTGCGATACGAGCTGCGCCATGTTAGAGCTAAAGAAGTTGTCGAGGAGAGAACGGCTTACCCCATCGTCTGCAACGCCCATGCGCTTTCCATTGCCGACGAGTTCCCAGATGCCCCGCACGAACCCCGCGACTGAGTTTGTGCTCTGCAGCACCTCGGGATAGAGTTTCACAAACAGCTAGAGGACACGCAAATGAGCCATCTCATGCAGAAACATTAATGCAGGATCTACCTCTGCAATCTCGAGAATTCCTGTTTTGATTTGCGATGGAAGCGAAGGGACCATGTCGTCGGGCTGAACAACTGCATTTTCAGCCAGCCGCAAGTTCAACAGGCCACGAGACTTACGTCGCCCTGCAGCTGTGGCCGGTCCCACGCCAGCAGCTGGAGGAATAGTCCGCTCTGTTGTCCGAAGAATTGTTCATGTGTGTCTTCAATGTCCGGAGGGAGATCCTGACATGTCAGGTCATAGAAGATGTCCACGAGGATGACCTCCGTCTGCGCTATCAAGGCAAGGTTTGGCGGAGGCGGCTCAGAGAAGAGCAAGGACGTCGAGTGCAGGAACAGGGTTAAAAACGGACGAGTGAAAATGCTGAGGACATAGTTGATGATCGTGAAGAGCTCGTTGGAGCGCGTCGCCGCGCGCCAGGGACGAAATATCGAATGGGCTGTCTCGAGTACACCGATATTGACATCATAATTTGTCTCCGAGAGCGAATGCACGAGTTTCTAGGAGGATTGAGTCAATATTACAGAGGTCCGTTAATGTAGCATGCTCGGTGTCCCAGAATGCGATAAGTGAACGCGATACGTCGAAGACATCTAGAGTCCATCGGCAGACCCTCGGGCAATGACGACATTCAAGGAAGAGATCAGGCGTGGCTGTGGGCGTGACATTGCTCGTATCACTTCAGAATACACGAGACCCATCATATATCACAGTACGAAAGAGCTTCATTGGCCCACAGCGAGCCCTGCAGCTCCTCTCTTGTCTTAAACATGCCGATATCATGTCTAATCGCCTGCCCTAATCTCCGTATCGGAGCGGGCTGGCCCAATGGTCAAGAAGTCGTTGAATTACAGCTAGATTCAATGAGAAAACGAAGAAATCGTGTTCCGCATACCGTGGATGTTCAACGCAGGAGATGACACACCACTCACCTCAACTAGGTCCGACCACTTCTCGGGAAAGTCGCAGTTTGCAACAAGGGATATAGATTCGGCTATCTGAGCACGCATCGTCTTGTCAGACGCGTTGGATAACGCGATCATGGCGGGAACGAGCTGGTTTCGCAAGACTGCTTTGTCCGCTTCTGGGATAGGTGGCTCGTCCTGCAGACAGACGCAATCGGTGAGATCAGACAGAAATACGGATGACACGGCCTCTCACATCTTCCCATCTACTTTTAATCACATTTTTGAGATAGACACTTCCGGCGAGACGAACAGCGCGGTCTTGATTCTGTTCCAGGACGAGACGAAGCAGAACAGACAGGAAGCCGGGTTGGACGCTGAGATCATGGAGACTTTGCTCGGCCTGTCTTCGAGCAGCAGGGTTCAACGACGCGAGGAGGAGCGACGGTAACTCCGACATCGTTGACAACGTCGACAAAACGCAAAAAGCGAGTTCACGGCTGTGGCCTGCACGGATTAGGCGCTGAACGCGCGTTGGTCGCGTCGTGAGCCACGTGACCCTCACCGACCACGCGGTTCGCACGCCTCAATGTCCACTACTCCAATCAGCCGGGCGCAGCGGCCACTACTTAATATAATGTTCTTGAAAAACCTCTGCCGCCGAAAACCCGGTCTGAGGTATATTTTGCACCCACTGGACACGATTGTTCAGCTGAGGATCGTGCGTCTTTTCCCATATCAATGACATTTGGCCCAGACGCACTTGATAGATCAGATCCGGGACTTGCTTGATTGACTGTATCCCATGCTTTGGACATCTGCCGCCTATTTTATTCTCGTATGACTAACGCGGATGCCAGCGCGCTGATACCTCTTGGATGTCTTTCTGCTACCGTCACCCCTCATAGATACCATTGACCCAACCCGTACGGTTCTCCATCCCGGCGTCTCGCGATCGCGATGCCTGTGACTTTCAAAGAGGCTTCACATCCTGCTGCGTCGATCAATCTTAATAATCTTCGACGATATGGCAACATCGAGGAACTTTTGGATGCTGCCTGCTCAGATCGGTTGCGAGATGGCACCGAAGTGCTACAAAGTTCTGTTTCAGCCAAGGAATTACCAATGTTACAGGCCAGGAGTAATGGGTTCGTTCACACGGTCATGCAGGCGTACAATCAGCACCATTGCCTCACTCTCAGGTCAGTCTTGTATCGTTATCTTCCTCGCTAACTTACCTGAGGCGTGCCTTCGAAGGCCAGACGATGTTTGGATAGCAATACTGGGTCAACTGAGTTTCTAGTAGGCATAATAATTACCTATATCTGCGGTAACTAACTCATGATGAACAGTTGCAATGCACATCCAGACAAATTTCGATCATCATCTACACGACAAAATAGGAAACCTAAGATAAAGGTTGCCACCGATGCTTCACGCTACACCGTCGATTTCGCGAGCGTAGCGCGGCAAATGACTGGCTGTTTGCATGGTGATGTGAGTGAATCCTTAGTTATGCTTCGCATTGGCTGCTGAATAGTGCGGCAACATTGAGGAGACTGACGAGACGTTGAAGAGATGGATACTGCCAGATTTCACAACGACAACGCTTGTGGATACTACCATCTGTTCGGTGATGATGATGGCTACGCTGTCGGCGTAAGTTTCCATAGTCTCTCCATTCAGGATTCATCTGTTCATACATTCTCGCAGAGAGATCCAATTCGACATGGTTTGTGCGTGTGGCATCCCATCCGTGACGCTTGAGGGCGAGAAAGCGGACTGGGAGAAATTGCTACGCCGCATGGACAAACTGGATACACTCGGAGAGGAGCCAAAGATCTGGGCGACAATGCTGCGTCCAATCTTGCGGCGCTTTATCTCAGCATTCGACGGCGAACCGGACCTACCCTTTTGGGAACACGTCGCACATAGCGACCCTTCGTTCTACGGCGCGGACGATATGAGCGGCTGGATCACCGCCTTCTGTGTATGGTCGAACAGGGGAAAGTGGCAGGCCGGACTGTTGCACATCGGTGAAGACGGACTAGCCGGATCGCGCATTTCCTGTGGGTGTGCTGCTCTTGTTGTTCAGTGCAGTGCAGGTCGTTGACAGTGCACAGGGAAATCGTTCGTCGGCAAGAACGACAGCCGCGCGCTCGTCCTAGACGGCGTCCCGTACCCGCAGATGTCCGTACTCTTCATTCCAGAAGGCTACTGCGCAGTCAATGTCGCGCTGAGCGAGAACGATCTCGATCTCGACTGCGTCATGATCGCAGGCCACGTCGCCACCGCGGTCAGCGCCGAGATGGGCGGAAACGAGCTCAACACGGTCAGCCCTGCCCCGCAATGGTTCATCTATGTCAAGGGCGAGGAGAAACCAGAGCCTCCACGTGCGATGCAGCCGTGGGAGGCTCCTGAGCTCCTCTTTGTTCCGGAGAGAAAAGAGTATACTCTCGCACCGAAGGTTGCTGTCGGGGACTTGCAGCCGATGCGTACCTGTTGTATCATTTCGTGACTTCTGCGGACCTAGTGCGCGGTGCATCAGGTCGTTGACGCGTGTCGCGGCCGGCCAAATGTCATGAGTAGCTTGTCTCTTTCCCCTATATATTCATCAATCCGGGTAATTGGCATATATCTGCATACTTAGGTCAAGGTTCCCTTCGCGGTTAAGATAAAATCTGAGGAGGTTAGGCATTTTGACGGTCGTCATTGAGGCCGCAAAATCGACACTTCCAGCGTCCTTTTGCGGGCGCTAAGTGCCACCGACTTCACAATATAGCGGTATCGTTTTGTCTCCCCGTTGTCTGCCTATAGGCAGACAACAAAATACCTCCTTCTCTGAGAGACGGAGGTCAGGAGGTATAAAGGGTATCATTTCATCTTCCCGGAGTTCGTGCTCCTTCGAGTCTCAACCACCTGAATCGCGATGTCCATTTCTCCTCCCAACCGCGACATGCCAAGTATTTGGCATGATACGTACATGCGTGCCTTCGTTTTGAGAACGTGTCTGGATTGCTGAAGCCGTAATTTCTTGTATCCGCGCTCTTCCTGGACTTTCTGATGATCAATCGAACTTTGCCGACTGACACGGGTTGCGACAAATCTATATCTAAAGCTCTAGCTATAACTGCAGAAATCAAAGCAATACAGGAGGGCATTCATGACAAGCGCTACGCTCCTTGAGAAGATGCGCGACATCATCTTGGGTTTCTTCTAAGCTATAAGCATACAAATGAAACGTAACATAGTTCGAGTGGGCCACTTGGCTCCATTTGCGGATCCGCCAGGTCGTCAATATTGCGGCGGCCAACCCCTCTGGCGGGCATCGAAAGCTGAAAGCGAAAGGGGATGTGGACATTTCGCAAAAAAAAGTAGCTTTGAGAGCGGGACAACTACCGTATCGTCTTTTTCAAAGATCCCTTCCTCACCATCGGCGGCCTTGAAAAAGCTCTGCCGTAGATTAAGTAGTTAGCTGCTCGTGAAGCTCGAAAGTTGAATTTTGAAATCTGAAGATTGATTGAAGCGTGTAAAATGCTCTGTGAAATGTACTCAACGTGGCCCCGCTCCCGTTTCCCTCTCCGCATTTCCGACGTCTCATGAGGGCGAAGAATGCTGTAAACGTTTGGGCAGCATCGTCTTAGGCTGTTAAAATAGTATCCTAATTAAATCAATTTAGTCGACAACGAAACCAGGGCCCGTCCAAAAAGGGCTACAAGCCTGCTTTATATGGTAAGTGCCCAGCGCTGCGCAAAGAGATAAGATAAGAACGGATATGCGCTCTGCCGCACAGGAGGAACATCGATCATGCCGCCCCCGCTCGAGTCAGGTTTTGCGCTCTCCGCGTCCTTCCAGCTTTGTCTCCCCTCCACGCACGACTAGCACCCGGTACCCATGCCTGCCGAGTTGTCTCCCGCAGACGCACTCGGCCTGCGCACCGCGCTCGAGAATGCGCGCAAGAGCTATAGCGAGGGCGGCGTTCCTATCGGCGCGGCCATCGTGTACCGTGACGGAGAGGGCGGGGAGCAGCCGCGCGTGATCGGCCAGGGACATAATCAGCGAATCCAGGAGGCGTCGCCGATCTTGCATGGCGAGACGGCCGCGTTGAAGGATGCGGGAAGGCTGAAGGCGGAGGTGTATAGGAAATCTACGATGGTGCGTGACGCGGCACTGTTTTCTCCGAACTCTGGCTGATTATCAGGTTGCTTGCCTGTGGTAGTATACCACCTTGAGGTGCGTTGGCTCCAGCTTTTTTTTGGCGTGAGTAGGACTGACTGAGCAGTATCGCAGCCCGTGCAGCATGTGCTCCGGCGCCATCCTGCTCTATAAGATCCCACGGCTTGTGATCGGGGAAAATGTCAACTTCATGGGAGACGAGGACCTCCTTCGGAGCCGCGGCGTGGATGTAATTGTCATGGATGATGCGGAGTGCAAGGAGCTCATGCGGCGGTTCATCTCGGAGAAGCCAGAGGTCAGGATAACTGGAAGGATTCATCCACAGCTATGACGTGCTGAAGCGCGTTCTTTGCACTCTTAGGAATGGTACGAGGACATCGGCGAGATTCCGCCGTCGAGACAGCAATAAAATGCGATATTTAGATGATATCGGGACGAAAGGTGGAGATTATAGAAAGTGAGTGTTTGGAGATGCGCACCAACGTGATGTGGCGCTTACCGGTCGTATGCGTATCTTTCCATCGTGCGTCCTTACTACGCTCTGTCAGTAGCTGAAACGGTGACAGCCAGATAAAATGGTAGTGCAGCCAAGAGATAGATACTCAGATGTTTATAATTTAGTCTTAATCCCGCGAGCCTCGCACGTAGTGTTCTTTCTGGATAGACGCTTTGCACACCGTGGTCTTCACGGCTACACGAGCCAGACACTTCACATTAAACGTGGTCTGCATTGAACGCTACGATGCAACCATTATATACAAAGCATTGATTACGACATTATCAATCATTAGATGACCATCCAGGAGTACGGCACTCGCTATGAGATACGTTGCCATAATTGAAGGCGAGAGGAAAGTAGTGGGACTCAGGAGGATGAAGCAGAGGTTGATGGAGAAGGGAGATACCGTTGGAACTCTTCATCAGAGAGTGGTTGGAAGGGAATGAAGGAACCCGCTTTAGCTAAGTGCGTCGCAATGACACTCTCAGCTTCTTTGAGAACCTGTATGGCCGACTGGTCGGACTGGTCCTCCCATCGAGAAATCTTGTCGAGGTCATTTCTTGACAGCTTCCCCGGCGTCCTCTTCTTGAGAATACGCAAGTCTGACATCTCGTCAAGTTTCCTCTTCAACCATCTCGTCAACCAAAACCCAATGCCATCCCAAACCCGTGCATTATTCGCGTCCAAGACTTGCCATGTTTCCATTTGTGTCATGAGGAAGTCGCTCTTCGCGGAACGACAAGATTCGTAATTCCCAGTGTTCCATTCTCTCAAGCCTTTATCCTGCTCCGTGGCGAATCCACGCAGCAACCTATAGGGCAGCATCCAAAGGAATGATTCGAAATCGTGGCGGTACAGGCGCACAGTCTCTCCGTGGAAATACTCACTTGAGAGGAGATCCATCGCCATGAAGGGTATGGTGCCAGTCCGTTCTCGCCCTGTCACCTGGTTCTTACTGTCCAGGCGGACCCTGGCCAAATCGAAAACATTCAGAACACCTTTTCGAGTGACGGGGTCATAGAGCAGGTTGTCAATACTGATGTCCGTGTGTTCAAAGCCCTTCATCCAGAGCGCGAAATGACCTGCTCGAGAGCGACTTAGACGATGAACCACTGGGGTAGCATGATACTCACGTCGATAACATAACACCCATACACGTAGAAACTCGTTAGCGTGCAATCCGTCGATGGGTAACAGTTTCCGCATCAGCAGTAGGCGCATGCAACGTGAGCCATCGATAGCATTCCCAACAGTTCGCCCTTCTTTCTGGATGCCCTCGTAAATTGTTCCGGTCGAATAGTCCAGGTCGTACGAGGCAAGTACCGTGGGCAGATGTCCCTCTATGAGCGGGTCTCCCCGACCCAGTTCCACTGCCCGCTCCAAAACGACGGCCTCGCTCGTGAGAGTGACCTCCGGCCAATATCTCTTCATGCCTGCGTCTGCTTGGGTCACCTTCTTCTGCATGGCCTCAAAGTCCTTCGTTTCCCGACCGGAAAGGGAATATCGCGATAGAAGGATTTTGTCAGGACGTGTAACGGCGGCTGTCTTCACATTCGTCTGATCTTCGCGATCTCTGAATACGACGTCGAAGGCGTGGGGTTTGCGACGAGGATGGATCCCGTGAACTGTTCTGTCGTTCCTTGGATACTCTCTCATAGCCCTTTTCAAATAGTGCTGATGCCCATCCCTTCTCAGTGTGGCGTCAATATCCCGTTCACGCAGACCCAAATGACGGGATGTGGCAATCAGAACAAGGAAACAGGGAAGGTCCTTGATGAAATCGACACCGCTCGACTGGGTTGCACCTTGTCGATCATACCACCATATCCATGCTAAATCATCTGAAGCATCGGAGTCAGCTTTCATGTATCATAGCTCATGCAACAATGGAAAAGAGGTACTTGCCAACGATGACAACATTAATTGCGTGCATTGCATAGCGCTTGGATAGCATTTCCACTGCATACATGCCGGCTTGTACAACAACGGGACGACCTTCCTTCTCAGATTCCTCAGGTATCATGTCGAGCGAATGATGGCAGAGTTCCAACAACATCATTACGCCTCCGGAAAGAAGCTTATCGACGATGATCTAGAATCAGGCCGCACATGACGCTATCGATGCAAGCGGAGAGGAAAAAATGATGTGTTGTATATCACAGGGGGCATGAGGCCATGATTCCACCGGGATCATTTTGAAAACATTGCGATCACAGTCCAAATGTAACTAAAGATGTTTCCGCTGTAGGCATTTAAAATACATTTTAAATGACCTAACAACTATCATTGAAAAAGTATTCTGATAATATTCAGAATGATTCTCCATTGAGAGCATGATGTTGCTACTGCTAGCATTCAAGCAAAATTCTGAAAACATTACATATAATCCCCACTTGCTGATTTTGAATGAGCTTCAAGTAAAACCATGATGTGTTCAAGATGTTCCTGCTGAGATCATTGTGATCACATGGATGTCATGCCCAAATATGGTATACAAATAGTCATATTTGGGCATAACTGATGTGTTCAGGATGATTCCACATGGAATATGGTGAACACATTTCTCTTTCATTGTGACCCCACACGAGCATCATTCAAAATGTATGATCAGGCATCATTTGTAATGGTTTCAAACTGCTGCTTGAATTCTGGCAGTAGCAACATCATGCTCTCAATGGAGAATCATTTTGAATATCATCAGAATACTTTCTCAATGATAGTTGTTAGGTCATTTAAAATGTATTTTAAATGCCTACAGCGGAAACATCTTTAGTTACATTTGGACTGTGATCGCAATGTTTTCAAAATGATCCCGGTGGAATCATGGCCTCATGCCCCCTGTGATACCTCCTTCGGACATCTTCCGATGCTACAGGGCCACGAGGCCACCATGATCAGACAATGATCCACAATTTTCTCCTGACTGACTGCGTCCACATCCTCATCCACGCGCCGCCGAGATTATGAAAGATCAAGGAGAGAGGGTTTCTGCCAATGTAACCAGAAAATCGAACTCACAACGGTAACCATTCACCTGCGAGGATCCTCACCACCGTTTGAGAAAATGATCGTTCGAGCTCTGCGCAACGGACACGCTGGTGGTTTCATTCGACGACGCCGAGCAGAGTCGAGCACTGGGTTCCCGGGGATTGTCACGGTAACACCGGACAAGAGATCAAAAAGACTAAAAAAGGGACAGTCACGTGGAATGTGCCGCCCTGATCCCCCTGATCCCAAAGGTATCCCCCTGAACCCTATGTGGCGCAAGAGCCTGTTGACTTACTGGTCAATGTTGGCAGACGCAGGAAAGGGTGAGAGATATATGAAGGAGCTGGTGAGCTCAGTGAGTGCTACAGGTAGTAGACGAGGAGAAACAATCTGAGGTTTCGTCCCCTACATGGCTGGTCTTATATACACGTACAGCAGGCTATCTTACCTAAGCTACCTATCTACGGGTATAAGCAAATGGCCGTACATGAAACAATAGGATGTC